GACTTTTTTTAGGAAATTTCCTCCTCTTTAATGATCTTTTTTGAAATTTCGGGCATCTTTAATATTTTCCGAGATATTTGTGCAAAAACCCAAGCCTCCCTTTTTTTTTACTAAATTGTTTATAACTTTTGCGATTTTTTCGAGCCCCTCTTGAAATTTTTCAAAAATTTGCTAGAGGTCATTCCGAATCCAATGAGCCCTGGATCATAATTTTCGGTGCCCTTGGACAGAAGTTCCAAAAAAAAAGATCTTGTTGCCCTGGCTAGTAGTCCTCTATTTGTTGCTGCTCACATTCTAATAAATTCCATATTTCCAATTCTCTTTTTCATTTTCCGCAATATTACTTTGCATGTATTTAATACTCAAACCATTTCTTTTAGAACCTGTACCATGTTATGTACAAGCTTCTGTAGATGCAGTTTTAAAAATAAATTCTTCTAAAGAACAAGGAGACATCTTAGTATTTCTGACTGGACAAGAAGAAGTAGATAGAGCTGTAAGGCTTCTGAACGAACACGCTAATCTTATCGAGGAGGCACAGAAAACAGGAAAACTGATGGTAGTTCCCATGTATGGGTCACTACCATATCATGAGCAGTTGAAAGTGTTCAAACCTCCTCCAAATGGGTATCGAAAGGTTGTAGTGGCGACCAATGTGGCTGAAACTTCTGTAACAATACCGGGCATTGTACATGGTAAGGATATGAGTATTTTGATTCAAGTGTTACGGTAGAAAAGTGAGCGAACTTGTTTTCAGTTATTGATTGTGGATTTGTGAAAATGAAATGGTACAACACTGAGACACACACAGACAGTTTAGTTGTTTTGCCCATAAGTAAATCTTCGGCCAACCAAAGAGCTGGCAGAGCAGGAAGAGTGAGATCCGGAAAAGTATACAGGTGGGTTGTCTGTAGTAACAAATTTTAAATGAATCAAACTTTTCATGAAGTTATATACTGTGATAGACAATATTTTCTTCAGAAGGGATAGTGGAATGAGAATCAACTCACAAGATATGCAGCGTGACTCACGGTCGTTGAAAAAAGCTCGTTAAAGATGAGGAAATTTCCGATAAAAAAGTCCCGACTCCCGAAACTCTATCTCCATTATTTATAATTTTAATTTGACTTTGAAAATAGGGTTCCGCGCGGCTGTTACGGCATACGCGCGCTGCTGCTAAAGAGAGTTTATCAAAAGAAATAATTTTTTGTAACATAAAATGTTATTTTAAAAATTTGAAAAAATTCTAGTATCTGCTTAACACTTGAATGAATCGAGTCCCGTAGAAAAAAAGTTTTATCACCATTTTTCAAAAAGTTATTCAATTGTTAACTAACAAATTTTTTCCCAATCTCCGNCGCTCCCTCCTCTTCAACAAGCTTTTTTCAAAATTGCTTAAATATTAATATTTTTTGAGTTATTAACGAAAAACTAAATACCATTTTTTCAAATCTTATTTTGTTAATAACAATTGCAATTTTTTACCTGCACCAAAATCTTTCGAAAACATTTTTTAGAGGTGATTCCGAATCGAATGAGCTATTGCTCATACTTTTAGGACATTTATCTCTATTTTTCATGTTTTTGAAATTGTTGATTAGACTACTAGCAAGTTTTTTTTAATAAAACACCCCGTATATCAAGACATTTTTGGAATCGCTCTCTTATTACAATATTTTTTTGTTAATAATGTCCTAAACCTATCTCTATTGGTTTTCGAGATAAAAAATAATTTGTGGTAAATATGGTCCAAAACAGCTCTAATTGAACTTGAGTACATTAGTACCTAGTCTCAATTGATGAAAAGTTGATATCTTGATAGTTTGAACAAACTCGAAATATTCAATTAACACCAAGAAATCGACTCCATATCATACAGGGCGTGCTAAAATTACTATTTTTTCCATTATGCACAAAAATGGTTGAAATTTCATTTTTTCAAATGAAACCCTCTGTACCCTTTTGTCTAACACCAGTATCCTATAGTTGCGCAACTGCCCTTGCAGATGTTTTGTACGACATATTAGAGGCAACTGATAAAAATCAAATGAGCATACTAATTCTACTTGACCAATCGAAGGCATTCGATTTAATAGATCACATTCGTAACCTGAACATTCGCCGTCAAACACTGCTTACTATACCTAGACCCACAAAAAAAATATACAGACGTTCTTTTTCTTACAATGTCGCAATTTGTATCAACAATATTTTCAAATTAAACACTACCTACATTTTTAGAATTATCGCCAACAGCATTTCGTTTTAAATTCAAACAATATTTATTTGATGCCCAGTGAAGTCATGACTGAATTACAAATAATGCGCTCTTCCTCTCCTTTTTTTTTCCTTCTCTTCTTTCCCTTCTATTTTTATCTCTCCTTGGAAAACATTTCAAACGCTGATATCAAATTCAAAGTGTCTTTTTCCCACTGTTTTTCTCATATCCCGATATATGTCTGTCGAATTTTTTTTCTTTTTTGTTAATCATATCTTCATTATAAAACATATTTTTTTAACTTAATATGTGGTGGGAAATGATATTATTATTAATTAAACTACGGATCACTGCGAATAAATTCACTGCAGATGAAGAATAAATCGCACGAGAGGAACCCATGTTCAGTGTTGTCAGGTCTACTGCTTTGAATCTCGGGGTACTGTTTGAGAGCGTTTAAGACAATTAAGACTAAACTTAGCCCGAGAAATATCAGATATTTTCTCTTCAAATATAGTCATTTCATATTCTGAGAACACTTTTACAATTAACTAGAAAAAAGTAAAGGCAATCACAATAATGTGTTCTTTTGATAATAAAATTGGGCCGCACTCACAATAGAGGAATTGCAAAATCTCGACAGGACAACGCTCTGGTTCAATAAATGGATATTCATACCGTACCCAGAACAATCACAATTTATCATTTCTCATCACAACCCTTCAGTGACGCTACCAACAATAAACATCAACAACGAAATGATAAGAAGCAGGCAATCAGTAAAATACGTGGGAGTTAACATTGATCACAAAATCAACTTGAACAGCCATACAAAAATGATTAAAAAGAAATGCATCAATAGCGGAAAAACTTTCGGAGTCTGACATTTAAAAAAAGAGGAATCAACACTAAAACTGCAACTAAAATATATAAAATGATCTATCGTCCACTTCTCGAATATGCACATGTAGTTTATTCAAGTTGTCGTAATCCTGCATTGAAAAATATCCAAACAGCTGAAACATCTACACTAACACTACATCTACACTACACTACATCTACCAAAATGCATCACCCTCAGAACATACTACACAATCCCTCAAACGCACTGCTTTATAGAACTACAAAAGTAAAACCTATATAGAAGAGACTATCAGACCTAGCAAACCGCTTTGCCAAAAATGAAACTAATTCGGAGACCCTACAGGCATTATGTAGGGAAAGAGCTTAAGGACAAGCATCCAAATTCAAATACCCGGAAAAAACTATTTGGGAAAACATCAAATCGCTCTCATAATTTATAATATTTTTTTGTCAGAAATATAATGTACCTCAAATCTATTTTGTAAGCATATGTAAAAATCACTGCAAATATTTAAAAATTGAACACTGGCTGATGGACTTCGCTCGATGACACTTTGGTATTCACCAATAAATGACAATCTGGTTAGAGTGACTCTAATTTGAAATAAATAATAATTGCAATTATCAAGAAATTTCACCTCATCCTTACTTTATTATTAACAAACACTGTTTTCAGATTGTACACAGAAGAGTACTTTTCTAAACTAGCCGAGAATACTCCTCCTGAAATGGTAAGAAGCAACTTAACCTATGCAGTCCTGCAAATTAAAGCGCTAGGTATTGACAACATATTAAAATTCAATTTTCCAAGTCCTCCTCCTGTTCAAAATTTGAAAAGTGCACTGGAAATTTTATATGCATTAGATGCTATTGATATTCAAGGAGAATTGACAAGACCTTTAGGGTTTCATATGGCCGAATTTTCCCTTGATCCACTCTACACGAAAGTTTTGTTGAGTTCAGGTGAATATAGTGAATTTAATTGTTTGCAATCAAGATTTCAAATTTCGAAATCAAATACTGCAAATGAACAGAATCTCAACTCTATTTTTCAAGGAATATTAATCGTTTTCTAGGCGAGTTTGAATGTTCAGAAGAGATATTAACAATAATTGCAATGCTTCAAATTGAAACTGTGTTCACGAAACCGTCTTCCGGAAATTTCAGTATCAAGGCTAGGGTTCAAAAAAGGCTTTTCGCGGTAGAAGAAGGGGATCTGATAACATACCTTAATGTATACAATGGGTTCATTGAAAGTGAAATGTCACAAGGATTTTGTCACAAGAACTTCCTTAGCTACAAGAGTTTAAAAAGAGTTGTGGAAATCCGAAGAAGACTCGAAAAGATGTTGATAAATTATGACGTACCTATTATTTCTTGTATTAGTAAGTCGATACCAAACAGAAAAGATAGCATTTCACTGTTGAACATTGTTTCAGGATCCACTGAAACTATTCGTAAGTGTCTAATAAAAGGATTATTTCCCAATGCTGCATACCTTCATCGTAGTGGGGTTTATAAGACAATCAGGGGAGATACTGAGCTCTTTGTGCATCCAGATAGCGTCTTATATACAATTCCCCAGCCCCAATGGTAAGTACTTTTTCATATAAACCTTTGTTCTTCGTTCACTCCCATCTAACCTCAGAAATGAGATTTTATGTAAATGAAAGTAGACATTGCTATGGCTATGAAATAATTTGGCAACCACAAGTATGTCGATACTAATAGGTGTGCGAAAACCCGATGTGTTGCTCACCTGATGTGTTTGGGAATGTTCAACGATTCAAGGGTAATATATTGAACTGGCATTCGATCAGAAATTCTACAAGACATATGATAGCTGCATTGAGTTATCATGAAGTGAATATAGTTCTAATTCACATATATTCAATTTATGAAACTACACTTGTTTTTCTCACAACTAACATGTTAATTCGCGTCTAAGCTCAAGTCAGGAATATTGTTTCAACTCCCAAAATAGTTCGAAAGTTGCGTTTATGGTCTTTCACTTTCGTTAGGGCAGTTGATAATAAAACCCTCTGCTCGCACTGAACAGTAATTAGTGGCCTACTATTAAGACCTTCATAATGAAGCAGACAATGACGTCTAGTGTTACATGTAAGTCCTATAATATTCCACTGAATGAAATATTCACATACTTACCTGATCGCTTAACATAACTAAATAATAATGTTAGATGTAAATATACACAAAAATTGACAAGTGAAGAAAAACATAACCTCGATTCCACATAGGATCACAAAATAACTGAAGGGGAAATAACAGAATTTTAGTTAGAATTCTGAAAATTAATAAAATTTCGAAAATCCTTGCGGATATCAGTACCAATATCTCAAAATTCAGATACATTCCAAATACCCTCAATATAATAGCTGGAACAATCTTAATTTATAAAGATTGTACTGATAAAGAAGTATGAAACTGGTGACTTATTTCTATTTGTTCTATTGTAAGAAGAGAGATTGAAAAAGTTTTCGATTAAAGATAAAGAAGAAAGACCTGATTGTAATATTTCTAGATATTAGTAAGGCATATGAAAATATAGGGTATGTAATAGACTATAGAATGTTAAGGATACCACTCAGCAATGAAGCCCGAAACAAAGAATGGAAAATCATATACCAAATACCATATTCGTAGACTATGAATGACTGAGTACAATTGAAACACATAAATAGATATTTATTAAACATCCAGACAATTGATTCTACATCATTCATTCAAATGATCTTTCACAAAATAATTATAGGATTCTATTGAGTGGTAAAACTTCAACTCATCAGCAAACAACGACTCTTTATAACCCATAGATGAAAGATTCAAGATCATTATTAAAGATGTTAATTACAAATGACTGCCTTGAGGTACCCCAGAACATTCATTAACTGAGAAATACACCCATTAATTTTCACCCGCTAAATTGTATCCATCAAAAACATTCTAATTCACAGTAATTTGGTACCACTAAATCCAAGATTTCAGTTTACTGATTAATATTTCATGATTAACTCTGTCAAACGCATTTAAGAAATCAGTGTAAGTTGATTGAACTTGAATGTATCCACTATATTCTTCACGTAGATTATTAAATTCTTCACAGTCACTTTTGCTATAAAATAGCATGTTGTTGATTAGTCAATGAATTCAAACAATTCCAGAAGAGTTGTTGCTTAACAAGACAGTTACATAACATTCATATCCTAATTTTTGAAAAGGTTTGATCGAACTGTTTTTCTGAAACTGGAAAGTCACCAGAACTCGGAGATTAAACATATTCCACTGGTATGCTCTAATATATGAGAGGATGGATGGGAGTGAAATAATTTACAAGTTTCTTTTTGGAATTGATTTTTTTTTTTTTTTAGGTTACTGTTTTGCGAGGTAGTGCACACTACGAAACTTTATATGAGGGATCTGACAGTTATTGAAAGTGATTGGTTACTAGAATTTGCTCCACACTTTTATCACAAAACAACATTCTATGAATGAAATATGAGACAAATAAAATATAAAGGTTTTTGAATATTATTTATTTCTCATCTAGCCGCTGCTTTTTTCTTAACAAATATTCTTGAACATTGTCATATTTTCTTTTGTATAGTACAGTTATACTAGTATCTTCAAATTTTTTGTTAAAATAACTTTGGAACTTTTCAGAAATATTTTCTAAAGAAGGGATATTTTTTTCAACTATATCAAAATTATCATTAATTTGAAAACAACTAAGCTTATTGCCTAAGATGTAGAGTTCATTATTACTGAAACAAAATACAAATGGATCCTGCAAGCATAATTTTGCAATAAAATGTGACTCAAAGTTATTCAAGTCTGTACTGAACAATTGGATAGCATTATATCTATGAACTGATACAGCAATTAACAGTTTATCACCAGAGCATACTTGAACATCGGTTATAGGAAGAGCTGAAATTTCCACTTTCTCTTTATCCATATCCAGACAAAAGTCTTCCAGTAAACTTTTATTGCTTATGTGTTTGTGGGTATTGATGATACCTAGTTGTTTTCCTTTGATAAAGTCCCAAAAACGCACTGTTCCATCTCCTGAAGCTGATATTAACAATTTTTCAACTATTACCAGCCTCGTTATGAATTCTGTATGGCCCAAACAGTAACTGGCTATATTGTAACAATTTGGAAAATGTGAAACTCGTATTTTTTCATCTCTATCGCATGTAATGAGGTATTTTCCGCATTCACTAATCTGCATGTCTAAAATAACACTCAAGTGTCCCAGTAAGAGAATTGGTACATCATCTTCATTCGAAATTTTATATAAATATACATCCCCAGTTTTGTCGGCCACTAGAATGTCATTCGATGTGGTGAAACATGCCTTACTTGCTGCACGATGAATGATGATATTTTTCACTATATTGAAATGTTTATCATAAACAATAATTTGTTTATTCTCTGTTGAAACCACAATATATTCCCTAAATTTAGAGAATTCCAAAGATGTAACAGTTCTCATCTCTTTTTTCAACACTTCCATCTGACCCTTTGTTAAATTTTCAGGCAAAATAGGTTCAGGAATTTCAAGAATTTGTTCTATGCATTTCTCCAAATCACAGTGAATAATATTATCCATTTTTGATATAAAAAACTCATTTTCTACCTTCCTTAATATAACCATTTCGCTAGATATATACAACAAATATAACTACAATCCACAATCAAAACATAACCTCCGAAAAATTACCAAAAAGTGATGGTCCGAATGTCCGATCACAAACTACTTACTCTATAGACGTTACACGCAAATGATCAAGGTCACAGTCGTTTTTGTAGTTCGTTGTGCCCACCTGTAGGGGTCTCTGCCACAAACTACTTAAAGTGGTTTGTGGTCTCTGCAGAGATTATAATAGGTTATGTCGATTGTTGACATTTTTCCTTTGAAAGGAATTATTTTTATTAGTGTTCTCCGATCAATTACATTGTATCTCATATAAACATATTTAGCAAGTGTTATTACATTCTAACATTTATTATTTTTTCATTATTCTTAGTGAACTTCGTTTTCAACTATATCATGTAGGAAATACTGCATTTCAAAGTGTTCAGCATCTCCACCGCTACACAAATTTCCAAATCCTGTAAAATATCTAGAACAATTCAGAATATGGGTGCACTCTATCAATGATAGGGATAACAATGAAATGGACCCAGTAATGGTGTATCGCTTTAAAAGAGTTTGTCATAAATATTTCGAGGCTAAATACCATTCATCGATGTCGAGTAGACTTCAACCAATGGTTGTGCCTACATTATATTTGAGAGGTAGAAGAAACACTTCTATTCAATTCTTGAACGTCCAAATAATAAAAAAATTCAGGTCAAATTATTTTTCTCATCATTAACAGTCAGTTCTGACATCTCAATCCTCAAATTAGTGTGATTTCTGAGATGCGTAAAAATTCAATTTGAATATTTCATTGCCACAATTATTTTGAACCTTCATCTAAGCAGTTTTTAATAAGTTTGCCTACTATTACTAGAGTAACTGGTTTGTGCGTCCGATGATCCATAGGTCCATACTTCCAGTGACGTATTATGATGTCAACGCATACATCTTTCTCCCTCTATCTGGTTTTTCTTACTATTCATGTGCATTAAGCGAATGTATTATTTATTCTACTCTGATTTAGTAACGAGGTCACAGTATAAGTAACAAATTTATGCTGTGATTCGATTCACAGATATAACTCTTCTTTTCATTCATTGGCCTCAGCAACCAAGGCTATCTAGCCAGTTGATAACGCTTTTCATTTATCAAACATTTGATTGACCACACTTGAGTAACATAGTTTCCCTCTACAATGACGGTAAAAGGCCCAATATCAGTGTCACAATAGTAATTTTTTTCTGCGCTTAGCAGAATCTATCTTTGTGAAGATTATTCTTCAAGAACTTCAGCACCTTTAATGAATAATCTAGTTAATGTTGTAATTTCAATTTCTAAATCATCTAAGGCAGTCTTATAAATGGAGGAGTTCCTGTCAATTATTAATGATTTAGAGGGAGGTGAAAGCTGATCAATCACATTCATAAGTTGCTTATTAGTGTAGGAGGATCTCTTCCACCAGGATCCGGGGCTCCGTCCCATTCTAGTACTATATGGAAGCACTGCTACATGATTGATCTGGTAAGAAGCAAGAAAATAGTCAAAATGAAACGAACTCACAGTACTCCGTGAAAAAATAAAGTGGAAATAAATGTAAACTATTGACTGTCATTTTCACTTCTCAGTACAACTCAAGTAATACAGCTTGATAATGTCACGTTGGCAATTTGATTTTTAATGTTGAAAATATATTGATATTAAGTAAAATAATGTTCTACGTTATGGTACATAAATTGAAAATCTGTTTGAATATTGATGGGTTTTCAAAAATATTAAACATAAAATTACTCATTTGAGTTGTTACCTAATATTACTTGTATGAAATTTAACGAGCCGAACATGACAGATCACAGCGCGGGAACTCCCGAATGCAGTTTCGGTTTCGGTCGTAGTTTCGGCAGGTTTGCCGCCGAAACTCAACCGAAACCGAACTTTCAGTCTGATAATAGTTTTTATATTATTCAAGTGTTTAGTTTTCGAGAACATTTTGTCTGAGCAAACCTAAAATTTCGGTTTCAGTTCTGCGAGTCCATATAAGCTTCTGAAATTAACCATGATATAATATAGAACTCGCACAAATCACCTAACTTTCAGTACTAAAATAAAACACGAGTGTTACCCTGTTTTCGGCAGATCAAAGGTTGTCAACGGGATCTCAAAAAATTACTTATCTTTTACCTTACGGCAAGAGGTATAGAAACCATAATGTTTTACCGATTCTCTTTTGTTTTATAAAAAACTCTCGATGCGAGAAATGAAAAGAACCCATATCTTTGTACACGTGTTGATAATTATGAAGGAGCAAGAAATGATTTCTGACGCATGTATTTTGTTCAGATCTTTAATTTATGGACCATAATGTAAAAAATTATGTGACCTAATATTTATGTATTTTCAAATGGAAATAACATTGAAAAGTGAAGTGCTAGATCAACACTGTCGAGCATTGTAACTTGTGGTGTACTCAGCATCTCTGTGAATGGAATGGTGGAATTCATTAGATCTCTTTATTGATTTTTATCAAGAGTGCCGTAAGTTTTGGACGGAATATTTTCACATGGGGAAGAGGTCTAAGAGATCCCACAAAGAATATTCTTGATACAACCGAAATATGTGTAAATGGTTAATAGTGGTTGTAGAATTTGGCAAGTGACATTGCACACTTTGAGAAGGGAATTCTAAGAGGTTTTCATTTTTCAATAATTCAAATGACAATTGAAAAAAGAATTGAATAGTGTTGAGAATATGAGCACATTTATATCTCATGCTTGTTATTTGAGTGGTGCTGCCACCTAGTATTATCAGTCAAGTGTTCATTCTGTGTATTATCTTTGTATATAGTCTATATACAAAGGTATTATATTATGTGACAAGTAGTATAAGATTGCTCTTAGGTCTTATGATATTGGCAGAGATAATGTATTACCTGCAAGCGATGAAGAAGATTGACGAAAACTACAAGTAAAATAAGTTGTGGAGCTTGTAACATTATTCGCTGATGTTATTTATTAAATATATTAATAATCATACACGCCACAATTATTCAACAAGCAGGTTGAGCTTGAATTGAATAATCGAGGAAAAAATTTGAACATAGATGTTGCCAAAGTTACAACAAACGAACTAACCAAATCGACTCTCTCAAATATATAAATCAACAAAATCAACCCAACATAGGAGAAACTTCAATTAGACTCAGTCATTAACAAAAAATAAAAAGTCTGAACCTTGTTCATTTTCCAGAGAAATCATTAACGAAAACGTAAAGAGTAATTATATCCACTCTATTATCAGTGTCTGCTCAACGGAAACTCGGTGAAAAATTCAAAATGGTTATGTTTCATCTCTTGCAGAATTTTTCTTACAAACAACCTAAGTAGATCTTGCAATAAACAATCAGAGCACGGAATCCCTGTTTTCAACAACTACCAGTTATGATTTCTGTCAGTTTTTGATTTTCTGCCTCAACCAATGAGGTGGAAGAAGGTAAAAGAGCACAACTGAGAAGAAATATGTAATAAGAGTTGGAAAAAATGAGTTCTCGTTGCTTATAATTATGCATTGAAATTTAAGATCTGAATCTTGCGCACTGCGATATGTAATGTAAGGAACATTATCAAATTGCAAAATGTATATTCGAGAAAGGAGTATTTTTGGATTGGACTGAAATATTGAGGTTGGGTTATAATTTAGGGATTGTCAGAAGTTGATATTCTGTTATTTGTCATCACAAAACATTTAACATATGATTGATGAAGTCGTTTCTCTACAACAGAACTGTAATTTGTAATTTTTCCAACAACTATTCAAGAATGACTAGCTTCAATGAAGCCATCATTATAAATGAGAATGTGTAGGTGGAAGAAGGTAAAAGAGCACAACTGAGAAGAAATATGTAATAAGAGTTGGAAAAAATGAGTTCTCGTTGCTTATAATTATGCATTGAAATTCAAGATCTGAATCTTGCACACTGCGATATGTAATGTAAGGAAAATTATCAAATTGCAAAAGGTATATTCGAAAAAAGAGTATTTTTGGATTCGACTGAAATATTGAGGTTGGGTTATAATTTAGGGATTGTCAGAAGTTGACATTCTGTTTTTTGTCATCACAAAACCTTCAACATATGATTGATGAAGCGTTTCTCTACAACAGAACTGTAATTTGTAATTTTTCCAACAACTATTCAAGAATGACTAGCTTCAATGAAGCCATCATTATAAATGAGAATGTGTCATGAACTCTTCAAAAATTACAACATATGTTAATTTTCCAAAAAAATACTTAAAACAATTATTTTTCAAATATGACAAATGACACTTTGAAAATCTATCTGATCCTAACTCAGAGTAACAAAAGACAATAGAGAGGCATTTTCAATCCTTACATTGAAGGCAGCATAACTTTGTTTGTTTACGGGAAGTAAGTTGGACCATAAAACAGGCGCAGTCGGTTTAGTTGATAACTGGAGAGATATTATATATTTATAAAATAAATCATTTCAGGTGAAAATGTATTCTGTTCGAATAGTTCCTAAAGGAAATCTGATTTATCATTAATGATTATGGAAATGGGGCCAGTTTTCCTACCACCTACTAGATTTTATTTATGTATGGCTTTATAATAAAGCGCATGGTTTACTGGGTTGAAATCAAATTATTCCAAATGAACTAATTCATAACAATGATAAATGTTAATTTCAAAAGTAATGAACTTTGCTTCATAAAGTCAGATGAAGAAATTTGTGATTCATTCTCAGATTTGACAAACAAGCGGTACGGTTTGTGAGGTCCGATATAAAGAATTTTCGATTAGAAATAATGATTATTTATTATTACGATTGAGGTTTGATATTATTATGTAATTTCATTCTAGGGGTCTTTGTGGACCGACATTATATTTTTTCAATATAAATCATGAATGTAAATGAAAAAACTGTATTCAAATATGAAAAATATATTTTTCATATGTGTGCCATAGGTCATATCCATTCTGTGATCAATAGATTAAAAAGCTTTCTGCCCAATTCTGAATGAAATCACAGAATAATATCAAACCTCAATCGTAATTATAAATATTCATGATTTCTTATCGAAAATTCTTTATATCGGATCTCACAAACCGTTATGAATTAGTTCATTTGAAATAATTTAATTTTAATCCAGTAAGCCACGGGCTTTATTATAAAGCCATACATAAAAATTTGGTAGGTGGTAGAAAAACTGGCCCCATTTCCATGATCAATAATAATAAATCAGATTTCCTGTAGGGACTATTTAAACAGAATACATTTTCACCTGAAATGATTATTTTTATAAATATATAATATCCCTCCGGTTATTAACTAAACCAACCGCCACTGTTTTATGGTCCAACTTACTTCCCGTAAACAAAGTTATGCTGGCTACAATGTAAGGATGGTAAAGGCCTCTCTATTGTCCTCTGAGGGCTAATCGATCACATTTTTTTGCCTCTTCTCCATTATCGAACACTTGACCACAGTATACTATATAAGTATACTATCACTTGACTAGCGAATGATCTAATCTAGCGCTCAGATCACACTTTTATATTAAACGAATACATCTATAGTTACGGAATACTGATTGCTTACTATTCTGTGGCTGGGCCACGGAATACCAAGCAAGTACTATTCTGTGACTGTGCCGCCACAGTTACACAATACACAGTTAGATCGCTAAAATACCGTGCTGCAGTTGCAAGCCAAGCCACAAATCTGTGGAAAATGTGGAAAAGTGACAAAGTAATAGGACGGTCAGTCTGAAAGTTATAAGGTCCGTGTTTTGATTTCAAAATAGAAAAAAAATGAATTCTGATACAGGTAAATTTACTTGATATATATCCACTTACTTTCAATAAAAGAAGTTATTTTATAGAGGGTGGTTCCAATTCCAGTGACATGAATACAGAAAAAGAAGTGAAAAATGAACTGGAAAGCAAGGGCAACATTGAAAGGGACCCAACTAAGATTGTTGTGAATACAGAAAAAGAAGTGAAAAATGAACTGGAAAGCAAGGACAATTTTGAAAGGGACCCAACTAAGCTTGTTGTGAATACAGAAATTACAGAAAAAGAAGTGAAAAACGAACTGGAAAGCGAAGACAATATTGAAAGGGATCCAACTAAGCTTGTTGTGAATACAGAAAAAGAAGGGAAAAATGAACTGGAAAGCAAGGACAATATTGAAACAGATCTAACAACTAATGATATTTCAGTTTCAAGTATCTACAGCATTGAAGATATCAAGTACGAGGGGGACATCGCAGTCTACACTGATCCCAAGTCTGGAATTCAATATCGGTGGGACAAAGACAAAAATACGTGGGTGGAAAAAAATGGTGTTTATCGATTTGAAGATGATACCCATGTTTATACAGATCCTGATGGTTCAGTGTATTTCTGGGACAAAGAAAAAAGTGCTTGGTTTCCAAAAGTTGATGATGATTTCATGGCAAGATATCAAATGAATTATGGATTTGTAGACAATTTGAATACTCAAACTGCTGCCCCCGAGATTCCAAAAGTTGAAGAAAAACCATATATAGGTAAGGGTGAAAAAAAAACAAATAAAGTGAAGGGTGAGAAACGTAAAGCATCCGACCCTACTTGGTTTGAGCTTGATGAAACTCAAAATACCAATGTTTATGTTTCGAACTTGCCTACTGATATTGAGGAACAAGAGTTTGTAGACTTCATGCAGAAATGTGGTATGGTAATGAGAGATCAACAGTCAGGGAAATTCAAAGTCAAACTCTATAGGGTACCAGATACAGATATTCTAAAGGGAGATGCTTTGTGTACTTACATAAAAATAGAATCTGTTGAGATGGCTTTAAAGCTACTGGATGGCTATAATTTGAAAGGACATAAGATCAAAGTAGAAAGGGCTAAATTTCAGATGAAAGGTGATTTCGATCCAAAACTCAAACCTAAAATGAAGAAGAAAAAAGAAAAACTCAAACTAAAAAAACAACAAGAAAAACTTTTTGACTGGCGACCAGAAAAAATAGTCGGAGAAAGAGCTAAGCATGAAAGAGTTGTTATTGTCAAAAATCTTTTTGACCCAAAAATCTTTGACACTGAAGTGGGCCTGATTTTAGAATTCCAACAAGATTTACGAGAAGAATGTGGGAAGTATGGAGAAGTCCGTAGAGTTGTTATATATGACAGACATCCAGAAGGCATTGCCCAAATAAATATGGGTAATCCTGAAGAAGCCGATCAAATTGTGAATTTACTGAATGGTAGGTGGTTTATGAAAAGACAATTAATAGCTGAAATATGGGATGGTAGGACCAAATTCAAGATAGCAGAGACTGATTCAGAAATTTCTCAAAGATTAGATAAATGGGACAAATTCTTAGATGCAGAACACAAAGAAATGAAAGTTGAACCTTCTGCCGAAGAAAACAAATGAAACAAGATGAAGAGTATAAAACTCCAGAATACTTGTTAAATCAAAACTCCCTGAAGAATACTTATAAAATTCCAGCTCATCAGGAATTGTAATGAAATGATTAAGTAATTCTTTTAATCAGTTATAGTTGCTACAGAGATATAAATTAATTTATACAAATCTAACCATGTAAGAAAATCATATTCTGCAGAAATTCGTGGATTTTAAAACTTCCCGAATTGTGAAAATAATGAGATGGTGGGAACCTAGGAAGCTTAGGTGTACTTAGTGCAAAATATTTAATTTGATGGGTCCATGAAATATTCAAATTTGAATTTAATAAATAATTTCCAAGTAAAATATACTTTGAATCATTATGTGAGATTGATGACTTGTTTAGTTTGTGGTATTTCATAATCACTTTCATGAAATGAATAAAAACACTTTTGTCTAATTACCATTATCAAGTATAACTTTCATACTTGATATCCATCATATAAATAAAATTAACTAGTGGTAATTAGACAAAAGTGTTTTTATTCATTTCATTAAAGTGATAATTTGAATCAGAATAAAATAGGTAATTATTACACATTCGCTGAAGGTTATTTTTTGATCTACTTAGGTATACACAGGTTAAATTTAAATTTTATTCCCCCGTAATTCGAAATGTATCATCTATGGAATATAATCTTATTTAAAACAAATCTGTAACATCATTATTCTTCTTGAAACATGCAAATGAGTATTTTTATGTTACTTCAATCACAATTGGGTTTTAACACTTTCTAGAATAATTTTATGATCATCTTAATGATTGAGTCTTATTTTACTATTGATACTACTCGAGCCTGGAATAGTATCTCTAATAATAATAATAAATGATCTCGACCTATATCCGTTAAAATAACATAGCCCTAGAAGAGCTTTATTACCATCTTCTGCACTTCTATGATATTGACAAAACACTGGTGTTGTCTATGACCAAAAAAATATTGAATCCGTTGTGAGGGTGACAAGTACCGAATTTCTCTAGAATTATTCATTTTTAATCCTCAGGCTGATGCAAGGCAATACATTCAATGTAGTTCTCGACCATCAAAGTAAGACCAAATTAATTGTAGAGTTTCAGCTCCGAGTGAGGCGAATATCATCCGAAAAAACGAAAAGAAACTCATCAAATTTCTCTTTGATCTCTGCAGATTCTACCAAGACCACTCTGTTGAAATGTTTATTCTGATTATTGGAGTCTTTGATGGAATGATGCCCTCCCTTTACTTAAATCTCAAGATCATGCCGGCTTGCCACACTAAGGCAGAAATCTTAGTTGGACAAACGCAGGAAGTCCTTCGAAGCTCATTATGCCTACTCAGGGCACATGTTTCTCAGACCCAATGATCACTTACTTCATGATGTGGGAGGTGGCCTTTGATTAATAGTCCATCGCCAACTTTAATGTTTTGCTTTTTTTAAAAACAGTGGCTAGCGGAATCCATAAAAAAAAACATTTTATTGAGTCAGACTATATCATAATTTTAGGCTCCTCTTGCCCTCTAACAACGATTTTCTATGTGTTGTTTTTTTAACCAGTGGGTTCTGCTGTCTTTACCGTTGAGCCAGCAGAGCCAAATCTATACCCATTTTTTGAAAATTTTGATCTCACATTAACTTAAGACGCCTTCATCAAGCTATTGAATAATTTTTTGCTCCTCAGTTGAATTAAATATTTGGGTGACTACCTCAGCACACGTGTTAGAAGCAGAACAATTTTTCTGGAATAATTCTTTCAGTATGGTGAAGTTTTGGGCTCCTATTTCTGTGTTTTTTTTTTGTTCAATCTGAGGGTTCTGCTAACTTCATTGTCAAATTGGCAGAACCAAATCGAAATTTCTCACTTTCTGGCAAATTTGAAAATGCAATAATTTACAACTTTTTGTTTTGATTTGAATTTGTGGGTGACGGAAATGTATCAAAACAAGGGTACATATTTTTCCAAATGTCACATGCATAAAAGAATATCGGAGTGAATTTATTTCAGATTTTGCTTTCTATATCTATATTTCTATCACTACCATACTGGAGAAATATTTTCGAAAATTTATTTCCGTTTCTATTGTGTGTATCTGTTCTAGTCACCCACTAATTCAATTCAAACATGTAGCAAAACATTGTTTAATAGTGTAATGAAGGAGAGTAAAATGAGTGTAAAAGATTTTGATTTGGTTCTACCAGCTACGGTGTAGCTGGTAGTATCGTCTAAATTAAAAAAAAAAACAACACTTGGAGAGTAGTCGGCTATGGATGGTAATGGGAGCCCAAAATGACCGTAAAATTCTCAATAGCTTTCTATCTTTTCCACATTTGAAGAACATTTTCAAACAATTGTTTCCTTATCTACCGTGTGTCTGAATCATCCAAATATTCAACAACAGATTGTTCAATAACTTAACGAGGCAGCGTACAATTATTGAAAGATCAAAATTTCCAAAAGGTGAGATTTCGTTTTGGTTCTGTCAGTTCAAGGGTAAAGCTAGCAGAATTCACTGATTCAAAAAAAAAACAAATGGAAAATGGGCGATAGGAGGTCATAGGCTTCTCGATGAACTGAATGAGAAACAAATTTATAGTCGGTAAGAAGTTGAGAACATCGGTCGTGAGATAGCAGGTTACTATTAATATCATGTTATGGTCATGTTAACGGAAAAACAGATTTAAACAGATCACTGGCAACCAAAATGAAATCACTTGAAGGAACTAGCTTAGCCACGCTATCTTCGAGTTCGTTTAAACACTGAATTATATCAGCCGAAGGGGGCCGATATATTTCAAATACGAGAGTTTTAAATCTGTGGATTGTCGAGATCCACAACTGTTCAAGATGGGAACTTATTTGACTAAAGATTGTTTTGAATTTGATAGAGTAATTGACGTAAAAGGCAATGCCACACCATCTGCCAGTTCTGTCAGAATGATGATTTGTTCTAACAATCGATTATTTTTTTTCTTGGCTTTATTCGCAATTGAAAATATATTCAATATACTCTAATAGAATTTTTTTCCTTAAAAAACTTATTCTTTAAACATTTTCAAGCATAATCATGCATCAATCCAATGATTTTAAAGAAACTGAAGTAATAATAAATAAATCTGGAAGTAGACTTTTATTGTAATACGTTTGATTATGATATATTAAACAAAAAAATTGTATCAAATTGGTATTAGGTAATTCACCCTTGTTTTGGAAATTATTTAGCGGGTCAAAAACAATTTATATATAAGTATGAACCCGAGTTTGCTTACCCAGCATCACCCAGAGATAGAGTTACATCCGCTGTTCCAAATGTGACTACATGCTGTTGACAAAACAAAAGTTCATAACTTATGACTTGAATCACACACACACACACACACACACCCAAGAAAACAATCAACTGTCTAAACAGTTACATTTGTTAGGATTTATTCAATTCAACAGTAGTGTCTTTTCATGGAATCTCGTCAAACAGTGACCCAATAAAACAAAAACTTTCTATCAGTTAAACTTTTATTTAAATTTTCATCATGGATTTTCCATACACATCCAATTTACAAATGGAACAAATAACATAATAATAACGAAAAGAAAGATATTTGAAATTACAACTAGAATATTAATACTGTATTACATACAAGAAATGCACTTGTTGGAAACTTACAGAAGAGTATATTAAATAATCATATTATTATCATTTAGAGAGTTTTCGATGCGAGGGCCATGTAACCTAATGAATGTTTCAACTATCATACTAATCATGACCAAAACAGTGCTTTTTTAAGATCACATTTTGTTTTCAAGACAGTTCTGGTCGAGACCTATGAATACAAGGTACTTTGAGATTGTGAAACTGTTCCAAAAGAGGAATAGTTCCATATACTGTAAATAAAAAATATTAAATATTATGTAAAATCGTCAATCGTTACGATGCAATGGCGCGATATGATAACATTATAGAATAATGAAATAACTTTCTTGTGCATTACAAATATTTGCACTAGGTCCGATTTGTGAGAATCGCTCTTCAACTCTTATTTCATAAAAAGAAACAAAAACACGACACAAAAGGTGAATTTGAGGTTCCAACTTGGGCCGGGTATTGCGACCTGGTATAAAAAAAATATATATAGTTATTTCAGTCTTAATGGAAAATATCACATTCCTATCAATGTTAAATACATTGCATTTTTCAAACAACACACCTTGGAGCTTCTCCCGATTCGGAAAAGTTAATTATATTATTCTCTTGCTACCTTTACTCGTTAAATATCACAGATGGACGTGAGCTCTTCAGCACCACGCTATAAACGACGAACGAGTTAAATACTTAATACTACACATATGTACACGACACTAGCAGTCATGTCAAGATCGCAATTTACAAATAAAAAATTTGGTGTGAGCCACTATCACACGACACATACTCATAAAAACGTGAACGCTCACGCCGGTTGATCTCTGTACAGTCAAACATCCATACTTCCAAAGCTATAACTTGCCAAATGCTACAGTTTTCAATATTCGAACATAAAAACAAAATATAATATTCAACAAAATAAAACTACATTTTTTATCAAAGGATGAACAACTGTAGAAACTTCAGAAATTTTGGTTCCATACATTATTCACACTTGACCTAGATTTTTCTGGTTGCAATTTTTGAATCTCATAATGGCACAGTTGTGACGAAACGAAGGTTGTACTCAACAATACCATATTTTTTCTGTTTATCGAATACCTGAATTTCGAAAGTTGCTACAGTTTTCATCCAATAAATTTGTCATATTACAAACCTTTGGTATAGAAATATAAACTTTTGACTGCTTTGAACAATATTTTCATTTTATATCAACTATATTCAGTATGATACATTTCAGATTGCATCTTATGCACAAAATACTATAACAAAACAAAGCCCAAACTCCCCTTCTATATGTTTCGTGCATTTCAACAGCATACAGATAGTTACTAAATGCTAACAACTCACACATAGTATATACTAGAGTGCTGATTTCACCAACACCAGTTGAGAAAACTTTCCAAATTCTTACTAGAAAATAAATAAATGATATATGATTTGAATAAATATGAAATAACCAGTACATTTAATATCACATTACTAATAATGAAAATAAATTTCAATATTTATTTCACGAAAATATATTTTCATGACTCCCCAAAATAAGTATAATGATGACTTTTGTTATTTATCAATACAAAAGAACTAACTGATGCAAATTACCCTATCTCAAACACATTCATCTTGTTTTTCACAAATGGTACTGGAGATGGTGAAACCTAGCCTAAAAGATAAACATCAGCTGCTGGACGGTTCAACATTACGTTGAGGAGTCGTTAATGTTGCCGCAGCAGCAAACTAACACCAAATTTATAATAGAAATAGATTAGAAAGCAGTGGTGCCACCACCTTAAAGGAATCCAACCAACACGTCAGTTTTACAAAATACAGTGAACACAGCCAAGATGATGTAAAATAAATAACAAATTAAATCATTGGGATTGCGTTAATTTCTTTCCTGCACAGTTTTTTTGCACAATCTACCTTAAAGCACATCGAAAGGTTTCCAAAAAACCAGCTCATTTAGAATACTCACAAAATTTCAAAATGACCTCGTTAACTCAGTCAAATATGTACAAAAAATACCCTGCAACAGTAATATTCGATAACTAATATTCAAATTTTATTCTGTTCAATTTTCCGACATGCCAGCATCCTTTTCCATAATGCAAGAAAAATTGATTTTTTACTGCTGGACTGCAGCAGTAGGAGGCTGGGTATATTGATAAGTATACTGAACGGCTCCAGGATATTGATTGTAGGGTGTCGCCTGCCCTTGACCCATCGATTGGTATGCACAGGGGTTAGTTGCATTAGGAAGACCCCTGTTCTGGAAGAATTTGTGATTGATGATTGATTGAATTCCATCGGTGGCTGGAGACTGCATCATGTAGTGAGGAGGAAGTGTGTACATGTTGGGATTGGTAGGGGCAGCACCCTGGTAGTTTTGACGCTGGTTGTAGCGTTGATTATTATAGGTTCGTGAATTGCCTGAAATGAGAAATTACTATAGTCCATATTCGACAGGTCTGGAGTCATAAATCACTCGAAATGAATAATTCCAGACAACAATGAATATGTTGCATTGTTGTGCCATTTTTTTGTTATTCTTGTCCAATTATTTCAGTATTGTATTCAAATAAATAATAAAGATAAAAGATATCATCCCCCGATACATATTATTTCTTTCTCTGACAACCCTAAATAGTAGTAGCAGTAATAGTAGTTTATTCAACCATCATATTTATGTAGTTTATTGATTTATGGCAAATCACAAATAGAAAATACATGGATATGGTTGTAAACCAACCAACCTGAAAGGGTTTGGTTAATGAGTACATATCAACACTCTAATATAACAGCATTATAACGCCTGACAGTTTTAATTTCCAAGTTCAATTTCGTACTTGAACTGAATATTTAAATACCGAAAAATTATTGAAACAACTTATTTCAAATCATAATAAAACATCAATGAATAAAAATGACAGTGTAACGGTAGCCAATTTTGTGGAAACTTGTGCTACGATGCTAGGTATTTCGAAAAGAAGGTTTAAAAAATAATGAAACATTGGATATTGATTTGAAATGAGGTTCAAGGCACAAGATACATGACTTTTTTTAATAAAGTGGACATAATTTATGCAGTTGTACAAGATCCAATGAGCTGAAGCACAGTTTGGAAAATATAGAAATCAAGTAGGTTCTTAATGGAAGAAATAAAGCAGATAAATTAAAAACTTACCATAACCTCTATTAGAGGCACCACCCTGCATCTGTTGTTGCTGGTACATATTGGGAGGACTGTATGACTGCTGATATCCTTGCCCATTTTGGAACTGATTATTCTGATATTGAAACCCATTATAATTATTTCTTGGATTCCTTTGCATACCATCATTTCTCAAACCATTACTATTATTGGGATTGTTATTTGGTCTAAATTCTCCTGAATTATTGAAAACTTTCGTGTTGGTCCAAGTTTTGACTTTTCCTCCTGAGTTCTGACTGCTGGGAGACGAGTTGTCTTTGCTGCGATTATTGTGCCAGCGATTGCGGCCATTTTGCGGGTTTCTCGCGTTTTGGGCTAGTTCCATAAGTTGAGGTGATACATTTTGACCAGCTTCTTCTAAAACTGCTATTAAATCTTTGGCTTGGCGTTGGTTGTTGGGTGTGAAGAAAGCATAAGCAGTTCCTGCTTGCTGACATCTGCCCGTTCTGCCAATACGGTGGACATAGTCTTCACTAGAATTGGGGTAATCAAAATTGATGACGGATTTGACATCTTCAACATCCAGGCCCCTGGCTGCGACATCGGTCGCCACTAGTATGGAGAATTTTCCAGTTCTAAACTCACCTAGGACGTAGTCACGTTCTGGTTGGGATTTATCCCCATGTATAGAAATTGCTGCAAATCCTTCTCGTTTTATCACCTTGGTGATATCGTCAACTTTTTTCTTAGTTTCCACAAATACTATTATTTTATTCTGTCTATCAGAGCAAATTTCTTTCAGTAACTTGATTAGTTTCTCTTCTTTTTCAGATTCATCACATACTTCCACAATTTGTTTTATGTTATGATTAGCAGAAAGTGACAGACCTCCAACATTTACCTTATAGAAAAATTTGCAAGTTAATATTTGAAAAAAAGTGTATTCAAATAGAATATTTACATAATGTACAGGGGCAATATACATCACCATTACATATTGTATTCAAATATATAGATACTTTTAAAATTCTGAAAAATTAAGTATCATCATACGTTCTTTAAAAACATTGGTTAGAAGATTTGAGTTGGGATTTGCAGATCGGTATTATTTGCAAGACACTATACATATTTTTAATAAAATGAAATACTGTATTTGTTATTGAAAAACAATTCAACCCATTATATTACTAAGTTATCCTATAATGAACTGTGTATGAAAGACTTGAGTATCTGAATGGCAATATACCTTCTGTTAAAATGAGTCCAAGAGCTCTCTAGTGGAGAAAGCAAGCCATAATTTGTAGAGCGAAATTGAATATGAAATAGCTGCCTCAAACCTTTTGTAGGGACTTACTTTGAGTTGAAATAAATTCAAATAATTCTGGGCATACAATATCACCAAGTAAAAGTTTGAATATAAAGTCTGGTCGAGCTAGTACACAAGTTTGTTAGGTTTTAGAATGCAATAATGTAATTTGCAAAAGAAACTACTGTCCCAATGGTTGCCTCTTATTGAAAATACGAAAGTGGTACAGGGAAACCCAAGAAAATCTTTGTTCGAAAGCGGTTGACAATGTTTCATGGTGAATTTTACTAGTTTGGACTTCCATTGTCTAATATGATATATAATATAATTTGAATTATCAAGTTACTTCACGACATTTCGATTGTTACTATCCACAATCGTCTTCGGGTGATGATTGAAATATTCCTTCAGGTGATGACTGGACTATTCGTTTGAACGATGATGACTATTTATAGGTTATTCGAATGCTTTCACCTATCCCGTCTTTTCTCTCTCCGCTTCACCTGTTTAGTGGGAGTTTACGGTTTTTTTGCTTGAATAAAGGTTTCCATATGTTGGGTATCTCAATTCTAGCTTGGCTGAATGCATCATTGGACAACATTTTTACAGCTTCTTTAAACTTCCTCTTAAACCGGTGTTCCTCCCTGTGGATGACCTCAGCTTGGGAACACTTGATGTTATGTTGGTAAGTCCAAACATGCTGTGATATTTCCGATTTGCTGGTTTCTCCTCGATGTGTATTTCTCCTATGCTCGGAAATGTGGATTTTCAATGGTCTCTTACTTTCACTGATATAGGAGGCTGAAATTTTGTATATAGGTTCGTTTTATGTTGTAGATGTAGATAGGAAGGATTTTTAATATTTCATTTAGGAGGAAAACGGCGCCTTCATAATATAAAGTTACTTTTTCATCATTGTTTCTCCATAACGGTATATTTTCGGAGGCTGAAATTTTGTATGTAGGTTTGTTTCAAATTGCAGATGTGCAATGAGAAAGGATTTTCAAATATTCCAATTAGGGTGCCAGCCGCGGGGAAAAAAGCGTAAACATAAAACAAAATTATCTTTTCATCACTGTTTCTCCATGCCCTCAAATTTCCGGAGGGCGCAATTATATTTGGTATCAGCATTGCACCCACAATGGAAGTTCCAACTAGTAATATTCACCAAAGAAAATCTCCTGCAGCTTGTGAAAAATACACAAAGAAGTCAGCATCTCTGGTTTTATATAAGACTGATTTGAACAAACCGAAACTTTAATTTAGTATTTCTATTTGAGAGCATGTCACTATTCGAAGAGTAGGCAGATTCTCAGATTGCTGACGGTAGAAACCTATCCAAACAGATATGCATGTATATTAAAATACGAACGACAAGTTTTGAAAGTGAAATTTTGTGCTAGCTAGGAATTAACGAAATCTTACCTTCCAAAAAACAATTCCTAGCACATATCATAAAGTACATACTGAAAAATCTCGACCGACTGAATAAAATGTGAATAATTCAAAATATAATTTATAAGAAACTACAATATTTCAAGATCTGCTTCCGGAACTGCAGAAAATTTGTGCCAAAACCATTATTCATTACAAAATAAAACCATAAAATGTATTTTATGTATGTAAATGTATTAACAATTCCAATGCCAAAAAATAAAACATATAAACCTAAAAATTACGATTCAAATATTTTGAATATAATCAATTCTGATAGCCACGATCATTTCACCAGGAAATGAAATTTGAAAACCATATAAATAAAAAATAAATTTGAAAAATAATAATTTGTACTTTACTGGACTTAAAATTTGATAGTCAGCCCACTTACATAAAAAATATCAATCATATCACTAATGGCAAAGCAGAATTGAAATAAAAAAATATTTTACACCTATTGATGATTATAATGATTAAATGATTTTACAATGGCATCGATAATACTAATTTCCATTGGGATTTCTACCTGATGTTTAATGTTTATGCACGTAATATTTATTTGCTACTTTGCCTTATTTCCTCTATAAACATGTTTTTTTTGGATCCATTAATGTTATTTTCTATTGAAAAAGATAAACCTGCAATGAAATGCAAATAATTTTTAAATTATAAGTAAAGTTCCAGTATACGGAACATCAGACAGAGCAGTTTCCAATTTAAAGTTGAAATTTATAATTACAATATGAAATTTATTTACTGTGAAATATGAAATGTCCACAGTTTATTGCGAAAACAACTATAAGTGTAGTGACAAGTTTGTGGTTCCTTTTTCTAAGAAATCAATAAGCCTACCAGGGGTAGCAATTACAATCTCTACACCTCTTTCCAAATCCCTCGCTTGAGGTCCTTTTGGAGAACCTCCAAAAATACAAGTATTACGGATCATGGTATTTGATCCAAAATCATGTGCAACTTTTTGTATCTGTTGTGCCAGTTCTCTGGTTGGAGCAAGAATTAGTGCGATTGGCCCTTCACCCCTTTGTGCCCTTTGTTGGTGGTTAATGTGGATAGTAGCAGGAATCATGTATGCAAGAGTTTTGCCCGAGCCTGTTTGGGCAATGCCTACCAAATCTCTGCCGGATAATACTACAGGCCAACCTGAAAAATTAAGTGTTGGTTATAGTTGTCATTTGCTTTTGCTGAATGTATAATTGTCATTCTTCAAGTAGAAACTCAGTTGAGACAGAGATAAAATTCGAATAACTATTGTAAAACGTTTAAACACCCCAAAACTCACCTTGTGATTGAATAGCTGTAGGTTCATTGAATCCCTGCTTTATTAAAACTTGCATAATATAATCGGGAAAGCTTCCTTCCTCAAAGCAATAATTTGGGTTAGGAATATCTGTTCCCCTGACAATGATATCTTTTACTTCCCTGTAATTATCTATATCATTTTGGGTTCTGTTTTTCATGTTGCTGTGTGGTTCATAAAAGTTTTTCCTGAATGGTTTCAAATCTGCTTCTGTCCAAACTGGTAAGGTAAGCTGAATATCATCTTGAGACTGTTGTTTTTTCTTATAAATTTTGGGACCACCAAAATCCTGAACTGGGGCCATAGCATGCTGTGGGGGACCGCACCAATAATTTGATGGTTTGTTATATTGTTGTTGATCACCTCGGTCAGGTCTTGATCTGAAACTGAATTTCATCACCAATTATTATAATATGAAAATGTATAAATTATGAATGTATAAATTTAATTCCACTTTTCATTGATCTACTACAACAGACATAAAACAGTTTTTTTGTTTCACAGAGTAGAGTCATTTAGACTCAAAATCAGGTAAGTAAAAAAAAATGTGAAATCTTCCAAAGGAAGAAAGCAAATAATTTCAAAATGAACTCTACTTTTTGTTTTTTTGTATAAAGATGATAGAAGTAGAAAGGCAAATCCTTTCCCAAAAATTAATCTCTCCAAAAAATATACTCCTTTCAATTCAACGTTAATACTATCCTTTTGTCTAAAGATCTTAGTATGAAATATCAAACTTACACATACCAGATATTAAAACCTCATTGAGAGTATTTAAGTTCAAGTGAAGCTATTGCTATGTTATTCCGTCTCAGAATCAACTAATCCAAACCTAACAAGAAATCAAATAATCACCGATTCACAGCATGCAAAAAAAAAACTTCGAAACACCTTCCATAGCAAAACAGTTAAAGTAACTCACATCAACTGTCCCATATTTGTGAACAGATGGGTTAGTTTTTTTAACAAACACTGGTTTGGTTTCTATGAATATTTGCTTGGTATACAAATTTACAAAAAACATTACTTAAACATAAAAAAGCACTGATCAAAAGAAAGTCAGAAGAATAACTGCTTTGAGTTTGTAAGATTATCCACCAATTATTAATGATATCTAATATAACTTTCGACATTCATACAACTTTTTCCTGTAAAGTTTCATATTCTTCAAATTTAAATAGAGAAATCAAAGTCAAAAGTGAATAACTGAGTCTCTTACCTGGACATAATTTACTAAAAATTCCTCTGCGAGAGCCTGGACTTGTTTGGGCCACGTGGCAGACCACATCAACACCTGTCTATCAGGTCTGATCTGTTGTATTATCTTTCTGATCTGGGGTTCAAATCCCATGTCCAGCATCCTGTCAGCCTCATCCAACACTAGATATGTACACTTTGACAAGTTTGTGGTTCCTTTTTCTAAGAAATCAATAAGCCTACCAGGGGTAGCAATTACAATCTCTACACCTCTTTCCAAATCCCTCGCTTGAGGTCCTTTTGGAGAACCTCCAAAAATACAAGTATTACGGATCATGGTATTTGATCCAAAATCATGTGCAACTTTTTGTATCTGTTGTGCCAGTTCTCTGGTTGGAGCAAGAATTAGTGCGATTGGCCCTTCACCCCTTTGTGCCCTTTGTTGGTGGTTAATGTGGATAGTAGCAGGAATCATGTATGCAAGAGTTTTGCCCGAGCCTGTTTGGGCAATGCCTACCAAATCTCTGCCGGATAATACTACAGGCCAACCTGAAAAATTAAGTGTTGGTTATAGTTGTCATTTGCTTTTGCTGAATGTATAATTGTCATTCTTCAAGTAGAAACTCAGTTGAGACAGAGATAAAATTCGAATAACTATTGTAAAACGTTTAAACACCCCAAAACTCACCTTGTGATTGAATAGCTGTAGGTTCATTGAATCCCTGCTTTATTAAAACTTGCATAATATAATCGGGAAAGCTTCCTTCCTCAAAGCAATAATTTGGGTTAGGAATATCTGTTCCCCTGACAATGATATCTTTTACTTCCCTGTAATTATCTATATCATTTTGGGTTCTGTTTTTCATGTTGCTGTGTGGTTCATAAAAGTTTTTCCTGAATGGTTTCAAATCTGCTTCTGTCCAAACTGGTAAGGTAAGCTGAATATCATCTTGAGACTGTTGTTTTTTCTTATAAATTTTGGGACCACCAAAATCCTGAACTGGGGCCATAGCATGCTGTGGGGGACCGCACCAATAATTTGATGGTTTGTTATATTGTTGTTGATCACCTCGGTCAGGTCTTGATCTGAAACTGAATTTCATCACCAATTATTATAATATGAAAATGTATAAATTATGAATGTATAAATTTAATTCCACTTTTCATTGATCTACTACAACAGACATAAAACAGTTTTTTTGTTTCACAGAGTAGAGTCATTTAGACTCAAAATCAGGTAAGTAAAAAAAAATGTGAAATCTTCCAAAGGAAGAAAGCAAATAATTTCAAAATGAACTCTACTTTTTGTTTTTTTGTATAAAGATGATAGAAGTAGAAAGGCAAATCCTTTCCCAAAAATTAATCTCTCCAAAAAATATACTCCTTTCAATTCAAATAGATGAGTAACTCTCAACATTTTTTCAGGATAATAAAATATTTGTTTAATCACTTGAAAAAATATACTTTTTTTGATAGCTGTAAATTTTCTACAGTCTACAAACCCTATAAAAATGCAAAATGTTATATGATGGACTAAACATATATGAAATGAATCATAGTTCAAAGAAACTAATCATTGTTAACGTCGACGGATACCAATGTGAGTTTCAGATTTTTTCAAATTCTTAAGTCTTGAAAATTCACATTACTTTGCTGCATCGGGATTTATGAACCTTCGTAAAAGTCTCTGAACAAATTTCATTTGAACCTTCGTAAAAGTATCTGAACAAATTTCATTTGAAAAAGTTACCATTGGTTGAATTGTTTGGTATTTTGGAATTTTCTGACTTACTTAATACTTATCGTTATATTATGACCAAAATCACACAAAATATTTGTAAATTGTAGCCTATATATTATTCTGATGTATAAGCTGTATGTATGTAAAGTTTTATCTAAGTCTGTTCAGTCATTTAGGCGTAAAAGGTCACAAACATACATACATACATTTATCCATCCTCACAAACTCTTACATTTATAATATTAGTATAGATATAGATATAAAATCATATTTTGAAATTGTTGATTTCTTTATTTCTTTTTCAACAGTTTTTTGTATCATACGTAAACTCCTCAAAACAATTAATGGATCACTTCTTCATGAACTTGTAATTTTTTCAAACACTAAAAAATTTAGGGGTGTGAAGTTATCCACATCCACAAAGTACACTGAGAAAAAAATATCGAATTATTTTTTTTCATTTACCAACTCTTCACACCTACCATTTTTCAATATGATACGCTTATTTACTGAATTAGTAAAAAAAGAACTGTCCTAGTTTATTAAACTGAAGGGGTGAAAAAAGGGTGGAAATATTTAAAAAAATCGTAACATGAAAAATCGACTTTGAACACCTACAAAATTGAGATATGTTTATTTCTAATGATCTATTCGATAAGAAAAACTTCACGTTTTAGTTTTCAAGGCCGTCTGAGGGGGTGAAAATGGGGTGGAAATTTGAAAAAGTCTCATCTTCGAAAATAGAATGCTTACACCTAAAAGTTTGAGATATGTTATTACTGATGATCTATTCGACGGAAAAACTTCACGTCATGGAATTCATTTATACTCGTAATTTGAAATAGTTCACTCTGACTGATTTAACATATTAAAAGAAATTGCGTGATCTTGCAAAAGAATAAACAGGGACTGTCAGTGTTGCCACAATCGTACATTTGAATTGAACATGCCTACATCACACAAATCGGTTCGTTGTGGAAGGTATAATGCTATAAAAAATTCTATATAATGAAAAAGGAAGAACAAAATAAGAAATAAATTCAGTGTCCCGGTAGAATGAGTTATCAATATGTCTAATATACTTCACTAGTACCTATTTCGAACTCGCCAGATAGGTAGATTTTTCAAATTTTTTCATATAAACCCATTCCATTAGACGGTCTGGAAAACTATGACGTGAAGTTTTTCTCGTCAAATAGGTTGTCAAGAATAATATCTCTTAATCTTGTAGGCGTACAAACTCAATTTTTTAAAACATGATTCTTTCAAGTTTCCAACCTATTTTGGCACCCTCAGACAGCCTGGAAAACTATATCTTAAAGTTTTTTTTGTTGAATAGATCATTAGGAACAACATATCTCAATTTTATAGGTATACACATTTAATTTTCGAAGATAACATTTTTTCAACTTTCCACCCCATTTTCACCCCCTCAGACGGCCTGAAAAACTATGTCGTGGAGTTTTTCTCCTCAAATCGGGTGTCAGGAATAACATATCTCAATCTTGTAGGTGTACAAACTCAATTTTTGAATACATGATTTTTTCAACTTTCCAACCCATTTTCACCCCCTCAGACGGCCTGGAAAACTATGACGTAACGTTTTTCTTGTCAAATCGGGTGTCAAGAATAACATATCTCAATTTTGTAGGTGTACAAACTTAATTTTTAAATATTTGATTTTTTCAAGTTTCCACTTCATTTTCACACCCTCAGACGGTCTGGAAAATTATATCGTGAAGTTTTTCTTGTCAAATCGGGTGTCAGGACTAACATATCTCAATCTTGTAGGTGTACAAACTCAATTTTTGTTTCCTCTTTGAAGATGATCACTTGGTGATCGAAACACGTGTCGAGGTGTTAAAAATAACGATTTGGTGTTGGGAAAAAACTTCAGTAATATTCATAGGTTTACAAAGTCGACTTTTCATGTTAAGACATTTTTAGACATTTTCACCCCCTCAGACGGCTTGAAAAACTATGACGTGAAGTCATAGTTTTTCAAGTTTGCGATATGTATAACATATCGCAAACTTGTAGGTGTGTACATTCAATTTTCGAAGATACGATTTTTTCAACTTTCCACCCCATTTTCACCCCCTCAGACGGCCTGGAAAACTATGAGGTGAAGTTTTTTTGTCGAATAGATCATCAGGAATAACATATCTCAATTTTGTAGGTGTACAAAGTCGATTGTTCATGTTACGATTTTTTAAAATATTTCCACCCTATTTTCACCTCTTCAGACAGTTTAATAAACTAGGACGGTTCTTTTTTTCACTAAATCAGTAAATAAGCGTATCATTGTGAAAAATGGTAGGTGTGCAGTGTCGGTAAATGAAAAAATAATAATGCCATATTTTTTTCTCAGTGTACTTTATGGATGTGGATAACTTCACACCCGTAAAACTTATATTATATTGAAAGACACGTGGCTACCAAATCCATGTTAAATTATTGAATAACTTTTTGTTGTATATTGGGTATACGTGAGAAAATTAAAGAACTACCAAAATCAAAAAGAAACTTCTAGAAAGAACACAAACAAATAGTTCAAATTCATATTCGAAGCATTCTCCCCTCCCAACATTCCTCGGTAGTAAGATCTGGCAGAAAACAACTATTTTTCTGGTAAAAACTAAGACCGAAATTTGATTATATACTACAGATATTTGTGCAAATTTCCACAAATCCAATGTCGTGGTATTAGCTAGAGAAATAGATATTCCAACAGGCATTTGGCAGATCCTAGTATGTAGGAATGTTGGGAGAGATTTTAAATTTTGAAAGATTTGTAGCTAGTCATATGAGAAATTTAGAAATGAAGAAATGAAATATATGAAATGCGGTTTTGCCACATTATTTAAATTATTCTTACAAAGCAAGTGTACAAAAAAAGTAAGTATTTCCAGAGAAATGTGTTTTGGGAATCTTTTTTATTTCAAATGAGTTACGACAAATATTAACATTTGAGTTCTATTAGGAATTTCATAAAGGCGGCTGTGCTAACTTGATATCATGTTAGCAGAATATTTTGCTTTCACGACAAATTCTCAACAATTATTTGACAATCAATAAAATCTATTTCAATAATTTTACAAGTGGTCCAATATGGCAGAACACACAAAATGGGAGACTAGTTATTCTTTATGCATTCCCAATATATCAAAAGAAGGGCTTTGCTGAGAAGAATATGAAAAATCCAATAATTGACGGACCACTCAAGATGGCAGAGTAGTTGTTTATGCAAATATCATGGATATTAAATGAAAGGGTTACTGCAAAAAATATGAGAATATGAAAAATAAAATAACGTCACACTAAATCCAACATGGCGTGACGGTTTAGGTTTAGACGATAGACTAGTTTTTTAATGCACCCAATATAAATCTAGTATAGCGGACTAGTTATTTTTATACACTTCCACGACATTTGTATCAAATGAAACGGTTTGCTGAAAAGGATACGAGAAATAAAATGACGTCACTCAAAACTTAATATGGCCTGCCCCCAAAGAAGGTGGATTATTTTTATGCACTATCATGAAAAATAGCGAAAAACAATATTGTTGACATACCAATTTCAAGATATAAGAAACTCAGCAAAGGTTAGGGATAGTTAAATGAAATTAACAGACTAAGGAAAATGAAAAATAAATTAAAGTTGAATAGAAATCATTTCGTACCCATCTCTTTGTTATCCAATTTATATAATAGAAAAACTTGTTTTATTTGTGAAGATATACAAGAATAATTTCAACTTAACCTTGACATGAGTACATCTACTCCTAAGAAATAAATTGTGTTTTTTTATAAAACAGGTAAATTGTGTAATATTGCTGGATTTGATTTGAGGTTTATTTTTTTTTTTAGAGCATGTTAATACAAGCTTGTGTAAGAAAGTTTTTCCTACTGACAATTTATACCATTCAAAGACAAATATCAAGAAAAATGAGTATTCCTGGCTTATTACCATTGTTAAACTATTTTTTGGCATTCAGGTCTATCCAATATTGTGGAGGTCAAAATACCTCTCAAAAATCTATGATTCCTTGAGTAGAAATGAGTATTAGCCTTATGCGATTAGATGTACTACCTTCATATTATATGAAATGAATAAAGTGAATATAGACCAATCTTAGATCGAGACACATCCGATTAAGGTATATTCTAAATTCTGTAAATTGACAAGAAAGAATTTCTTGTCTGTACTAACCTAATAATCTTATCAAACATTTAATTTGGCAATATATTGCATGGAATTCAGTAGGTAGCCTTTCCTATGAAAAAAATCGCAACATAAAAGAAGGGAAACTTCATGGTTTTCAAAAGAGTTTAAAAATATGAGAAACAGTTGAAATAAACGAAAAAGTCGTTAGACTCAAAAAAGTATATATGAAAATAAATTACTATACAACAAGAACTTATTTATCAATGTCTATATATTCTTCGAAAAATAATTGTTGCCATTTTTCTGAAATTTTAGTTACCAAAATGTCGCAGATGGCTTATATATATGATATTCGAATGATCAAATCAATTTGCAGTGCCGTCGAGGAGAGTGGTATAAGTAAAAATAGTTTTTTAACTAAATTTTTATTTTTGCTGAAATCTCAGTTAATGGTGGATGCCTGTTGATTTATTTTCCACCAAAATATAGTAAATAATTCATAGTCGACATAAACAAGATCAAATCAATTTGCAATGCCGTAGTAGTAGCGGAGAGTGGGAAAAAATGAAAAGTCATTTTTTGATTTGCAAATAATTCATAGACAACATATACATTATCTAATCAATTTGTCGGGGATAGTGGTAAAAATAAAAACTAACTTTTTTGACATATTTTTGCTAACATCTCAATAGACAGTGGATACTGGTTGACGATTTTTTTACAAAATATAGCAAATAACTGATAGATGACATAATATAAAGGATTGAATCAATTTGCAGATCCATCGGGGAGAGTGGAAAAAAAAAGTGAAATTTTCAACACATTTTATGAAGACCAATCTTCAATTTCATTCAAATTGTCATTACTGTAACCTGTAACATAACCTTACCAAATATTATAACTAGAACTTGAAAAAACATATCACATGTTGGAATTGTATCAAGGTAAACTACCAGTCTTCGCCACTCTACCATTCATTGTCACTTCATCACAAAAACTTAAAAATTAAGGAAACATTTCAAAATGGTATATTATTTGCTGCAATTATTAGTAACCAATAGTATTTGGCAACTATGTACCATTACACAAGCTTCTCGTTAACGCCACTTTTGTTGTAAACCACATGTTATGGACAGTGTAAAATTCCGATGTGTTTTCTCATTTTTGCTGTGAAAATTTTTAATATTATAACAACCAATTATTGCCATTAGTGGCCATCACTGGTTTTGCTAATTTTTTACTACCTATATTTTGGGAATAATGCATTTAAGATTGCAATGTTGCCACTATTTATTGCCTACATAATACTCTAACCAGTTATTGCCACTAGTGGCCATCATTGGTTTGCAAGTGGCAATAATTGGTCATATTTAGCAAACAATTTTTTTAATTCCAGAAATGGCGCCCAAACGGGACTATACGACAGAACAAATGTCCAAAGCACTAGCCGAAGTTAAAAAGGGGATTCCTGCAGCTGTTGCAGCCAAAAAACGAAGTACCTTGAGGCATAAAAGAGATGGGAAGTCGCCACTGGTTTGTCCCATGGGACCTTCAACAATCCTTACGAAAGAAGAGGAGTTCACTCTTGTAGACTGGATCATAAAGTTGTCTGAAAGGCATTTTCCTGTGTCAAAGGAGCAACTTTTAGATACCGTTCAAAAAAATCACAAATTCTACAACAAGAGCTAAAACATTCATGAAGAACCGCCCCAGTGACAAATGGTTTCGCCTTTTTTAAATAGACATCCCGAAATCTCCCAAAGAGTATCACAAAATTTAACTCCAAGTCGAGAGAGTGTTGACTGAAAATCAAATTCAAAATTGGTTTACTGAGATTAAAGAATACCTAGAGTCGCAACATTTGTTTGATTTGTTTGATATCACAAGAAATCCAAACAGAATTTTCAACGCTGATGAAAGCGCGTTCTATTTATCTCCAAAAGAGGGTAAGGTTTTGGCCACAAAAGGAAAAATGTTTATCGTTCTGCTGGAGACGAGAAAGAAAATGTAATGGTATTGCTTACAGCCAATGCTGCTGGAAAAATTGCTCCGCCAATTATTGTTTTGGCATATGAAAGAATTCCAGCGGCTATATCTCAGTGTTCCAACAGGTTGGGGCTTAGGAACTTCCAGTCTTGTTTTTCGTGGATGGGCAGGTTTCTCTTCTAACCATGCATGTGTCTAACTTTTGTGCCCAAAATGGAATTGAATTGATAGCCTTATATCCAAATTCCACGCATTTACTCAAGCCAATGGATGTATCTGTTTTCAGGCCCTTAAAACTGGCATTCAGAAATGAAGTACAGAAGTGGCGTATGGATAACTATGGCAATAAACTTCAGAAGTGTAATTTTGCTGTGGTGTTTGAGAAGGCTTTGTCTCATATTACTGAAGAAACTATTCAAAATGGGTTCTAGGCTTCCGGGTTACATCCGTTTAATGTTAAAAATGTCCACTTCAAAAAAAATTGTGCTAAAAACAATACAGATAAAATTGATTTGTCTTCTGTCACATCTAGTGTTACAACAAAATTGACCAATGGAGAGTTTTTCAACCAAGAAGCAATTTACTGTAATATGTAAAGAGAAAAAGTTAATTCAGGATAAATACTCGTTAGTCATAAAAAAAAAATAGTTTCACTTAATAATGATGAAAAAGTTGAAATATGTCAAAAAAAATAGTTTTTTCAACTCTCCCCGACGGCACTGCGAAATGATTTGATCTTGTATGTGCTGATTGGTGAAAAATTCATTAACAGACATCCAATATTAATTTAGATGTTACCAAAAGTAAGTCAAAAAATAAATTTTTATGTTTTGCTCTTTCCTCGACGGCAGTGCAAATTGATTTGATCTGATATATGTCACCTATGAATAATTTGGTACATTTTAGTAAAAAATTCATCAATGAGCATCCACTGTTTACGATATATGAAAAAATGTCAATAAATGCTTCAATTTCTTCAAACTTCAGACGGTACTACAAATTGATCATACAAATATCACATATAGGTAATCCCTCATTAAACGTTTCAGCAAAAAACTTCAAAAACATTTTTTTTCAACAAAGTATTTTTTATTCCTTTTTCCTTTAGGGCACCGTTGAAATCTACTCAATCATCATTTCCAACGTTTACAATCAGGTACATACAAAAGCGTGGCTAGGAATTCTGTGAAACTTGACAACCACATATCAGGATTTAGATGGAAGTGATTTTTAAATATCACCCTTACTCCCACAGTAAAAAAAATGATTCGCTCTGGGGAATTCAAAATTGACAAGAGATGCTTGACTATGAAGTGGTTGCATGTACATTTGTACATTAAAAAACTTTGGATTTATAATATACTTTATATATTCTTATTGAAATTGACAGTTTTGCAAGGTAGGTAGGTGTATTGATAAGATGTGAAATGTAAAATTTTTCTGAACTTCTAAAATGATTCTCAAGAAAATATAACTTATATTTGATAAATATGGTTGAAAAAACATTCCTAAGCATTACTTTCATATTTTTTTTATGCAACCAATGATTTCATGACCTTCCTAAAAATGGCCGACATCAGCAAATTGAAGAAAATACGCGATACGTGTCACGAATCTACTCGTTCACGAATTCAAAATTTAGTCAGAGAAAATAGAATATATGACTAATAAAAACTCATGTTTGACATAAAAAATTACTTACATAGTATTATTATGGAATACGTTGTTATACTGCATTGTGGCAGTTATGTCTTAGCAGAAGTTCTACAATGGCTTCCCGAGCAGATTATCTGTAATACATAATATTTTTCAGACTACGACAAGGAATTTGGTTACACCTCAAATTATTATGTTTCAATTACAACTCACATAAGAAAAAAATGAAAACAATTATGAAAATTATTAATTTTTAGAAGATCATCGAATTCACTTACCCTGCTCCAACCAGACCGGCCAACAAATGATTTTCTACTTGCGCAGATGGTCAGCGCGCAAATTGATCAGACTCCCGTTCCCTTGAACCGTGAGTGAGCTTCGTGCAAATTATGGCGCAGAGCAGACCAAGCCCAGTTCCAATTTGAATGAATCGAATAGATTTCTTCAACTTCAAAAACATTGCTTCAAACATTGCTTTGGCGTTTGATCACTAGATGGCGATACATTCCTATTTCCTTGACGTCAGGAGAACCGCGGGAACAAAAATGATAATTAAAATCAGAGGAGCCAATTTTCAATTGGTTATTTCTTATATTCACCATAGACAGTTTTGAAAGTGTAATTTTAGCATTCAGTAATCTTGCAATTGTAAAAATTAATCAATAGTTTTGTTTGCCAAACATGCGCCAAATTATCTGACTGTTATAAGGAAACAAGTATAGCTGAGGCATCAGTCAATCTAATAATAACACTGATGATCTTCAAACAAGACTCAACCTCTGAGGAAGCACCAAACTCTTTCGAAGGTTCGAAATAGATGAACACTTCAATCTAACAGACCGCTATTATAATATTCATGCAGTCATTGTTCACTGTGGTTTTGGCGTTGAATTTGGTCATTATTACGCCTTGGTCAAAGACGAAACGGACTGGTTTAAGTGATGATAGTCGTGTCACGAAGTGTTCTGGCGATGTATTGAATTTATTGGAGCCTCTGGAGACACCCTACATTTTTTTTATGAGAGAGAGGACATTGGCAAATCAAGATCTTCAGATGATGTGGTGCTGCAAGTTTTTTCGGGGTTTCCTGCAGCTGAAAAAGCAAATGCGCCACTGGAACCGGAGCGCCAATTAATTTTTATTGTTGTTTTATAATTTCACAAATAAAGGTTCATTACGTTTTGTTTTGTTAGTTTCTTGTCAGAACTATAATTATAGACAAATCAACCATGTTCATGTTCTGTTGTAGTTTTTCATATTATCTCTACATAAAGAAAAAATGGTGAAATTGAAAATCGGAAATTTTCGGATGTCGGAATTTTTCGTATTTTCCCACTTCAGCGCGAAATTCAAATGTTTTGTAATCATTGAACATTCAACTACAATCAAAACACATATCTGAAGTTGAATAATTTCTCAAGTAAATCTGCCACAAAAGTGTGAAAAAAAGTGTACAGCCAGTGCCTTCCTTTAAATGTACAAATAAGCTATTTTATCATTACCTATACGAGTAGGTATATCTGCACAAATTACAATAGACAGAAGCCCTCATGCTAAATTTTTTGGGGATTATAAGATAACTCTTAAAAATGGACGATTTTCATAATATTGGAGTGAAAAATGAGTCTCAGCCTAATGTTGTCAGTTGAAAGTGGTGCATTTTATAACCTTTGTAAAGTGAAACTCAGTGGTGGGGTAAATTTATGTGTAAAAATAAATTTAAATACTAATTATCACTTGGATCTTTTCTGAACAAACGGCGGACGAAAAATTGGGACAGGTATTTAGGAAAAACTTTAATTTTCTGAAAGAAGACCCCTATATGTAAAGGTCAAATATGGGTGTAACTATTTTGCAGTTCTGTAGGTCAGCAAATTGTTCTCAGTAGACATCGCTCTCATAATCTTGTTAGGAGAGACATTCTTGCAGACATGAATCTCGACCAGGTTAATCATTTTTGACAGAAATATTTTCCAACCCCCACCCAATAGTTTCACAGTTGTCAAAAAGTTGAAAATACGACCAAGAATGAATTATTTTTGTACTTATGAACGTTGGTATTATTTCTGTTTCCCAACACAATCCTCCTCTTTACTTAAAAAATTTACACCTGAAATGTTCCAAATCTGATATGAACGGAATATTTAGGTATCGAAATGGACGTGAATTTAGGGTTTGCAAAACATGTCACAAAATGTGTTCAAAGAAGTTACATGACTTTGAAAATGTTTTATCCTCATCGTCATTTATTATCAATAAGTTTGAAAATAAAATTAACAAAGGAAACCAATTGGTTGACTATGGAAAATACAAGTGTTTTAAACTTGGCTACCCTCTTCCATAAAATATTGATTAACAAATGTCCATCATATTTGTATAACAAAATAAGATTTCGTAGCGATGTACACACTCTAAATTTGAGGTTTGAAGGGTTACTTTCTCCGCCGCCCCATTGAACCACCCTATATCGACGTTCCTTCAGTTATAATATATATAGTTTATTCCACAAAAATATAAAGTAAGTAAAATCTCTTCATTTAAGTGCTGTTACAAAAAATATCTCATCGCTGCTCAATCATAAAGCCATTGATTTCATAGATTTTTATACTTCTGAAAAATTTTCAGTAATAAATTTAACATGTTTTCACTCTCTCTCTCTTCCCCCCTCTCTCTCCTACCTCTTTTTTTCACTTCTTTTTTCTCTCGTTTAGTTTTCTTTTCTTCAAAGCTAGAACTAAGATCAACAGTACCTAGTGATGCCTCTTGTCGAGACAAGACACGAAAATGATTTCTCTCGTCTTGTCTTGACTAAGTCGAGAGAAAATGGTCTCTCGTCTTGACAAGAGACCTGTTTTTCAGGCACTCTCTTGTTTTGTCTTGTCTTGTCTCGACTTCTCTTGGCGAGAGAACGTCCTTGGTATTCAGAATTTGCAGTAAACGGAAACTTAGTGGTTATTTGGGTACTTGAACGCTGCACTGGATTCGTCCGTTCAACAGTGATGTCAGTTGTATACTAATTGTGAATAACTTCGAATTATTCTGGTATAAGTATATCAGGCATTTCAAAAATGAATAATCTGGTCGAAATTCACATCTGGCAGACCGACCTGCAAGATTTACTTTCAATTTTATGAGAAAAATGAATTTTTTTCATACTCCAAGCGTGGGGGTTGAATTTTTTTGTCGAGAATGATTAACCTGGTCAAGTTTCATGTCTGGGAGACCCGACCTGAAAGAATTTCTGCCGACCTGAAAAATGAATTTTGAATTTTTTGAGAATTGTGAACTTCTTGGATGGGGGTTGGAAAAGTTTTCTGTATGTAATGGAACTGTGAGGGTATTAAAAACCACTATATTGCATTTTTCAGCCTATTTTGCATTTGATTTCAAGAAACCCATTTGAAACCAGGGGGTTACGAAGTTTATACAGTCACAGATGGATCCAAAACCGAAAATGCATTGTCACGCTTGTGAATAGGTCACACCAATTTGATACATGAATACATTGAATATTACTGGAGTTTCACAACACCAAACCATTATTTTTAACACCTCGACACGTGTTTCATTCACCAAGTGAAGATGATCACTTGGTGATTGAAACACGTGTCGAGGTGTTAAAATTAACGGTTTGGGGTTGGGATAAAACATCCCATAATATTCATTACTACACCAAAGGTTGCAAACAGTGCATCATAAGTATATAAATATATTATTTCAGAGGAACAACTACCTCTTTGTGAAACTTGCCTGATTCCTCTGACTGTAAAACATATTCTTATGGATGGCCAAAAATGCACTTTTGTGGAAGACGTCTTCAACATCTCAGAAATCTCAGACACCAGGTGACGTGCTAGTGCCTGTTCAGCGTATTACCAGTGTTATAGCAGGTACTATCTTCGGCATTCCTTTGGTATTAATGAGAGGCCAGTATTGTCTTATGCTCCCATGGAAATTGAATCCATTGTAGGAAATAAGAAGTGACGAATTTATTGAAACTAACAATTTTCTACCATCTGTTTGATCTGTATCATCAGAATGAGACAAAATTTATCTTGTAGTTGCATCTAACAAGATCATTATGTGATTATTGGAGTCCTTGTTTGAATGATACCCTCTCACGCTGGCACCTCAATATCATACCGACTTGCCACATTATGGCAGAAATCTCAGACATATGCATGCATAAGACTATTTTCTTGGTTACAGGGGACATGCTTCTAAAGCAAATTGAAATCCAAGATAGAGTGGATGTAAACATTGACATGCCCTACGCACATGATATTGAAAATTCCAAGAATTGGCCAGGGTCGTATTCAGAACCAACATCTTTTTGATCGCAAATGCTATGTCATACTTGGGAAAACTTTTTTATAATAACGAGTGAAATGCACAAGTTTTGCAGTTTAACGGGAAAAATGCAGATAATATGTGTAATATAAAAATATTTTCAATGGATTTTTCACAGCGCACTCAAGCATTATATGAAAAGAGACGTAATTATTTCTTCATCGATAATTTTCATTTTATGTAAAACAAATGGAATATTAATCAAAATTATTCAACTGGATGAATTTGTCTGTTCATCAGTAGTATCATCCTCACCAATCTGAATTATCAGTGGCTCGATTTGTGCCTCTATTATGTTATCAAGCTTCCACATCTTTGTCTCGACTTCCGATATCACATGCCCATTTCTCCGTTGTGACTCTTTTCAGAGGCTCATCAAAAAGTACTTTGAGATCTGCAAATTTGAACGTGGTGTTATGCTGAGCTACAAAATTCTTCACATCTGCCCATATTAACTAGATGGGATTGAACTCGCGGTGGTATGGAGGCAGGCGAGGGACAATTTTGTTTTGGCCTGCTGCCATCTCATCGACTATATATTTTTGGTATTCAAGCTTACGCTCCTTGACAATTTTTAGTAGCTGTACTCTTAGTATTGAGTCTTCAAAGCTAATAATCTTTGATCGCAGCCAATTTTGGATTTCAACCTTCTATGAAGACGTTGTCGGAATCTTCTCTAACCGTCATCGCTAATGATAAGGTGCATTGTCCATTACAATCACAGCATTATCCTCCAGATGGGGTAGAACTTTGGAAAACCACTGTTCGACAGATTCACCGTTCATTTCTTCGTGATAATCTCCAGTTTTCTTCGACTCGAAATACTACAGCCCTTCAACAACAAACCCATTCTCATTGCCGATGTGACAAATAATAAGCCGTTTTCCTTTACCTGAAATTACGAAAAGGTATGTAAGTAAATAAAACATATACGAGGGTTACTTTTTATATATTGAGATTGAGGCAGGTCTTGATATAAATTTAAGTTTACCTGATAGATTTGTTAATCCGGTTGATAGTCCATCTAGAAAGGCCCTCCTAGATGAGGTCACAGTTTCATCGACCCATACTTTAGGGGTAGTATGACCAGCATTAACCCAGGTTTCATCCATATAATAAATTGTTCTCTGTTGTTCCCTATAATATTCAATATTGGTCAAATACTCTCTCCTTCATAACACAATTTCCTCTCTATCCAATAATAAACTATTGCGCCCTCGTTTTTTCCATACAAAATTCAAATGTTTCAATACTTTATGGAATGTTGACCGCTTAAAACTTGGCAATAAAACATCTTCATTTATTTCTGTGAGTACTTTGTCTATCGTGGGTATTTTATTTCTGAAAAAGTACTCATGCACTTTCCTCCTGATTGCATGTTTATCAGCATCATCTATTGATTTTATAATGGTTTGACGATTCTGATTTGTATTCGGTTTGGAAAATGTATGATTTTGTTAATATTCCCGTAAAACATTGTAAATCGAAGCGCAACACACTCCAATTTTATCGGAAACTTTCGATACGACTTCGTCGACAGTCGATGTCTCAATTTCTTCCATCTCTTTCTTGAACACATTTAAAATCACTTCTTTCATCTCAACACTCAAATGTCTTTTTTTGGATCGTTTCCTGGCTGGACTCAGAGGATAGCTCACAGTGTCATCAGCAGTGTCTGTACTGGACATCTTGGAAAACAATTTTAAACAATATACTATAACGCACGCCACGCAAACACGCAAACACGCAAACGACTGATTACAACCCTGTGCTGGTACCGAACTCGTACCAAGAAGGCGAATTCACCAATGAACGCTGCCCTTTCCATCTGACACTGTGCGATCACGTGAACATCACGCTTCGGTTTTGTTTTGTTTTACTCTATCTTGGATTTGGATAGACTTTAGGAGCCAATGACCAGTCACCTCTTGGTGTGTAGTGTTGTCATTGGTTATTTGATGTCGACGGGCCTTCAGACTGTATCAGGGCTTTGGAGAAAGGTCCTATGGGCACAACCATTTCATTGAAGAAAAATATTATTATCCAATAGTATAACTACTCGTATAAGATTGCATAAACATTTTTGTACACTTACGCAACCTTCTCTCAAAATAGAACACACACTTATTGAAAATTTGAATAACATATAGGTATAGTTCTGTACTGCGTAAGGATCAATGTCATACATACTGTAATATCGATTCATTAGATGGATTATGAAACAGAAATCTGTTCTGCTAATATCAAATTCGACCCAAATTGATTTTGCATATGAGTTCAATAAATGAATTTATTTCATTGTTATTTCACTTTTATCTCCGCATGCATTCTTCTGGTCTCTTGCACTGATTCTTATGGCTTTCATATTATAAATATAAAAGTTTTTTACAACTAGCCCAAACATGTGAAAATATGAACAGGTAGGTTTTTGATTTCTATATTTTGAATAATTACATTTAAAATACGTACCGTCAAATTGAAGTTGAATTAGGCATACACATTTTTAACGTGTTTTATAGTTAGATACGGATGTTTTATCACTTCGTTATCATTTTCAGGTTATGAAGCATATTTCGAAAAACCACAAATGAAATATGATTGTTAACTATCAAACAAATAGTGAACTGAAATACAATTTTATCACAGTATTCTTCAAATTGCAATGCAAGCAAGTTACCGGGTAAGTTCAATGAACTTAACGACAAAGATTTGAATTAATTTCATCGTTTTTGAAGGTGGCTTTCATTTTTCAGTTACTTTCCGTTTTGAATTTTAACCACAGAAACCTGTTCACATAACCATTTCTCTTAGTTTTCTTCTGAAAGGGGGTAAGAAACGAACAAGTTTCTTAATTATTTTGAAAATAATTATTGAATATATTGGATGAAAATTCATTATACTAGATATGATTCAATACAACATCCACTGAACATGTAGTTCTTGCCGTGTTCATTCGTTGGTAACCATTATACTCCCCGGAGAAAATCAATATTTTGGAGTTGTGCAGTTTGAGTGAACCAAGTTATCGTTCTATATTCAACACAGACCATATGTTTACAAAATACGACAAAGGGCAAAAGCGCATCTAGTGAAAACTACAAAAAAATCATTCTTTTTTAACTAGTCCATACTGGTGAACAAAAAACAGGCTGTGATATTGAAAGTTTTATATAAATATTACTAATTCAGTTGAAACTGTTTCACTATTTTATTAGGTAACGTATTGCAGCACTTTGAAGATAAACTACTCGCTAATTCTTATTCCGTAATGTATATTTTTCAGCCCCAATGAAGATTTCATCGTATCCAGGAATGAGCTTGAGAGGTGAAGTCAGAGAGAGTATTTCTCTGGACGAAGACGATTTGAGTGATGTTGAAGATGAAGTATTCATTCGAGATGGTAAAAATGGATACAAGGTAAGTCAGTAGATTTATGTAGAATTTAAATTCATTCAGAATTTACAGTTGGCAGAAGAACTCAATGTTAAAAGACCCTTGATGGCTCCTAGGAGAAAACTTGGAAAATCCGAAATTGGAACAAGGCAAACTGGTAAACAGCCTTGTAGAGTCTTCTATAAGCCGTGCTGTTATGGATTAGCAGCTCTGACTGTCATGATCGGTAAAATAATCCAAAATATTAATTTGTTATTATTTATTAATAATATCTTCAGGGCTAATCATTTTGGTTGTTGTGCTTGTTTCAATCTACCCGTTGCCTTTGGATTGGTTGAGAGACTGGGTAATCAAAAAATCTCTGACGGAGGAACCAAAACTAACTTTACTGCCTTGTGATGATTTGATTGTAACTGACATTTGGTCGGTGAATTTACCAAAACTCACTACGGATTCGGCAATACGTACCTTAGACGTGAATGACGATGGCATAGAAGACATTTTATTTGGTTTCGGAACTGGTATAATTTAAATTAGAATGTATAAAGACAGTATTTAATTTTGATATTTTAGGTGACAATTATGATAAACTGCCCGCTGATACATTTTGCCCGATATTTATGGGAGTCCCTCCACCTTGCGAAGGAGGAGTTCTAGCTCTGAATGGCACAAATGGCGAGATACTCTGGAGAGTTTGGTTCAACGACACCATTTACAGTTTACAATGTTCAGCAGATGTCAATGGAGATCACTTAGAAGACTGTCTAGCCGTTGGAGAAAAAGGGGTAACACTTGAAACCAACTATATATCTATACTCTATACTAATATTATAAATGAAAGTTCGTGAGGAGGGATGAATGTATGTATGTATGACCGATGTTTGTGGCTCTTTCGCGCCTAAATGATTGAACAGATTTAGATTAAATTTCACATAAATACAGCTTATACATCAGAATAACAAATAGGCGACTATTCACAATTGCTTTATATAATTTTGGTCATAATATATGACAATAAGTATCAAGTAAGTTGGAAAAATTCTTGCTCTCTGAGAGCTATCTTGGCGTGCGGTGCCTTTAGCGTTGCAGTTACATGTAAATAATGTACCGTAAGATTTTTTTATTATAAAAATTAATACAATTGCCGTTTCAAGTATTTAATATAGATAAACTTTGTCTTTTACACTATGTAATTTGAACGAATCCTTTAAAATTTATCATGATAAGATTAACTTGACGCAACGCAATAAGCCATTACGCGTCGTGTCTACTGTAAGACGACGGGGGACATTTCGTGGGTCTAAGCAATGAAGCGCCATCGCCGAGAACGCGACCCGAACGCGGCCAGACGCGTGAGGGCTAACGCCGTTGATGGTTGTGACATATTATGCGACATCTTGACAAAACAATGTATTGATATTACTATTGTATGTGTTTTGATTTTTATAAATTTACAAAGTAGTTGAGATTATGTAATATGAAATAAACATTGGCCTAATGACATTTTTACGTTGCCGTTACTTTCTCAGCGGGAGCCTCAGTGGGCCAGAGATAGTTTGCTGGGTAACAAAACCGAGCGTCGTCAATATGTTCGATCTTTTTTTTCAATTTTGAAATGATCCAATAGTTATTCAGCTATTCCGGGTGGATACAAATCCAACAAATCAAAAATCATGAATATCGATTCACCCGTTCTTGAATTGTAAATGGTGTAACTAACACCATTTTGCGACTTTGTTTAATATGTTAGATTAAGATTCTCAGCAGAAACATGATTACAAAAATCAGTCAATTCATAAGCAGGAACAGGATTTGGTAAACCATGGTAAGTATTTATCCCTTTCGAGCAAATCTACAGTCATTAGAATAATATGGTCCATAACTTGAACTATGAAGCTGTTACTGTTGTCGAATTTCGTTCGGATTGAACATCTTCTTGGGCGACCAACTTGTATCTGTCACCTCCTAATATTTTCTTTGTTTTATCCGGGTGATTTTTTTGGTTTGATATTCTTAAAGTTTAATGCTTTTGAGCTCCCTTATCTTTCAGTCGTCACATTTCTCTTACAGTTTCTATCTGGAACATCTGATGTGGTATTGAAAATTTTCTGTAACCCCAGAATTCCACCGTCACATTTGAATAATACCTAAAAGGGTCTTTTTTTTCAAACATTGTAACTAATCACCAACTGTATTTTCCACAATTCGCTCACCTATTCTGATAATGTTCTATGTTCGGAGGATGTTGATGAGATTCATATAATTGCAGTGGTCCCTTAGTTTAATGGGCATGAAATGTAGCAAAATGCCTACTATGTAACATTATTTCGTAGAAAAAAACTGATAACTATAATGAAACAGTACAAATTCAACTTATCAGATACACAAATACATAGTTGAATATAAATATCAACATATTGGTATAGGAACATGAAAAAACATCCTCTCAGTTATCTCAAAGGTGCGATTTCGTTTCACCCTTTTCAAAGAGGAAGCGTGCTTCTTCACTCACAAGCAATTTTGGTGAAATAGGTAAAACGTATGAATCGTTGTATTTGTGCCACGTGCCAGTATACGAGTGTCTGCAGTATACGTGTAATGCCCGATGTAAGTAGTCCCACTATGATTCGAAAGTGCATATAGATTATAACGACAAGTAGCCACATTGTCAGCTGCAAAATTGCTCATATCCAATTCTTCTACAGGAAATTCGATGACAACATTTAATTTGTCTCTGAATCTTTCTGTTCGAGAAAATCTTTTTTAAGAAATATGCTTCTCCAAACAACAACATAAGGCTCTATACCAATATATAATATTATATATTATGACAATCTGCTATCATATTGGCAGATGTAGTTCTAACAAAATAAAGAAATCAGTATTTTGAAAATGTATCGAAGGCAATCTTTATTCTCAAATCCTTATTTGTTGAAAAAGGGATGAAAAATTATTTGTAGATGAACAATTTAGTTTTTTGCTAACGTTTCAGACCTTATTAAATCCATCATCGTAAAGTCCGAAACGTTAGCAAAAACTAAATTGTTCATCTACGAAGAATTTTTGATCCCTTTCCCAACCAATAAGCATTTGAAAATATAATTTGGATCACCAAACCTCGCGAAGGCGATCTTTGTGTGTGTAGATTCGTCTTATTTTTTTTTTTTAAGCGAGCCGAAATTGACCAAATGAAGGGTATGAAAAGGGTAATTCATTTTAGGCACTAACAAAAGCCTTGTCTGATGAGGTTTAGGATTGGGCTTTTTGGTCAAGTATCTGAGACAACCATCGATATGTTTTTTTCTGTATCATCTCGCCCTTCTATCCACTCATTTGGATTGTCTGTTGTTGGATCAAAAGTGGACAGTAACAAAAATTTCGTCTGTGGGTCCTGGTTTTTGAATCAGTTCTGTGACACAAGTTATATCCAGAAACACTCTGCAAACTGCTGGAAACAACTTTTGGTCATCTTGATCAGGCACTGCGACGTCAGAAGTAATTCGAAAAAAAATCATCGTCACAATGGAAAAATTTCACTGGATTTCGAATGGCACAACCATGCGAACATATATCAGGTCGCACTAGGACTAACTAACTCAATAATTGCTTAGACCTGTTACGTAGCTATGGCGCTGTTGTTGAATTTCACATGTTTGACACCAAGTGTTGGTAAAAATACTAAATCCTTGCCTCTGATATGTACTGAAATAACGACTTTTAATGTGAATATCTGGAGCTTCTGTGGGAAGATGGGACAATCATTCACCAGAGGGAGAGGTAAAAAAAAATGATTTGTTATGAATGGAAATAAAGGCAGATCAGTTATGAATCCACAAGCTTCCACGCGTAAAAAATTCAGAAATGTTTGTAAAATTAATCCATTCCCCAATTGAAACAATTCGCCAAAAATAAATCAGGAAATTTCTGACAATGCACTGTTTATGGAAATCGATATTGTTGAAAACTTGGATGAACAAAAGTTTGTGATTGATTGTAGAATGATAACAGCAATGACAATGTTTGTTTGAAGGTGATTGACAATGTTTCATGATGAATTTCAATAGTTCGGACTTCCATTGTCTAATATATAAAATGATTTGAAATCCCTGAAACAACCAAAAAAGAAGAATTACAAATAAATAGCTGTAAATTAAAATTATATTAAGCAAAAAAAACCTGAAATGAAATAATAGTGAAATAAAATACAAGTAAAAATAAAACGATTGAACAAAACGTAAAGCAATACAAAATGAAAATAAAGATAAAAATACTGAACTAGACGCCTTCTTGAAACACATCAACAGCGTGGGACCTTCCATCACTTTCACAATGGAGAAGGAAATCCACAACGAATTGCCATTCTTAGACGTTTTGGTGAAGAGGACCGACATAAGTGGGAAACATCTATATACCGAAAACCCACTCACACGGAACAGTATCTGAACCGCGAATCCAACCACCATCAATCAACTAAAAAAGGAATCATCAAGACTCTATAAGACCGTGCTTTCGGGCTCTGTAACACGAAGGAAGGTCTCGAGAAGGAACTAGACATCATCAAAAATGATCTTCAACGGAATGGCTACTCCAAAGCGATGGTAGAAAAGATTTTGGGTAAAAGACAGCAGGAGCCTAGCAAGGAAGAGAAGTCGTCACAACCAGTGCTTGCACTTCCCTACATCAGACGATTATCGGAGAGGATAAGTAGAATTGGTTCTAAGTACAACATCAGAACCTGCTTCAGATCCGGTAACACTATCCGTAGCAGCCTCACGAAATCCAGGCCACCAAACGCGGACTGCGATTCCAAGAATTGCATTTACCGGATACCCTACCGGAAAATCCTATATGGGTGAAACTGAGAGGACATTGAATGTTCGCATTGCCAAGCATAAGAAACACACACAGCGAGGGGAAACCAGCAAATCAGGAATAGCAGACCATGTTTGGACCCACCAACACAACATCGAGTGGTCCCAAGCTGAGATCTTGCACAGAGAGGAACACTGGTTTAGGATAAAATTCAAGGAAGCCGCATACATGTTGTCCAACAACGTGTTCAGCCAGGCCAGCGTAGAAATACGCATAATAACATATGGAAACCCATCATCAAACGAAAAATGGCCAAGTCCCGCCAAACGGTCATCTCCCACTGAACCAAACTTTTTCATAGTACAATGTAGAAACCAGCTCGGTATTTCACTTTTGTGGCGACGTTGATGAATACAATATTATAGAATATATTTATAGCTTTCTACTTCTACATCTTCATCTACATCTTTAGGCTCTCCTAAAAATATACGTACCCCTTCACATCACGAGTTCAATTTCAATTTTTCCAAAAACGGGCGGATATAGCTAATTATGTATTTTGTAGTAACTACATAATAGTTCTCAAGATATTCAAATTTCAACTCAACTTGTGAATTATCTAAATCTAAAAGAATAATTCGTGAAGAAAAATTCACAAATTGAGTGGCCATACCTACTTAGAGACTGGCTGTAAATCAAATTATCTAAGAGAACAATTCGTTCAAACCAGTCTCAAATTACCTACACTGTAGGGTTATTGACTGACACCTATCATAAAACAACTACTCCCCTGGCTAATAACATGAAGGGCGTTCGATTATATCCGACAGGTGTCAGTGCAGGATTCTTCACTGAAGTTATTTCTGCATATGTTGTTGGCGATACAACTGCCGCAATAGGTTTTCAATTATTGGAACACACTTGCAGACCGGTTTCGGGTTGTTTGGCCACTCGTCAGTGCAAGGTATCATCAACATGAATCTTGCGATTTGAATATCGAATATTTCAGAAACGTTGACTTCTGCGGAAACGCAAGTTATATTCTACCTGCATTTTATAATAAACAATAATCCATGTTATCGTACTGTCGACAGTTAAGAATATTGGGAAATTCCTCTTTGAAACTTTGACGTCAAATAAATAGAGGCTCCATTGGGATTCAAGCACTTTTCAGTAATTGTTTTTCACTATAAAATTAAGGTCTAGCAAAAAATGTAGCCTACTGTATTTTAATCATCTGATGAGCCTCTGCAGCGTCTATTAGTTCTGAATTATTATATTTCAAAACAATTATAAAGTAAACATATGAATAAGTCAGACCAGAAATAATGTTCTGGTGTACAAGAAATGTATTTCTGTTTTAAATCTATGCATTATCTTTTTAGGTATCTTACAATTTCTAGTAATTTTTATTGTTAGCTAAGAACGCTACACCTACTTTGATAAACGATTCACACATCACTATAATCTCAGGCTTAACAATCTAGTTAAGAAGCTGAATATGAGTTTTTTCATTTTAGACGTTAACTATGCTCAATGCTCGAAATGGATCCAAGATATGGCAGTATAATACAAACAGGATGAATATCTTTGTGGCAAATTTCATTCCAGATCAAGATAACGATAACGTTTCTGATGTGTTAGCGTCACAATCTTCACTTGGGGGTGAGTAAATATAGTTCAATAATGAACTTTCTGAATTTATATAAAATTAATGAACTTCAGATGGTGGAACAGGCACCGGTAATCTTGTGTTATTTTCGGGCAAGAACGGACAAGAGCTGAAACGATTCAAGATTCCTGGTGACGCGCAAACCTTCTATATGCCTCAAATCCTTACTAAAAATTATACGAACTCGTATGTAATTTTTGGAACGGGTTCGCCATCCTCTGGTGGTAATCTGAGTGTGAATACGGTTGATGGGATTACTTCTGGAAAGTTGGTAAGAGCAAATAGTAAATAGTGAATATAGTAAATTCCTCTTCTTCTAAAAAACTTATCGTGACCAAACATCACAGCATCAGCAACCGGACAATCTTTGTTGTGCAGGTATCTTACAACGAAAAGTCCGATTTGTGACTTTTAGTTAAACTAAAATTCACAAATCCATTTTCAGTGGGTTCTTCGAACTATGGATGATTTTGAATATTTTTCCATTGATTATATTTCTTCAATTATACGATAATATCTTATGTAAGATTCCCAAAAGAAACTTTCATGAACATCACTTTTCAAAATTCAGAATATTCAGAAAAAATGAACAATATGTCAATATCGACTGATATGACTACTGATATGTATTGATTTTTACCTTCACAGGGGCATCAATAAATAATTTTATTGGTGAAAATATACTTCCTGGATGGAGGAATATTGTGGGAAATAAATTTTGGTAGAAATAAAAAAAAAACATACTTTGCCTATAAAGATGATAGATGATGATCCGGCCCTGTGTATGAGATATATGTTGAATACCATCATATTAGGAAAGAGTGAATTTTTTTTGAGACTGTCATCTGTAGTCTTTACATATCCTTCACATAACCTTCTGCAGGATATATAAAGACTTTTGCAGAAACATCACTATTCATTATTTATCAACACAAAAATAAGAGCTAAGACTGACCAACTTAGTACGTGTTTGGTTCTGTTACATTTCGCTAAGTTGTCGATATTTGCATTGCTAACACTATTGAAAAACAGAGGATTCCGCCATCTTCAACATCGACTAACAAATGAATATCGCATTCTTTCTTCTTTCAATTTTCAATGCAAACAGACTAGATAAAATTTAACAGAAAAGCACAGCCTAAGTGACTGAACACCAGAGGGCGCTTTTACGTTGAGGTCTGGGGAATGTTCCTCAATTTGGGTTATTACAGCAAATGCAAGTTTGAACAAAATAAAGTTGAGTTTAATTCATGAGTTTTTCAAATTCACTTCGAAAAGTATTCAAATTGATATTTCAAATGTTGGGTTTTAATTTTTAAAGGGATTTGTTTCTAATTCACATATTGACAACAACGCCTATATCAAGTGAAATAATTTATACGTACCTAGATATTCTACTTTAAAAAAGGAAAATTATCTTTATAAATCAACAATTAAGGCAAAATATAAATTATAGTTCAATACCACCTCCACAAGCCACATAAACAACAGTTGTTTTGAATATTTCTGGAGTTTTTTCCCAACACCAAATCGTTATTTTCAACACATCGACACGTGTTTCGATCACCAAGTGATCATCTTTACAACGATATAATATAATAGCAAATGACCTATTTTTCAGACTAGTGAATCGAAAACGATATATGAGGATAAATTCATAGGTATGATGACTCAATCCGTTCTCGTGGACATTACTGGTGACGGTATTCCCGACATAATAACGGCCATGCCCAATTCAAGCTTAGTTGCAATCGATGGAGGGACGTTTCAACAAATTTGGAATTACACAATTCCAGTATCCGAAACTAATATCAGCCCGACACCGGCCTTCTTTAACAACGATAATGTTACAGATTTTCTTATCGTTTATCAGAAGTATGACCAAATTTTCAACTACAATTATACACAGGTGAGTGCTACAATCATTAACCTCAATATTTAACAGTCCGTCTCATTAATGTGGTATTTGCATTCCATAGAGTTTAAATTCGCCCTGCTGTACGCGATGACTCTACGGCAGTGCCTAGAAAGGCATGCACCTGGTTATCCTTTGTCGGGACTGGAAATTCCTTCACGTTCAACACGTGTTCTTCTTGGAATTTTTCCCGCCCTTAGAGACCACTCCACCTAAATAGTTTAAGGTCCACCCAAATTTACATTTGGATGGTTATATATTCATCCCATGGAGTCTCAGTCTTTCCAGAATCACCTGCAGCTGGTGGCAATGTCCGTCTGTATTATATGAGTATACCATAATATCAACGAGGGTGACCTCGCAGAACTCATCTACAAAGCCTACCAGGACTTCAGACATTCATTTTTAGAATACGCTAGGTCCGTTCTTCAACCCAACGCTCAACACCTTGAATTCATATACCGCGTCGTCCGGTCCCCCAAACGCGGTGTATTTCCTCGAATTCTTATCGAGCGGAGCTTGCCAGAACCTGTTCCTGAGATCTAATGTAGTGAATATTGGCGCTATGTCCATTTCCCGTAAATTTCCTGGATGAGTGATACGTAGGGTACTTTGGCTCTAATCAATTTTTTAATCTGGCGGTACCCCACACAAAATCGCAATTTCCCTCCTTTCTTTGGGACCAGGACTACAGACGAGCAGTAAGCGAGCGATTACTTCCGCTTCTAGCAATTTAGTTATCACATCATGGACAAAGGCCTCATGGGCCTTTGACATCCTGTATCTAGACTACCAAAAGGGTCGCTTTTCCTCAACACGAATCTTATTATACCACTGCCTTGGGCTGGAGTTGGCAGATGGTCTCCACAAAAATGCCGGGAAACTTCTTGACTACCGACCAGATCTTCAGAGAACTGAGAGGCCCCTATCACGCTATATTGGATGAAGTTACTCCAAGTTCCGGTGTCAATCAGGGCTGAGAGATTAGTGGAGAGTTTATTACACGCGGAATTCTTGGAAAAAATCTTCCAAATAAGGGACGTTCTTCTGCTACCAACGTCTACCAGTGGTCCTCGTCTTCAGGGGCCTCAGGCTATCCACTGCCAAAAGCTCTGCCATCACGTAGTCTTCCTAGGACTTTTCTTGAAAGACCGCATCCGTCTCCACCACATTGTTATGGTTTTCCCAACGGTAAAGGGTTGACCCTTATGGTAGTGGTAGACCTCGATCATTCCCTCCTGTGTTCGAAGGCCCCGACTCCGAAAAAGTTCGATGTGAAGGACGATATAGGTCTGGGGAGTTGATATTTCGGTTATTATTTAACTTCTCCGGTTCTGTGGAACATTGCTGACACTCTGATTTCCCGCATTCTGGTTCGCCAGAGGATTGATGCTACGAATGCATTTCCTAGACAAACACAAGTCCTCATCGGTAGCGCCCTCTCGGCGACGAGTCATGCAACAATTTTGTCTGTCTTATTGAAAAGTACTAAAAAGTATACCCTTTTACGTAAATTTTGTCTAACCTTGATATATTTTTTCAAAAGATAAGAGAAGGGAGCTATTTACGTCCACACTGAAAATATATAAACATGAATTAGAGCAGCGTTAGAAAAATATTACCTAATCACTTTATACATAGCTCGTTAATCAGTGAGCAGTATTTGCCAATTTCAATGCAAAGTTTGTTCACTTGAATAAGTGAAGATGAGAGAAACAATACTACTACAATACTACGAAGAATTGTGATGAAATGTTTGATAAATCGTTTGCACTATTACTGCATTACTTAATCTTCTGAAGTTGTCATCCATACCAGGGGAAACATATGAGAAGAATGACCAAGAAGATTACAAAAAGGGACCCAAAAAATCATATTGATGATTATAATTAAATAAATTGTACTTACACATAGTGGTAGCAAATAGACAAGTAGCAAATAGACAAGTAGCAAATAGACAAGTAATAATTTCATAAATATTACTTGTCAATTGAAATTGTAGATTGAAAGAAATTTGTTAAATACAAATATTTTAAAACTAGCTTACCTTGAGATATCTTCTGCTGTTTCTATTCGTTCCCTTCATAATAACAAAAACAAATCAATATTATCCAAAATAAAATAAATAACAAATAACACCGATTTCAAGGTATTCAAATGTTTGAAATTACAATCTACAATAAAACTCAGATCAATTACGACTTAATACTATTATGATTTATTATGACAGAATACGATATGACATCGTAGCGTTATGCCGCCGTATATTTCTGACTTTTTCTATTGCATACATCAAACGATTTCAATGTTGTACTGTTGTACCATCTTGATGATATATTTTTCTGTCTTTTACGATACTGGTGCTGTATAATGTGATGCTTTATGTGACATAAAACACCATTTGATGTTGTTTTATTTTAGACATTCATTGTTGATGGAATAACTGGAAAATCTATTTACAATCCCATAGCAGGAAGCGTATCAACACAAATGAGTGGCTTATTGCTGAGTTTTGAGTCTCACGGATATGATATGTATCTATTTTGGACCTCCGAATGTGAAAATGTGGATACTCTCAGGAAAGTCGATCTTCTCGAAAGTAAATTGTGTATATACATAAGGGTTCATGAAGATTCATCGACTTTTCTTCAGGTAAACATGCTGATGAGCACGACGAATGCCGAAGCCAATTCAACACTACAAGAATTCTGAAATTACACGCTCTTAATCAATTTCAGGAGCCTCCAGGATTCACTGTTTATAATTCAGGTAAATTTGTTATATTTTCATGTAGAATGTGTTTATTTCATGAACAAAAACGGCGATATGATCTCCAAACAATGAAATGAAGTACCTTTATTATATTTCTATTCTTCTTACATATTATTCTATTACTCAATCTTGCTCATGCAAGCTTTCAAACGGGTTCTTTTCCATGGGCTCCTTGAATTTCTAGTTAATCTTTCAGTTGATTTTTGATCCTGCCAATCTCTCTCTAGTTTTCGTTTTTTATCACGTTTTGTATTATCAATAGTGTCCTGTATGCCACATCCTTGTTGTCCCAGTCTTTTTCGAATGGTCGGATAAGATGCAAGTTAACTTTTATGGAAGCAGTCACGAGCACTGAATATTTTTAATGGAAGCCATTGTTTTTGTTTACTTCTCTGTTCCTGTCCCAGATGGACTGAAGACTTATCGGTGAAAAAAGTACGAAGTACCTACCCACCAACTTCTGATCAGAATATTCAACTCACATCAGCTGGAGGGCAACCAATAGGTTGGTTTGTCAAGGAACAGATCGTTCTCATCTCCAAAAACCATTTTTTTCATTCGGAGATATTACAGACCCCTCTCTATTTAAAATATTTTGAGGATAACACTCGATCTACGGAACTCTTGATTTTTCATAAAATAAAGAGATCCAACTGTGAATGATCTCAGTGATCCCAAGCTGAGATCATCTATAGGGAGGAACGCTGGTTCAAGAGAAAGTTCAAAGAAGCTACGTATTTGGTATCCAATGACGCATACAGCCAAGCTAGCAACAAGCGGAAAACGGTCAACTTCCACTAAACCGGTGAGAGGGAAGAGAGAGATAGATGAAAGCGCTCGAATGACCTATAAATAGTCATCTCTCGGAGGAATAGTCCAGCCATCACCCAAAGACGATTGTGGATACCAACAATCGAAACTTCGTCAAGTTACTTGGTTTGAGACATTTTTATTTTATTTTTAAAGCTTTTATTTGTCGCTAAATCTTTTACCAGGGGCATTTAAATATAAATTATTATTGAACACAATAATAATATTGCCGATTATATATGATCTTCCAACAGGGACTTCTGAACTTTGATAACGGCCATCTTGTTGAAGATACATCTATCAAATTATTTGTCGTTCATTCAGTCTGTTTTCCCAAATCACCATGAACGGATATAGCATTCAATAACACGAGAAAATAATAAAATTGTTTTATCAAAATGAATGTTCTGTACGGTTGCCATATTCGTCCTACCAAGAAGGCTATTCGCAATGTGGTGGATAAATTTGAACCCACTAGTCTAGTAAACGATCGACCAACACCCGTGCGACGACGAAATGCAAGATCTGCCGAAAACATTGAAGCTGTCTGTGAGAGTGTGCAGGAGAATCCGAAGCAGTCGATTTCGCGTAGCTCGCAGACCACTACTTGGTGAATTTTGCGTAATAACTTGGGCCTGCACCAGTACAAAATTCAACTGATCCAGGAACTGAATCTTATACAACGACCTGTGAATTGGCTCTGGAGCAGTTGACAACCGACCCTAATTTTCATCAAAAAATTGTCTTCAGCGATGAGGCCGATTTCAGGATGAATGGTTAGGTGAACAAAAAAAATTGTCGAATTTGGAACGATAACAATCCATATAAGATCCAAGAGCGTCCAATGCATCCCGAAAAAGTCACTGTTTAGTGTGGATTTTGGGCTGGCGGCAACATCAGTTCATTTTTCTTTGAGGATGACGTTGGCCAGACCATCATATCAACGGCGAGCACTATAGATCGGCGATTACCAACTTTTTTGGCCTGACTTGGATGATCTTAATACGACGTGTGGTTTCTACAGGGTGGCGCTACGTGCCACACAGCTCAAGCCACATTCAATATGCTGCACAAGCGATTTAAGGACATGGTAATCTCACGCGGAGGTGATGTGAACTGACCATCGAGATGGTGCGATTTGAGCCCTTTACACTTTTCCTTGTGGGGTTTTCTTAAGTCGCAGGTGTATGCAAATAAGCCACAAACCACAGCGGTCTTCAAACCAACATATCCCATGCCATCGGTCAAATTCATTCGCCAGAGTCATGGAAAATTGGACGCTTCGAATGCACCCAGAGAAGCCGTGGCGGACATTTGAACAATGTTATATTCCACACATGAAGGCATCAATGTGGAATTGGTCGCGGTGGTAGTGCGCCCGACACACGATCGGAAGGCCGTGGGTTCGATTCCCGACTCTCGCCAGATATTTTTCTCGAAAGAATTTATCTGGTTGAAGCTGGAATGATTCTGCAACCGTGTTAGAAATCACACGTTAAAAGGTAAGACCTTGTTAGTCCTCAGCTCGCACACGTTTCTCAACTTCTGAGAGTTGTCGTTCGTATGGGGACGACAGCTGATTAACAAAAAAACAGATTTCAAACAGATTTTTAAAAAAAGGTCTTTTAAACGAATACAAAATTTCGATCATATCTCAAATACCCACTTTGTTTTATTTAAATTTAAAGATAGGATGTGCTTAATGAAAGACCCTATACGAAGCAGCAATCTTACCTAAAGAGAAAGTCAGAAAATTTTATGTCGAAAAATTTTTCTGAATACGACCTCGGACAAGAAATTTCGGGAGGTAATTTGAAGAAAAAAATTGATTGTAACGAAATGAAACCCTACAATTTTCAGAATTAGGCTTCAAAAACTACCTAATTTTTTATAGTCAATAACTATATCTTCAATAATTTATTCGAAAATATCTCATTTGTTGATAATTCATTTTTTCTTAATGTTAATCAATCAGGGTAGTAAAAACGCAAAAGAAATATTAAAATCATTTATCATTTCGATTTAACGTAATAAATAATTCACTTTTCTTTAATGTGACTTATGCACACCAAGCTATTATTTCCGACTTCCAATACCCATATAATGAATAAAAATGTTTCAGCCGAAAGAAAGAATCTTGAATTCACAGAAATGAAAACTCCTACGAAGCAATTGAAAGAATATTACAAGGCGCATCCCAAAATCAACATACAATCACTTGGTCAGAGCGAAGTTGACGAAAACTACAACGTTGATCCAAGTCCTCCGAAAATTAGAAAATATGGAACATCGAGTTTCAGACACAAAGATCACAATGGAGGTTTGATTGAAAGTTATATGACTGTACCTGAAAACCACCACTCTGAAGATCGAGTAAGTAGAGTAGAGTAAAAAACTAATTGAAGTCATTACAGAAAAAGTATGATTTATTTTTCTGGTCCATTCTTCTGTACTGGGTGTTTGTACGGAGGTTGAATTTACAATTTGATCATTAATAATTGAAACACTAATCTAACTTGTAAAATTTTTCTTTGGACAGTATTTTTTCACAAAATTTCTTAAAATTTTATACAATAAGTTAAAGCAGGCGAATCTGCAATATTCTTCCCAAAAATTTGTGTGCATCCTATTAGAAATTTAGACTGAGAGCGTTTCGAGTACGAAAGTTACTTACTACTTAGAGTGGAATTATATCCCGGTGGCACACTCGTATAGTGTTTTACGAGACCTTGAGCACAAGTACTCGACGTCTTTGCCTGTCTCACTCCACAAATAATGGGTAGTTTTGTTTCATTTCTAGTTCTCTAATTTTATTAATAGGTACTTACCAGATAGTTGAAAATTTGGTTTGAGCTTCCTCAATGAATTTTTCTTTTATGATTTAATTGAATGAAATATTTATTTCAAAATTATTTTATTGGAAAATTGTATTATATGAAGCACTATTATCCTCAATGGTGTGCTTCGAAGTTTCGGGACAAAATACATGTCTTATCAACGCATCAGCACCGTTTTGGATACCTTTACAAGACGATGCATTCATCTTTTCATAACATAGCACATTTTTTTTCTTCTAGTGACATAACTTTATGTACGTACTGTCATCATGACAAATCTGTTCTTGTCATGATGACAGTACGTATACACATTCGTATACAGAGCTATAGAAATTTCATTCGAATTGATAAGGTTTTTTCGAAAAAAGGCGTTTGAGCTTTCTACTTTTCCATCGTGAAACAAAAAATGTAAATGTTATTTCATATTTCGACACTAGTATACCTAAATCATGCTAGCCAGTCCTAGAATATAATTATTTTTAGTAGATGTAACAATATATCAACCTCCAAAAATGACTGAGCCAAGACAAACTCTGAATATGATTATTCTTATTGTCAATTCGATATTGTCTTGAGGGTAAAAGAATTTCATGAATGACAACATGCCGGTACATCAAAGAAAGCCACCTAATCGTCGCAAGCAAGTGGCTCTGCAATTCATCTACGAAGTCACTGAGATATTTCTACCCGCTATGCTCCTTGAGGACGCCGCTAACGAACCATTAAAACAGTGACTTGCGACAAATGACATCAAAGGAGGCGGCCGACTGTTTTTTCTCAGATTGCGTTAAAGATAGTATTGATAGGCGTCGGACTGAGGGTACTGATATAAATTTTCCAATGATAAATTCTGTTTGATCCGAAGATAATTGAAATATCGTGAAAACTAATTTTGTTTAAATATAGAACAATTTATTTTTGAAACAGTTATTCAGGATTATATAGAACATATAACAATATTCCAGACTCCACAAATGACTGAGCCAGACTATGAATGGGTTCAGAATCAGCAGGAGCCGCTGTTGAATAACATGGAAAAAATGGAACCAAATTTCGATGATTACCAAATCGATGATACTGTACCTTATAATCAAAAACATTTACTGATTAAAGAAAATCTGGAAAACTCCAACAGAGATCCCAGAAGCAAAGAACGTAAGACGAATAATCACACATCAAAAAGTATATCCAAAACAAGAAAAAAAGATCTGTTCGGTGAAAAAAACGGCATTTACGACTATCGAAACGTTCGATTATCCAGAAATAGGCTACTACGTGATGTAGACTACATTCCTACTGATATATTCAAAGACACGTTTATTAAAAATGAGGAAATGCGTCTCAGAAAATCCAAATTTGAACAGAGGGATGTCAACACACACACTGATAAGATAAAAGAAAAGGAAGAAATACGGAAAATCATAGATAAAGAATTGGAAGAGTCGAAGAAGTCTCCTACGACTTTGTGGGATCTGGAATCGGAGAAGGAGATGGAAGACTGGGTGGACGGAAATTACAGGGGGAAAAGGGATATCAACTATGCTTCTTCCATTATTTCTAAAATAACTTCAGTTGGTAAATAATTGTCATCACTATAATCAATAAACCAACAAATTTTTAAATTCAAGGTGCTATAGTCGATTCCATCAACATGACTAACGGTAGCAATTCAATAGATATAGTGTTCATCAAGTACTGGATACCAACGCACATAGGACATCAAGAAATGTTGAAACGAGATATCAAAGATTGTATTGATGATAAAATTAAGGAAAATTCTGAAGGTAAGAACAATTATCATTTATAGTAGTAGTGCTTGCATTATAACCGATATTTTTTGAAAATCATCGATATTAAGAAAACTATCCCAAACTGAAGGCAAGGGATATTTTTCTTTAAGTATTTGTAACAAAGAAAACCATTCTAAGGTTGATTCAAACACTCTCCCTCAGGATCACGCCCGAGGAAGCTAATGTAAAAGTGAAATACGATTATGAAAACTGTGTAGTGGAAACCTTCAACCGAGCATGTTTTATTAAACACCACAGGATTCACGATTTCGCCATCCACATTGTTTTCCACATTGATACCTCTCAAAGCCAGCTCTATTAACATTTCTAAACTGACTTTAGTATTACAACATCTGACTGGTAGGACTATAAAGTGGTAGGTAGTCAGGATAAAAATTTATTGAGATCTAGAAAGTGTAGTGAGGGTGAAATCACTCCCAGACAATGAATAACTAACTTTTTTCGTCACTAGTACAATGTCGTCCAGTGCCAATGGTGAATGTGCAGTTTTCATCATCCAAATGACTTTCGATCTTTATATTTCTTTATCGTTTTTCTGACGGTTATTCTGCAAACTTCATTTTCTTTCTATTGTGTCAGTAACAAGTACCATCTCGTTAGATTTCGATGAGTTCTTCTAGTAACTCATTTGTTTCACCTCCATTCACGATAACGTCTAGATTAAGTATCTTTATTATCTTTATCTGCGTTTGGTTCACTTCTACTTTGATGACTTTGAGGTTTTTGCTGTTTCCGATAATCCATCTGCAGATTCCATAATCTTTCACCCCTGAAACAATGTTTTTATTTGGAGGTTTTCGTTTCTCGACTGAAGGGTTGAATTTATAAACAACTTATTGGATTGTTTTCTTTCAATGTTGGCTCTTTCCATGGGATCACTTCTCTAAACTTAGTTTTCACTCCTCCCAAAATATTTTTGTAGTCTCGAACTCTATCTTATCTATCCATCAACGTTTATGATAAGATTCCAACCCAGCTTTAGAATTACTTAGTACATCTTGATGCATTTTAAAGCGTTGATTCTGATCGGTGCTCCAGTCTACTCCACAAATTATTTTGGGCTTAGGGATACGATAAAATGATTATTCTTTCGATATTTCTGTAATCAACGTTTGTTGCTGTCTGTCCCTGAGTTTTTTCAATTATTGTAATTCAAATTGCATTTCTACAGATTCCACAATCATTTGATATTTGTTTTTCTTATACTTATTGAGCTGTTATACAGCTTTTCTGTTGCTTGGTTTCGCAGTGCTGGAATGAGTGTAGTGTCCTTTTCCTCTCCAACCTGTTGTTGGCGTGCATGGCATACAATGTTCATCCAGTTTTCCATTCATCTCTTCTATCTCTTCGTTGACCCGTGTGCTAATTTTGCATAACTCGTTTCGACTATTTCTACTAAGCCATTGGATGTATTTATTCAGATTTCATTTTTTTGTTATTTCCTCCTGAAATGTTTTGCTGATTTCGTGTAATCATTCAATTTTCATCTTCTTGGTTACTGCTAATTTGAACAACAAAAACAGAGAAGTGAAGAGAAAAAACAAGCAATCAGCAAAAATCTTCAGGAGGAAATAACATTTCTAAGGTTTTTTTTTCTATAAATTGATGGATGTAGCCGTTACTACGTGGTAGGAAATCATAATGAAGAAAAGAGAATTGAAACTTTCTATGTTTTTTACCACTTTTATTTGTCCTTATAGGACGACACTGCAGTAACGTTAGTTACAAATAAAAGTGGTAAAAAACATAAAAAGTTTCAATTCTCTTTTCTTCATTTTTTTTTCTAATCTCTTTACTCTTATTTTAGGAACTTCTCATTTTCTTATTTTCATTTCATATTTAGTTAGGTACACAAGAATCTGTCTATAGAGTAGGGAGGGTGAGTGTAGGGCCCACATCACTTATACCACATGTGACCCATTGTACATCCTCCTTAGGAGTTGTCCTCATAGGTCATCGTCCATCCTGTCCTATCCAGGAAGGAGGACAGGTCACTGGGAGACATCTCCTTTATATCGGCAATGTCCGGAGTTATCGCCAATAAGAGAGTATGTGATCGGCGAGTCCTGGCCTAGGTATACAAGAATACCTGATGTGAAAATTTCGTTGTAGTCAGCAGCTCGTATTTACCTTCTTCCATATTTTTTCTCCACTTATCCAACTGGTCTCAGCAATGTTACTATTTCAGGTCCCTTAAAAACGAATTAACAACTTTATACACTCAAAAATACAACAACTGAATGAATGCTAATTATTTATACAACAAAAAAACGCTCTGGTATCAATAGATCGCGGAGCAATAAAAAAATGCAAATAATTGAAGCGTTCACTCCCCGCGTGAATGACTGATCATCGCCTAACACATTCACTTGTCTTTCAATGTTTCGTCCGATTATAACAATTCAATCGCCGTCTTAGTACGTTAGGCAGAGTATATACAGTGCATTTCTTTAATGCCTCCCCCCTTTTATTTTTTGAATGGGTCAACTTAAAAAATTGAAATTTAGGATAGTGAAATTAATGCATGAATAATTTATTTTGAAGTGAAATTGACAGGTGAAACTTTCAAGATGGCGACTGGGCGCCATTTGGGAAAATAAATTAAATAGAAAGGGGAATCTTGTGACACATCTTTTTGAAGCTCCTGACAAATACTTCACAACTCTAGAATATAATGTCAACTACTACGAAATTGCGTAACTTTTAATAAATGCCTGAATACATTGACATTTAACTACGTTATATGAGGTTATAAGCTTGAGGTCAGTTCAGAATATGCTCGAAATGGTTGCCTAGAACTTCTTGACATATGAACAGCCTATCCGATATTTCACGCCAAAATTTTCGAACACAGTAACGTCAATATCTCTACAAATATTTATTATTCTCTGCCGTATATCCAAAATTGAAGCAGGTTCAGTTTCGTACACCTTTTGCTTCTAAAAGCCCCATAAAAAAAGTCCAAAGGTGTTAAACCTGGCGAGCGGGCTGGCCATTCTGTAGGACCTCGAGGCCAATCTAACGACCGGGAAAAGTAATATCCAAATAGTTTCTTACTTGTCTGGAGTAATGTGGTGGTGCTCCATCTTATTGGAATACAATATTCATATCGAATTCATTAGGATTCGCTTCAACGATTTCAGTCATGAGAGGGTCAACAGTAGTTTCCAGCATATGAAAATACAGTTCCCCTATTAAATTTTGATCAATAAATAGAGGTCCTACAATATGGTTTCCCAATATTCCTGCCCAAACGTTAATTTTTTCTATGTGTCCCGGAAAACGCGTGAGGGTTGGTGTCACTCCAATAACGGCAATTTTGTCTGTGAACATTGCCGTTTAAAAAAATGTACATTCGTCACTTAAAAAAATATTGTGGAGATAGGTAGGATGCCTTGCAATGGTTTCCGTCATAATTTCACAGAATTCTGTTCTTCGATCAGGGTCATCTTCAGTTAATTGGTGTACCATTTTAATTTTGTATGGATAATACCTATTCCTCTTCAAAAGACACCTCACAAACATTCGCGACGGAATAAGTAGACTGTTCAGGATTTACTACCATCTTACCAATTATTTGCACTTGCTGTTCTTCCGGAATGGACGGATGACCTGGGGGCTATTTGTTATGTACACTATCGGTAATTGGGAATTTGGATACAAGTTCCTACAAATATTTTCTACAGATAGGACGATTCGGAATATGTTCATTAAAATCATTTCGGTCTCGTAAAAGTTACACGTCGCATCGTAAATAAAAAATTTCAAGATGGCGCCCAGTCGTCATCTTGAAAATTTCATCTGTCAATTTTACTTCAAAATAAAGATTTCATGCATTGATTTCATTATCCAAAATTTCTAGTTTTTGAATTGACCCGTTCAAAAAATAAAAGGTGGCAATAAAGAAATGCACTGTAGATATAAAAGTGTCTTTTGGCATTTTAAACTCAATTTGTACTTCTGAAATTCCACAATATATGTTGTATATATTATAATGTTGCGTTTATTCCAGATACTGCTGTTCACAAATATCAAAAGACTATAAGCGCAGAACAGAGGATTTTATTCGAGAAAGAGTGTCTCGAAGAACAAGAGAGTCTGAAAATAGGATTAGACTACTTCCAACAACTCTACAAACTTAGACTGGGACAAATGACTGTTTATAGGTTAAGATTAGAATGCAAGTGTATGAGTGAAAGAAAAAATGCTAGATGTGCTGAATTTTTACCCAAAGATAAACAAAATTGGCCTAGCTATTTGGGAAGGTTTGGAGACGGGGTTTTTCCGACACAAGGTTAGTCTCGAAATAATTGGTTAATATAATATTTGCTTCCATACAAACAAAAATCGATGACTTTTTCGAAATTGATTATTATAGTGTATTCATTGTTTCAGGCTACAGCAGGAGATAAGATATACAATATGAAAGCAAAATATTACAGGCTTCCAGAAAATTTTTCAAATAAATGCAATATCATCTTCTAAAACCTGAATTGAGGTTTTCAGAAATGTATTTTATAACCGATGCGACCCCATTGTGGGACAATTGACGTATAATAGACCCCTCATATATCTTTTTCAATATAGGAACGTTCAACATTTTCATTTAACCTAATCGTGGCATCTGAGTGATGACACAATTCAAAATGGTTAATAATTTTGAGCAACAGTTGTTAAAAATGTGGAGTGGACGTTTTTTAATGAATATTTAGAGATTCGTTTCAAACAAATCTGTCACAACAATATTGAGTATAGTATACATCTTATCAATTCTTTCTTATTATATGCAAATATTTTTGATTATGAAAACTAAACAATATCTGTTGTGAATGGAAAGAGGTATATTCTTAAGAGAGATTAGTTTTTGGGAAGGAAAGGTTTTGAAGAAAGATCCGCACATTTTTTTCTATAAAGATGGAGAAGTAGGAAGCTAAAACCTTTCTTTCCCAATAATCTGTTATGATTGCTCCACTAGATGAACTACACTTATGGAAAAAACTCTCCAAAACCCTTTAATCAAATGAATATAAACTGCAGCTATTTGGATTCAACTTAAATCGTTACTTTTGAACAACACCGATATTAGAGCGTATATCTCTTTTCTCTATACCAAAACTTATTTCATACGTGTCAAATCGGAACCGAATGAAAATTGCTGTAATGAGATTTGTAGGTTTACCATATTGAAGTAATTTGAAAAAGGCTATCACTAATCATAGCGATTCTATATAAAATTAAATTTCATATTCAACTGAATTATTCAAGTCTTACTTTTCGATCATTCATTCAACATTACAATATTTGATTAGCATGTGTGCTTCAACTACAACTTTGATGATAACAAAATAGAGCCCAATAATCTATTAAAAACGAGTGTCAAATCTGTATTTTTCAGAAAATATATATTTTACAAATGAAATGAAAACTTCTCTCAATGATAACGCATTAAAATTGATATTGTAGAATTATTAATAGTACTTATTAATGTCTATCGAGTTATGAGAGCGAAATTTCTATAAAAAAACAACAGACATTTTTGGTGCGTACAAGAAAGATCAAATTCATTCCATTAAAGCTTGGATAATCTTAGATACATTTCAATTGTTATATTATTTATTTATATTATAATTGAAATTCAGATTGAAAACTGTTATTTCTTAATTAATTATCATTCTGGTATATAAATTTCAATCTCAATCCCTTCGCCCTTTAGAACTTGAAAGATTCACAGTAATAAATCGATTACTATATTTTTATAATGAACACAAAAATAGTTCAGAATTTAAAATCAAGGGAAAAAAGGTGTCGGTATATATACTTCTTCATCTTTATCGAATAAGATGTAGAAATCTTCCAAAGAAAGACAGAAAGCAATCAATTTCAAATTAAACTCTATACAAAGATGTATAGCAAAGGAGTAACTTTCAGAAAAAAACATCTCGAAACAACTACTCTCATTCAAACATTGAATTACACGAATAGAAAGAAAACATGGGTACTTTCGAAACATCTACTTTTATGTGAACTTTGAATTATCAAAAAAACACGTATTCCTATTCACTTTGTACTCCAAAAATTCGTTATGGAATTGAATCAGTTACCATTCACAGCATTACTACACAACATAGTATATGAAAGAGATAAAATTTCACTTACATGGTACACAAATCTAAAGAAATGAACGTTCAAACCAGTCTCGGATATACCTACACAGTAGGTTGAATGGACTGGCGCCTATCATTCCCCTGGCTAATACCACGAAGGGCGTTGGATTATATCCAACAGGTGCCAGTGCAGGATTCTTCACTGAGTTATTTTTGCATATGTTGTTGGCGATAAAACTGAAAGAGTCGACCTTCAACAGACACACTTGCAGATCGGTTTGGGGCTCATTAGCCACTTGTCAGTGCAAAATAGTGGCCATCATCGACCTAAAGTCAAGGATTTTCATTGTATTTCATTCCTCTTCCTAAGTTGGAGCGAACAACAATATGTCACTCCATCTAGTGGACGAGGTACTAACCAACTGCATATCCGAAATTTGCCCGATTCCTCGGAATAAGAAAGAAAAACTTGCTTATTAGTCAGTGGGCTATGCTTGAAGATTTGTAGTAAACAAATCTAAAGAAATAAACTTTTAACCTTCAAGCCAGTCTCGAATATACCTATACAATAGGTTGAAGGGACTGACGCCTATCAGAAAACCACTACTCCCCTGGCTGTTACCACGAAGGGCGTTGGATTATATCCGACGGGCGTCAGTGCAGGAATCTTCACAGAAAATTTCCTGCATATGCAATTGGCAATACAACCAAAATTGAAGGTCGACTCTTTCAGATGTATTGCCAATTGCATACGCAGGAAATTTTCTGTTAGATTCCTGATTCCATAACAAATGATTGGAGTACAAACTGAATAGGATTTTTTTTGTATAAATCAATATCCATATAAAATTATTTTTTCATTCGTGTCATTCAAATTTTATATGAAAAAAGTTGTTTTGAGAGGGCTTTTTCTTCCAGTTTGTATCTGAAAGTTATACCTTTGCATGAACTACATAATTTTGGAGTTTATTTCGAAATCAATTGGTTTATTTCTTTCTTTGGAAGATTTCAAAATTTTTTTGTACGAAGATGGAGAAGTGGAAAGACAAATTGAAGAACTGTATTTGTAAATTTCTTTAAATACAATTTGTAAACCCAACTTTTCATATTCCTTAATCGCCAAAATTATAAAAAATGTTACAATTGTTTCATCAGTACTAAATAGTTGTCATCGGATATTCTCAAACTTGATTTGTTGTTCATAAAATTTGTATTTTATGAATTCGAGATATCACGAAAGATACTGACCATTTCATTTGAATTTTTGAAATTGAGGTTGCCAGCTTAAAGGTAAGGCGCGAAGGATTGAAAGTTATTACGAAAATCGACGTTCCCGAAACATTTTTCTGAATTATCTTCAACAATAATTTTCAAAAATCAATTTATGTGCTCCGACACTTAAATTTGAAATAGCGTTCTCAACGATTACTATAAATTACTATTATATTCATTTTGTATAATCAGTAAATAGTATTGTAGACAATAAATATTTAAATATTTTATTAATGTTATCATCAGTATTGTGACACCTACAAAAATGATTTCATTGCTTCGAAATATCTCGGGTCGATGTTCTTTTAACCTCGGCCAAAAGCATCATATATACATTTTGAAGGTGACTCCAAAATACTTTCTTTGAAAAAATGTAATTATTTTTTGAAGTGTCACTTATGTACATATTGTATATAATACATTGCTTGCAAAAAATTAAACTCGATGAGGTTTATATTACTTAAATTTATTTAGATTGATGTGCCACATTCTTATTTCAATCAGGAATTTATTGTTTTTGTTATGAGATATTTGAACCAATTATATTCAGTATACCACTTATTTTGTATAAAAAATAAATTTTTATGTATCACGTGAATGTATTCATTTTAACACCACGAACAACTTGAGACTCATTTAGCCAAGATTTTTTAAAACAATCCCTTACTCAAAAAATGATTCAATATTCTCCAAAAAGTTAGGAGATGCCTCAATATCAACTAAATTTAAAAAAGTCAAGTAACTTGGTTTGAACTCTCTTCTAATTTTCGAATGCTCTCAAAAATTCAACCAACTTCTGAAGATTGATCAATGACATTAGATTAGATTGTCGGTGAGTTGCCCATGGCCTAATTCACTGCGACCTTTTCAGATCTATTGTGATGCTCCTTGGTTGTTAGAGCTCATTGTCTAGCTTGATCTCTTTGATGAAACTTCATAGCCTTGACACTGACCCCTTCATATAGCTGACAGCCTATGGTCTATCTTCCCGCATCTTGCGTGTCTCAGCCTTGTTATCGTTTCGCATTCACAGAGCACATGCAGTGCGGTTTCTTCATCTTCTTGACAGAACCTGCGTTGGGTTTCTTCTGTCAGACTCATGTTGATCATTTGTTTCCTGAGTCGGTTATGCTCCGTTAGTACACCCACCACTACCCTTACAACCTTACGGTGGAGGTTAGGCAGGTATTCCGTGAATGTGGGCGATGGTTTCTTTATGAACTCATTCGTCTGGTTCATTCCTGGGAGCTGATTCCACCAATATATTCGACTTCGATTCGGCTTGCATCCATGAGTTTATGGATGTCTTTATACATGCTTTCGCTACCTCGCAGAAGGGTTCTGAGCCGAGCATAGCCTTCGATGCGCCTTCACGGGCTAGAAATCGGCCTCCTCATTGCCCTTGTGACCCTCATGTCGGGGTACCTATACTAGAGTGACCCTATTTTGGGTACTTATCTTATTGAGGGCGCTCAGACAGCTTCCCACTAGTCTTGAGAAAACTTGAAATGAGCTGAGCGCCTTAATTGCCGCCTGGCTGTTGGAGAAAATGGCAATGGTTTTATTTGTGTCCTTCTACCTGTTTATTTCCCCTATACAGTGTTCGATGCCCGCTACTTCTCTCTGGAACACAGTTGCATTATGTCCGAGGCTGAGTGCGATTCTCGTCTTTGTTCTGCCTCCGTATATACCGGCTCCCACTCCTTGAGTCTTTGAGCCAATTACATTACATAGGACCTTCATTCTCGTTCGCCTGTTTTCATGCTAGATTTACGTGTGACGACACGCACACACGTTCTTAGGTGGCCAGTGGCAGTTCATTTGCTCTATCGACTTTGATCTATAGATTTGCTATGGTCGCAACAATATGATGATTAAAATAAGTTCTTACCTATAGGGTTTTATCTTCGCTTTACGATTATTGTTAGAATATTTCGAAAAAAAATATTCTGAAACCCACATACACCTAACAGATAATCTACAAACTATACTCTATGGTGAATTCGATTACCAGTTGTCTGTCCTAACCATCTGATACTGATGAGCTATTCCTAAAAATGTAATGTATTACTTCTGGTGGTTTTTTATGTATCCTTTGGGGGTTTTATCAATTTTCGACAGGCAGCCAATAAATGGAACTGGAAGTGAATGTTTTGTTCAGTAAAACATTGAAAATTATTTTTTTTAACAACTTAACAATTGTTGACGAGAAAAACATTTTCGTGAGCAGTTATTTCTAAACCAAAATGTCAGTTGGTAAAATGAATGGATTCTAAATTCTATCGAGCTGAAAAACATACATGGTTCGCTTGGAACAATATTCCACAGCAAATAGAGTACGCGACGAACTGAAGGTACTTACCATAATCACTGTCCTTCGGAATATTATACGTACGCATTCATGGTGGATTTGTGTATCCTTGATGCCCCAGAAGAGAGTTCTTACAAACTCTCGTCAAAAATCTACACAATCATCTTGAGCCGGAAACGTTCAGACAAAAGAGAAACAGTGGCAAAGTATATGTCGGCTCTCAAAAATATGGCCATAATATGTGAATTCAAAAATTTCTTCAACTATCTAAATGAACAATTCGTTCAGGTCAGTCTTTTCTTACCTAAACAGTAGCTTCATGGGCTGACACCTTTCAGAAAACAACTACTCCCCCGGCTAATATCACGAAAGGCGTTGGATTATATCCAACAGGTGCCAGTGCAAGATTCTTCCAGATTCTTCTGTGAAGAATCCTGCATCCTGTCGAATAAAATCCAACGCGCTTCGTGGTAATAGCCGTGAAGTAGTTGTTTTCTGATAGGTGTTAATCGATGAAGCTACTGTGTAGGTAAGAAAAGACTGGCCTGAACGAATTGTTCATTTAGATGATTCGATTTATACCCACTTACTATCATTGAAACATTTTTCAATAGAAAATCTACTAGATCAGTTTGTTTCTGGGTTATATAATGAGTTTATTAAACAACGACTATTTTCTGAAAAGTTTCTGAGCTATGCTCAAGCTTATGAAATCAGGCGGAACATAGAAGCTGCTGATATACTAGTATCCAGCGTTGTAGGATCCCCGGAGGTATAGTTCAAGTAAACGATATAGTGCAACCTACCTTCCAACAGCTCCCCTTCAATAATATAGTTAGATTGCTAACTAATTTTTTTATTCAATAATCATTTCTATTCATATAAGAATCACAATAACTATATAATATATATGATAAAAATATGTAAAATAATATATATAATAAATATTTCGTTCATAGAGGTGAGTGGGAAAGTAGGGATTCAAATAACAGGGTNAAAATCTGTTTAAAATATGTTTTTCCGTTAATCAGCTTTCGCCCCCATACGAACGACAACTCTCAAAAGTTGAGAAACTTGTGCGCGCTAAGGACTTACGAGGTCTTACATTTTAACGTGTGATTCCTAACAAATAGGGGGGAAGTGTCAGTATGGTGTGTCCATACTCTCAAGGGCATACACTTTTTCAAATAGTTTTGCCTGTAAAACTTCATGTAGTTGGTTTTTGGTATAGTTATCTTCAAAATACAAATTGTTATCCATTAAAAATGTTTGTATTTCATCTTTAGGTACTCCAATTTTTACTCGGTACTTTGATGAGCTGTCGCGAATGATAGGAAGCGTTGTCAAGAACTATTAAACTATTCGCATACAAATTTGGGATCAATGTCTTCTGAAACCATTCCTCGAAAATATTAGCTTCCATGTTCTTATGATAGTTCACAGTGCAGTCCTCAAGTTTTTTTCCACATATCTTCAAAGAATTCGGAACTCATCCTTTACTTTCTCCGCAATGCACAATGATTAGTCGCGATCCTTTGTTTGCAGGCATGTTATGCGTACACATTATCGAACCATCAGTCCACCCTTTCGTAACTGTGTCGTGAGTGTCATACCAAGTTTCGTCCAAATAGAAAATTTGCCCTTGTTCTTGTCTATATTTAGTTATTTGTTCTAAGTATTTGTTACGCAATTCCACTATTCTTCTGCTTTCCATAACTGCTTGACGTTAGTTTATTATTTTGAATCGAAATCCTAATTTCTTTATCCAATTCTATGATTTCAGTTGTAGGATTCTCATTGCTTTTATAACAGTCGTATTTTTTTTCTCAGTGATTTCATTAAATGAACATCTACAGGTTTTGCTAATCCTGTATTACATCGCGTCTTGAGTTCATAAGGTTTGTTTTTGACTATTTTACGTACAGCTGAGAAAGGAATTTCGTTCAAATCTGATGTTGCTTGTAATAGTTTATTTCCCTCGACACCAAACTTGGGATTCGGATTTCTATATACATTGAAACATACTCTCTGTGTTTCAATATTCAAATGCATCCGAATATTATTTACTGGTGTCTGTTTTTCACATTGTTCACCATCGCTATTGGAATCACTACACTGACAAAATTCTGCGTTATTACTTATCCAAGGACGCCACATTTTAAACAGATAACAAAAATGTTAAGTAATTACCTCCACCAATATCGAATTTCAACACTCAAATCGCGATCAGTTCCTGAACTGAACACGAGGGCGATACCCTTCTCGCATTTCCATATTTCTATTCGTCACCGTAACATGACTTCAAATTTGATTTTATGATTCTTCAGCCAATCATAAAACTCGGTTAGTAAAAATTATTCAATACGAACCGCCATGTCTACAATCCACGTGGACTAGTTTGCTGCCGGTTCATTTCTATGTATTGGTTTTTTGGTCATTGAGAGTGCCTCCAACTTTAAATGTGCACAATATCGTTTACTTCGACTATACGTAAATAATCGAAACCACCAATTTAAATCCGGTGGTTAGAGCCGAGAGGCCGCATGATCGATTTTTACTGCCTATCGTCCAACCCGTGCCAGGAATCGCACGTTGATGTGAATTTCGAAATATTATTTCCAAAGAACGCAATTATGTGTCTAATTTAACACCTGCCGTTTACAAAAGAACACGGAAATCGAGCGTTTTTGTTCAATTTTTTTTTGACAAATCATGTAAAAACTAACTCGTATTTTCAAAAAATCTCACGTGCTGCATGAGAGGTGACTTGAATATTTTTGTCAAAAAGTCAATGAGTTCCACAAATCAATTGTTGAATTTAATATAGGCCAGTAAAGTGCAAGAAACAATAAATGACTTTATCATAGGAAAAATATTGAAAAAATATTCATTTTTCACACCTTAAGAACGTTATTCCCTAGAACCAACTTTCAATAACCGATTCCTGTAAAGAAAGAAAAGTATTGGATAACTTCTTCAGGAAATAATATTTTTAAACGTTTGAAATCTTGCGNGATGCTCCTTGGTTGTTAGAGCTCATTGTCTAGCTTGATCTCTTTGATGAAACTTCATAGCCTTGACACTGACCCCTTCATATAGCTGACAGCCTATGGTCTATCTTCCCGCATCTTGCGTGTCTCAGCCTTGTTATCGTTTCGCATTCACAGAGCACATGCAGTGCGGTTTCTTCATCTTCTTGACAGAACCTGCGTTGGGTTTCTTCTGTCAGACTCATGTTGATCATTTGTTTCCTGAGTCGGTTATGCTCCGTTAGTACACCCACCACTACCCTTACAACCTTACGGTGGAGGTTAGGCAGGTATTCCGTGAATGTGGGCGATGGTTTCTTTATGAACTCATTCGTCTGGCTCATTCCTGGGAGCTGATTCCACCAATATATTCGACTTCGATTCGGCTTGCATCCATGAGTTTATGGATGTCTTTATACATGCTTTCGCTACCTCGCAGAAGGGTTCTGAGCCGAGCATAGCCTTCGATGCGCCTTCACGGGCTAGAAATCGGCCTCCTCATTGCCCTTGTGACCCTCATGTCGGGGTACCTATACTAGAGTGACCCTATTTTGGGTACTTATCTTATTGAGGGCGCTCAGACAGCTTCCCACTAGTCTTGAGAAAACTTGAAATGAGCTGAGCGCCTTAATTGCCGCCTGGCTGTTGGAGAAAATGGCAATGGTTTTATTTGTGTCCTTCTACCTGTTTATTTCCCCTATATAGTATTCGATGGCCGCTACTTCTATCTGGAACACAGTTGCATTATGCCCGAGGCTGAGTGCGATTCTCGTCTTTGTTCTGCCTCCGTATACAGTGTGTCCAAGATAAGGATCCTAAGGATGTACCTGTTGGAGATACAGCTTAGGTTAAATTAGGAAAAAGTTGTGTTCTTTAAAGCTTATTTACATGCCGTTTAGAAACTTGAAGAATTTTCATGGCTTGCTGAGATATTTGGGAAAAACGAGAATTTGACAATATCAATTTTATTTTTTTCTGACTTTATTTGAAAAGATATCAAAAAACGAATAACACTTTTTCATTGGCACTTTCAAGGTACTACACGATGGTATTTTTAGTTTTTATATCCGACGTTTCGTTTTCAAAAAACCATCATCAACTTTATTTTTTTAAATAGCCCGAAAAAAAGTACACCCTGTATCTGATTCCATTTTTTATTACGAATTCAACGATGTAACACATGCCATTGTTTTCTTTTTAGTTTAAGGGAAAATTGCATTTTTTCTATTTGCTTAGGATCCTTATCTTGGACACACTGTATACCGGCTCCCACTCCTTGAGTCTTTGAGCCAATGACATTACATAGGACCTTCATTCTCGTTCGCCTGTTTTCATGCTAGATTTACGTGTGATGACACGCACACACGTTCTTAGGTGGCCAGTGGCAGTTCATTCGCTCTATCGACTTTGATCTATAGATTTGCCATGGTCGCAACAATATGATGATTAAAATAAGTTCTTACCTATAAGGGTTTTATCTTCGCTTTACGATTATTGTTAGAATATTTCGAAAAAAAATATTCTGAAACCCACATACACCTAACAGATAATCTACAAACTATACTCTATGGTGAATTCGATTACCAGTTGTCTGTCCTAACCATCTGATACTGATGAGCTATTCCTAAAAATGTAATGTATTACTTCTGGTGGTTTTTTATGTATCCTTTGGGGGTTTTATCAATTTTCGACAGGCAGCCAATAAATGGAACTGGAAGTGAATGTTTTGTTCAGTAAAACATTGAAAAATATTTTTCTTAACAACTTAACAATTGTTGACGAGAAAAACATGTTCGTGAGCAGTTATTTCTAAACCAAAATGTCAGTTGGTAAAATGAATGGATTCCAAATTCTATCGAGCTGAAAAACATACATGGTTCGCTTGGAACAATATTCCACAGCAAATAGAGTACGCGACGAACTGAAGGTACTTACCATAATCACTGTCCTTCGGAATATTATACGTACGCATTCATGGTGGATTTGTGTATCCTTGATGCCCCAGAAGAGAGTTCTTACAAACTCTCGTCAAAAATCTACACAATCATCTTGAGCCGGAAACGTTCAGACAAAAGAGAAACAGTGGCAAAGTATATGTCGGCTCTCAAAAATATGGCCATAATATGTGAATTCAAAAATTTCTTCAACTATCTAAATGAACAATTCGNAGTTAGTGTTTATGAATAATCTGTAAATACATTTTTGGAACTTTTTTATATCTACATTTATACTTTTTTTAGTACTTCTTTTATATCAACATTGTATTTCTTGGACTTCGTCAATAAGATGCAAATCTTCGGACAATAAAGTATATTTTGATTTTTTGAACTGAACACGACGGCGATACCCTCCTCGCATTCCCAGATTTCTAAACGTCACCGTAACATGACTTCAAATTTGATTTTATGATTCTTCAGCCAATCATGAAACTCGGTTAGTAAAAATTATCCAATACGAACCGCCATGTCTACAGTCCACGTGGACTAGTTTGCTGCCGGTTCATTTCTATGTATTGGTTTTTGGCCATTGAGAGTGCCTTCAACTTTAAATGTGCACAATATCGTTTACTTCGACTATACGTAATTAATCGAAACCACCAATTTAAATCCGGTGGTTCGAGCCGAGAGGCCAGACGATCGATTTTTACTGCCTATCGTCCAACCCATGCCAGGAAACGCACGTTGATGTGAATTTCGAAATATTATTTCCAAAGAACGCCATTATGTGTCTAATTTAACACCTGCCGTTTACAAAAGAACATAGTCCCACTGAAATCGAGCGTTTTTGTTCAATTTTTTTTTCGACAGCAAAATTTGTAAGTACCTACAAGACATTAAAACTAAATGTATTCATTTGGTAGAATAGATATTTCTGAGAAATTGAAGTGAACATTGAATATTGGTTGGGTTTGGGCTGGTATTCTGGGAGACCATATTGTCCATATTTTATTGATAGTAACCTGAATGGACAAACGTATCTTGAACTTCTTAATGCAACTGTGAACCCCAGAATCACTCAGTTACTTGAAGTCGATGACAGTCTACTTGAAGGTCAGCTCCCTTTCAACAAGATGGAGCTCTTCCACATTTTGTTGCACCTGTATGCCAATTTCAATTTCACATGGAGATGGAATGGAAGGCGAGGACCAATAGAATGGCCGGCTATATCTCATTATTTATCAACATTAGATTTCTTTTTATGGGGTCATTCGAAATCCAAAGTTTATACTACACATCTAAATTCTCTTGATGATCTAGGCAGGAGAATTGTTGTGGAAGAGATTTCGAAAATCGCGTAACCTTTCGTATAATGATTACATTTTAGGTGATGAAAAATAATCTTGATAAAACTTAGTTTTCATTAAAACTTCAACAACACTTGATCGATCCTCAATTTCAGTAGGATTGAATTCCCTTCAAAATGATGTATCACAAGTATAATAGTCCCATTGCTGGGGATGAGGGAGTTGACAACACAATGATGATGTATTTGGTGAAAGTGTTCCCTCTTGAAATAAAAATCGACGGGTATGAGCGTTTTTAAATTGTTTCACGACTTCGCAGTTTAGGGGGGTGAGAAGTTTAGATAAACATATGGAGCTAAAGAAGTTTTACTTCAGTCGTGTGGTCTGAAGCACACTCGCTTTTTCTGATTGTGACCATAACCAAACAACTAAAAAAATTGTATTTTCAAGCAAATATGTCCGATATTTCCTAACATGTTCTCCGACCTGCCAAATCACCCGAGAGTTCAACTAGTACGAAGAAGGACACCTCCAATTCTTCCCTACAAGGATCCAAATAAATCCATCAAGCCTTATGATCCAGCTTTGAGCCGGCAACCAGACGTACTAGGTGCAGATAGATTAAAATATTTTTGTCCAATCGTGAATTTTCCACCTAAAGATGCTCTGCATCAACACGCTCTCACTTTCACTATAGAAAAAGTCGAAAAGAAAGTTTCTGCTCATGCCAGCGACAAGAAAAAGGAAGTGTCTGTAGAGACAAAATTTAGAGAGTCGAGTGCGCAAACTGAACCCTGGGAGCCTCCCTATAAGATTATTGGAAAGGGAGATCCGGAGATCCTGAAATTGGAGTTTTTGAAATGGGGTATGTACCAATAATAATTACAGATATTTAGAATGAATTGAATGAATCTACAGTATATATCACAAGTATGAAATAAATAATAATATTAATAATGTTTATTTTCAAAAAGTAACAAAATACAGGAAGAAAAATGCTATCCAACTTTGAAAATAGACATGAAAGATCACTGAAGCTTCAAAAGCTAGTGCGTGATTTAGATAGTAATAATTATATGGTATAGAATAAAACAGAAATACAGATCATTAACATTAACATTAGGACAATTACATATTAAAATATTTACATAGGTAATATTCAACTAATTTCATAACTCTTTTATTCGTTGTTTTTTGTCTAGGTAGGATTATGGGTATTATTTTGGTAGGTGGGTTATCATGGTCAGATGAATGTAGTATTTGGGTGATTCGGGGTGTAATTGTTTATTGTAGAAATGCTATCTATGAAGTTATTAAATATGTTCCTATCTGTAGTGCTCATCCATTGTTTCACATGATATTTAGAAGAAGTGTAACATTTGATAGATTTGAGGTTTTCTGGTAGTAAATTGTATATTCTTGGTGCAAGATATTCTGCTGAGTGTTGACCGGCTGTTTTATCGCACGTCGGAACTTTCATGTTTTCATTTTTTATTCGAGTTTCATAACGGTGGTCGATGGGTGTTACCTTAATTTCATTTTTGTGGATAGGTATATATTAGAATTCGTTGACAGAATATTTGTCTTGTATCAAGAATATTGGTCTCTGAAAATAGCTTGTCACTGGGATATCTTATGTTCTTCTTTAAAATTATTCTCAGGAACCATTTTTGTGTGGTACTCAAATTATGTACGTTATTTTCTGATACATCTCGCCAACCCAAGATTCGGTAAGATACCTGAGATTGCACAAGTTCAAATTTTATCATATCCAAGAATTCCACTAGGTACTTGAATTTTGTGAGTAGACCTCTCAATTTGTTTTTTACTTGCTCGATATGTAAATCCCATCTCAAGTGTTAATCAATTGTTATTCCTACAAATTTCAAGTGACCTTTTTCTTCTATACGAGTGTTATCTCCAATGTCCAACGTTCTTAAGTTTGGAAGGTGATTTTGGTCAGATGTGAAAGGTAGATAGTATGTTTTTTGACTGTTGACTGTTAGGTTGTTGCATTAGAACCAGTCACGTACGTTACTCAAGTCTTGTTCTGTTGTTGTTTTCAGATTTGCCCATGTTTTCCCCTTGTAGATTATTGCCATATCATATATAAATTAAATGACATTACTCATCAGTTTGTCAGATGATATGGCAAACAACAACAGAACAAGACTTGAGTAATGTACGTGACTGGTACTAATGCAACCTTCAAGGGACTGGATATACTATGTCGTACTAACCGGACGACGCACAAAACGGATTAATTTTGTGGTAGTAAAGTGTACATTAGTTCGTTAGTCTTTCATTTAGCTGTTCGGATTGCTGATCGATAGATGAATAAAACAATTTATAGAAATCACATATGCTTTATTTTGATAGTTCTTAAATATCCTAATGTACAAACATAATATATGTACTTACATTATGTACTGTAATACAAAGAGATCAATCAACTATTTTGTTCGGTAGTAACAATTTCGTACAGCATTATGAATTCGGGACATCTTTGTTTTCATAACCTCATCATCAAAGTTAGTCAAACACATTGAGCGTTTCCGTAGTGTTCAGAGCTTCAGACATACCCAAGGTTGGATAAATCTCCTCTGGTGCGTCATCATCACCGTCATTATCTTTGCTATTCGCGTCGTTGGTAATTATATTTTCCACAATGTTTTCATCAGATGGTTCCTCACAAGTGACGACAGCATCATCGACACACGCGCATTGTTCAAAGTCCTCGTTTGTTATGGGTAACTGTAACAACCCAACTGCTCATGAGTAGAAGTCCTTACACGTTTGCATTTCAAAACATTGGCATTGAACAGCAACTCGATTTATGTTTATTCTTTTTAATTTTTTAATTGTGGATATTGTAGAATGGGAAACACCAAACTCCTTTGCGAGGGCTGCATTTGATTCACCGGCTTCTAATCGGTGTGATATTGCACTTTTTTCTTCACTTGCAAAACACTTTCGCTTCACAGAATTCATTTTGTCTAACTTTATGAACTTACAAGTGACAAACGCTTCATACTGGAACCTCTGGCGTAAACTCAGTCTATTAATATCTGTTAGTAGTACCTATCAATAGAGGTACCTAAGAAGAGGGAGTGCGCCGAGGTATTGGTGCGCAGATTGTGTAAACAAATCGTTGCGCGACATTTTAACCGGATGTATTATCATGAAAAAGTCTCGCTATAAGTGGTTGGTCTCTTAAACCGGAGTCGCACTAAACGTATATTTTCTCAATAACTAAATATGAAACTAAACTTGAGTAAGCATTATCGTCGCTGTAAACGGATAGTCGTTATAAGCGGAGTCGTTATATATGAATTCTACTGTACATAGTGAATAATAAAAGTCCAAGTACCGTACCCTGTGGGACACCTTAAGTGACACTCCTAGGATGGCTTTTTATTCCTTCAAAGATCTTAAATAATGAATATCAATAATAATTGTTTCAATATAAATTCCAACATTTTTGGATGTTTCTGTTAATAACAAATAAGAAAAACATTTGTGCGCTATTCGCTATCAGCTGGTTTTGAAATACAGTTTTGTTAGTCTTAGTCAATGAGCCAAGAATTAAGAATTAGAATTTTTTTCAAAGACGTATAAAGTTGCAGAAATGAAGTGGATGTTACAGCTTTAAAAAGCACTGAATAAGTAAGAAGTTTATTCATATTGAGTTAGGTATCTGCCTAGATACCATATTAATATCTAAATTCTCCCATAGGAGGAAAAACTAGCAAATGTGCTTTGATCTTTGTACTTTGATCATTCAAAATAAAGACATATTATCTCTTTTTAGGTAGTGGACTTCCGGCTGGTATGCATGAAGTCCGTCTAATAGAAAGAGCGAGAATGAAAGCTGCTTGGGAAAAATCCATTCAACCCGATATAAAAAATGAAAATTCACTTGTTCAATTTCGAGATTATCTGGAGGCCTTGGAAAGAGATGAATGGGCATTTAGGGAACAAGAGATTCGCGAAATTCAGGAACTTCGATTACAACTTCTTGAAAACATGTTGAATGAAATTCATGAAAAGTCGCAAACGAGAACCCAAATGAAACTTAAACATTTTGCGGCTAAGAAAGAAGCGGAGAAAGCGGAACAGTTAGCTAAAATTCGGAAAAAGACGGCGAGAGGTAAGAATACCTTTAGTGTAACTAAGATGTTACAGTACAGTGACAATAGGTTACTTACTATAAATACTTACAACATATATGATGAACCTACATTGAACGTTAGCTCAAGTACGTAGATATAAGTTATCTAACCAGTTTTCATTTTCAGAACTTCGAAAACTCGAAACTCAAAGGAGGGGAATCAGCAAAAAATATCATGAAATTAATATAATCGATGAGCATATGGATAAGAAATCAGAAATATACGGCCCGCTGATAAGGTACGGTGAACATCCTAAACGCTGGCATCAAGTCATCGATGAAAAACTTAAAAAGTACAAAGCACAATTTATAGGTAAATATCACATCTATCTTTCAAGTGTTAGTTTTTTATTTTTATATCACCTCCTGATGAAGCTAACATTGTTAGAGAAACGCGCATCGAGAGGTGTTTTTGTTCTAGAATGGGAAAGGTGTTTTTTTCAGATTCACTCTACGCCAGAGCTTCCAACGCTTCAAATTGTGCATATGGACGTATTAAAGTAAACTTCCATAATAGCAGACACTGAATTCTCAGAAGTATTATTGCATTAAAACGAAAACTTTGTTGTCAAGTTTGTGATTCTATATATTTGGTGAATGATTGTGTTAAAACAATGTCATCATTTTTCTATAATTTCCGTAATCACTGCAAGGCACAGATTAAGGTAGAAACGTCAGTGATTATTATAGTCTAGTTCTTTCAAGAGTTTTGTCCGTTTTTATGAGTCTACTTTGAACCGTAATAGCTCAGTGAATACCATTAATACCTATACAGTGATTACCGTTAGACTCATAATGTTTCTACATACATTATCATTTCCGTTGTCATAGAAAGCATTTAACCATTAAACATGTTTACGACATATTGAGCGTTTGACAGTTCACTATTCAGAAGTTTGACTTTGAAATACCAGTACCTTCAACAAATAAAACTATTAGGTTGTTTCACAAGTTTGGTCAGTTTTCATGAGTCAACTTTGAACTGTAAAATCAGTGAATACTGATTTTACAGTATTTAATCGAAATAAGCGGCATTTGAATCAGTGCTTTTTTGCCAACGTAACACAAGTCGATAAATTCCGTCACCATTGTTTGTGCACTTGAGCACTAAAAGTGTTCATCAACTATCGGAAAAGTTGTCCTTCTGGACAATAAATTCATTGCAAAATGCAATTACTACACTCAAAATAGGATGAATTTCCTATACAAAGTATCTAGGAGACGTATATTTTAGAGTACATCAAAGAAAATATTAATCAGTTCTAAAAATATTACCCTTTCAATTTAAACAAGATTCCGTTGGCTGGGATTTAATCAAATAAGCGAATAATTGTTATTTATGTGCTGTCATCGATGACATGGGTGGATTCGACCCATTCCATAACAGAAAACTCGTAATTTTATGAACGAATTGAGTGTTTTTTCTCATGTTGTTCATATTTGCTATTGAAGAGCCGATGAGGCAAATGTCTTACGGCGAAACATCGGATGTCTACCAGTGAGAATGACAGTATTCAATGTAAGTGAAATTTTATTTCCTTCATTAATTATATTGTGTAGAAATCCAGTGAATGATATCTGATTCGATTCTATAGGAATGTTTGGAATACAAACAGAATAGAGAAAATAGGTGTTTTAGAGAGGGCTTCTTCTTCCAATTTGTGTCTGAAAGTTACTTCTTTGCATGCTCTACACATCTTTGTATAAAGTGAATTTTTTTAAATTGATTGCTTCCTTCCTTTTTTTTGGAAGATTGTCACATTTTTTCTGTATAAAGATGAGTAGTAGAAAGCCAAAAACTTTCCCAAAAATTAATCACTCCTAAATATATAACCTTTTCAATTTATCTATTTCTAGTAACATTGAAGTTACCTAACTGAAAAGTTTTCTTAATTTCAATATCTCCTGAGAGTACCCATACCTATAATCTGATTCACATTGACAGTATCATCTTCAGTCCTTCGTCTAGTATCCTTTTCAGTTGATTTTTAATGTCTCTAATATGTCTCTCGTGTATTTCTTGGATAGCAATATTTACTTTGGCTTCAATGATATAATTACTGCCGTTGATCAATTCCTGATATTTCCTTCCACTTCCACTAGTTTATTATCGATTCCCAGCACTTTATCAAGTCTTGCAATGAGTTTTGGGACTTTTTCGAAATTCGTTTTGGTAGTTCTACAAAATTGTATCATATTGCGCTATATTGTAGCAGTCACTTTTACTTCAGAGGAACTGAGCTCAACACACTTTTCACGGTGATGAAGCGAACAGCAGTCACATACCACAAACGCATCCTTCTTGATAACTTCTATGTTGCATTTATCACACTTGGCTTTATCATTCATATTGCCCATCATATAAGTAATGTTAATTGCTAAGTAACTTTGAATCCACTGCCTCTCATTGTGATACTCGATAGACCAATAATATTCAGAAAATGAAGCATAACTAGAACTCAATATTCCATTGTAGAGAATAAAATCCGGGGTGGTAGAACAAAAGTCCTCACGGTCAACATACATACCACTAATGATGTCTGCCGCAGTAGCAGACGGTTTTTAAAAATGTATGTGTTGCACACTAAGAAAGTTAAATTTTGGGATGAATTTTTTTAAGCAATAGCATAGATACAATTTCAATCCCAAATTTTTCAGTTTCTGGATTGTTTCATAAACAATCGTAATAGTGGTTGTTTTGTTGGAACCCAGATCCCCGCCAAAAGTTGTTAACTATCTCTGCTCGACATATTTTGATAGAGCAGAGAGAGTGAATAACTTTTAGTCAATGTCAACAAAACACACAAAGACAATAAAGTGCACTCTCTTTCTTACCACTGTTTGAAGTCAGTTTTAAAAACACTGATCATTAAAATTATTCAATGTTTATCTGGGGATCTCATAATCACTATCATATATAAAACTGATTAGATTTTGGCAAAGTTGCATATTTTACAAGATATCAAAAAAATTAATGTTATTTTTTTAGATATAGATATATAGATGTTTATTAATAGAGCGGGCGCTGTATGGAGTTGACTGTGCAAAATGTGAGGGCTGCATTCTATAAATAGTTTTGAACTCAGAAAAGCTTGCAGATTATGATTCTGGATGTTGCCAGAAGATTTATTGGTCCATTTTTTTTACCCCACCCTCTTAGATATCAAGTAAATTGACTGAACAAGTGCTTTGAAACCATTTCAATGATTGTTTTAGTGACAAAATTCAATTATTTCCTATGATTAAAGATACTTATAGTTAGTCAATTAAAAAAGAGTTAAAAATAAAAACACAATTTTTTTATAAAAAAATTATTTAATAGTAAAAAGAACATTTTAACATAAGTCATACAAAAAAACAAATACAAATGACTACCAAATAATTTTGGCAGTCATTATTAATACATTTGCACAACGAAATACAATTTAGTTGTAACTTTTTGCACAAACAAGCCTTTGTTTGACAATTAGATGTGCATTTTCAGGGCTGAATCAACAATTCCGTTAATGGTCGCTTTGTCAGTTGTCGTGGATACAATTTATCATCTTTTTTTCATAGCCTAATTAGGTGTATCAATAGGCTGTAGTAATGTTTGGTCAGCATTTATCCATATACAGTGTGGTCCACTAAGTGTGCAACAAATGGGAAACTTTTTTATTATCGATTTCTCGATATTCTTGACAAAAGTTGGTGCATGTTCCAAAAGTATACCAAGTGTACCTGAAATGGCTTTATGACAAACAGCATACAGGATAGGCCAAAAAATATAAAGTTCGTTCAAATATGTTGAAGAGAAAATTTGCTTAGAATTAAAAGTTATGTTCAGATACGAAGTCATGGCCTGTTATTCGATTTTTTTTTGGAAAATTTTGAAATACCCCCGTATGATACATATTTTTACTATTTTGATTTAATATGTATTTGAAGTACCCACAATCAAATCAGTTTGGAGTATTTTTTATCAAATTGAAGTGTATTTGTAAATTTTACTTGGATTTGTATTTTTTTAGGTGACCGTCAACTTCATGTTTGTTGCAACGATATTTAACAAAACTCTAGAATAAAACAAATACTCTTTTTAACGAGGCAAATTCTTCACTAAGTATAATGTTCATATGAATAAACTGTCAAAATCTATCGCGGATAGCCATGAACAAAAAAGAACCGATAAGCGATAGTACAGAAAAATACAGTAGGTAACTTAACTTAACAGGTGCTAGCAATAAAAATTATCGAAGCTTCTCTGTATGTCCACCTTCTCTTTCTATGCATCTAATTGTTCGCTCATAAAATTCGTTTAATGTAGATCGCAACACATTAGCGGGAATATTTCTACAATGAACTCTTATTGAAGTTTCAAGCTCATCAACATTATTAAAGGGGCGATCTCTGTAGACTTTTTGTTTTAAGTATCCCCATAAGAAAGAATCTAGAGGTGTAATGTCTGGAGAACGAGGAGGCCATCGAGGATCGGTATTTCGTTATAACCATTTATTACGAAATGTGCTATTCAGCCACTGAGAAACATTTCTAGAAGAATGGGCAGGACATCCGTCATGTTGGAACCATAACTTTTGCCGTTCTTCTAATACCATATCATCCAAAAACTCTCCTATTTCAGTTTCCAAAAAGTTCAAGTACCTGTCACCATTCAAATTCTCGCGAAAAAAAACGGATCTAGTAATTTATCATTTAATATACCACACCAAACGTTTGTTTTCTGATAGTATTGATTTTTGTTGTCAATAATAAAATCTGGGTTGACATCTGACCACCATCTGCAATTTTGTGATGATAGAACCCCATTTGTTGTAAAAGTATATTCATCTCCAAACAGAATACATCGATGAAATCTCGTTGTTCTTCTATTTCACTCTGAATTCACACGGAAAAATTATATCTCAAATCACAGTCTCTTTCTTGAAATGTACAAATGAATGTAGGTTTGTAAGCACGGTACTTATGTTTCTTGAGAATACGCTTCACAGAGGTTTTTTTATGCCGGTATAATCACCAATTTCTTGGATGGACCTTCTAGGATTTTCTACTACTGCTTGAAGTACGTCAAGATGGTTTTCTTCTGTGCATAAAGATTTCGTACGCTCCGTATTATGTTCATATTCTAGTGAGCAGGTCTGTTTGAAATTCTTTAAAATTCTACTTACACTTGAATAGCAAATTTGTTTGTCTGGATGCCGCTCGTTGAAAATATTTGCAGCTTCGCGCATTGTTTTATAACCAACCATCATCACAGATTAAAACTAATTCTGCCTTTTCAGTTAACGTTAATAATACTGGGCGAGGCATTTTTAATTAAGGACAAATATGAAAACAGGCAAGTTTTAAGAAGCCACACTATCGAACTACAGTATTGTTTTAGGGCGTATGTGTTTTTTGTTCATGGCTATCCGCGATAGATTTTGGATTGTTTTTCAATATCTGTTCTAGTTGAGGCATTGTCAGAATAAAAGAAATTGCATACTTTTATTGACAGTTTATTCATATGAACATTCAGTTAATAAAGTATTTGCCTCGTTAAAAAGAGTTTTTGTTTTATTCTAGAGTTCTGTTAAATATCGTTGCAACAAACATGAAGTTGACAGTCACCTAAAAAAATACAAATCCAGGTAAATTTTACAAATACACTTTAATTTGATAAAAAATACTCCAAACTGATATGATTGTGGCTACTTCAAATACATATTAAATCAAAACAGTAAAAATATGTATCATACAGGGGTATTTCAAAATTTTCCAAAAGAAAAAAAAAATCGAATGGCAGGCCATGACTTCGTATATGAACATAACTTTCAATTCTAAGCAACTTTTCTCTTCAACATATTTCTATATTTTTTGAAATAAGGGTACTTTACTCTTGAATGAACTTTATATTTTTTTGCCTATCCTGTATGGTGTTTGTCATAAAGCCATTTCAGGTACACTTGGTATAGTTTTGGAACATGCTCCAACTTTTGTCAAGAATAAAATTTTCTGCGAAATTGATAATAAAAAAAGTTTCCCATTTGTTGCAGACTCAGTGGACCACACTGTATATATTTGTGCTGAAGCTCTTAACAAATGTAAATGTAGAGCATATGATGTGCAAATTACTTTTAATAAATTTAAGCTGAAGCCGATATTTTGACAAATTAATTTATACCAAAGTTCATCAGCAATTAATTTTTAATTTAAAATTTAATTAACTATTCGACTGTTAGGTATGGATTTTCTGAATGCCTTAGACTAGTTTGCACAAAATCCAACGATGCAGCTTTTTTCAAGCCCAATCTGCTAGTCGAATCGCAACCACTTAGAGAGTGTAATGCTGGCAAAATAGGAGAAATGTTTTCGCCAAATGACTGAGCAGCCAAATGACACCCTGAAATGTATTTCTTCTTATAAGAACCTTCAAACCATAGACCTAAACAACCTAGACGTGCTAGATTTTTTTTTGATCGAGTCAAATGATGAATAGATTTAGCTAAAGCAATATGCTTTGGAGTCTGTTTCTCAGTAATTGTGAAGTATATATCATGAAACACTGAGCAAAGCTTGCATAAAAATTTGCCAATTATTCGGTAAGTGAATTTTCTTTAAAAATTGTTCAATTAAAATTTCATCACATGAAAACCCATTTGGTATTACTTCAGTACTTAATATTTCTTTACGTAGTTGTTTTGCTACTTGAACAATGGAGTTTGTTGAAGTTATGGTACGAATATGTTCAATGCTTCATCCAGTGGTATGTTGCCCATAGACACCAATGATGATTTACACAGATCATTCGGATATGAAAATAAAATGTTTTCACCATACTTATCCATGAGTAGTGATTTCATATCGCGATTTTCTACAATTGCATTTTCTATTTCAGTGAGTTCAGCTTGTCGCTTAGCTAATGCTGACACTTCAAAAGAGTGAGTTGTTAATTTATGTTTTATTTCATTAATCAGCTTCTCAAATGCCTCTATAAGTATGTCATGTGGTATTTCATTTGTAGGTCTACTTGCTGGAGTGGCTGAGTTTCTTGGTAGTCATAGATAATCACGATAACAGTGTTTATGATATCTTACTTCCATTGCAAATAAATCGGCGGGATGTCTTTTTCGGGATTTGTTCCGGAGCACAAATAATGTGTTTTGTTTTTATTTCTTTTTTGTTTACCACAGATTAAACATTTTAGATTTTATTAAATTTTAAATTTGTTCTTGATGACCTTCAAGTGCCTTGAGTACCTGACACACTAGCTTCTGCAGAGCAGGTAGAAATAGAAACATTCTCCTGCTTTTGTAATGCCAGTTCTCGATGCCTTATTTTCTCTTCACTAATGTAACTTGCTTTACAAGTTGATGCCATTTATATTCAGTAAAGTCTGCATTATTTTTATTTTTTTCACTAATGTCATCTTTTCTCCAATCTGCTGCTATCTGAATATTTATAAATGATTGTGGTTTTGGATTCATCACTAAATTACCCGTTTCATCACAAAACAAACACGAAATTTCGTTTAGTTTTCGTTTCTTTATATTTATCAATTGTAAAGACATTGTCCACTTGTTTGTTTAAACAAAACACTAATAAAACACTGAATTACAAGAAAAATGTGAATACGAAAAAATAAACCGTTATGCATCACGAAATATTTTCTACTGACTATTACGAGCGTTATGACGCATCGACGCTTGGAGAAGGGCGGGGGAAAGGGAAGGGACCATCACAGCTGCCGGCAACATGTGTGTAGGGTCACAGGTAAAAGAATTTGAGCATTTTTGCAGGTCCTCACATTTTGCATACTCAATGTCCTTAGGCGCTTGCACTATAACTCTTATCACCCTAATTTATATGACATAAGTTGGGCCAGTTATAGATTGAAAACAAATAAAAAACACCTGAAATATTTGAAACAGTAGAACGGTAAAAACTAAAATATCAACATAATGACTGAATAAATTCTTTTAGTGAGTAAAATGGTTCGACCTGTAGATACTTTTTTATTTCTGCTTTGAATTCAGTTTCTTTCATTTCAAACTTGGATGTTAAACAAGTCGACCGACACTCTGTATGAAAATTCCATGAACATATTCCAATAGCCCTTTGAATGTTCCTGCGGATAAGTATGAACAAATTTTCAATATCTTAACCACTAAACATTCAAAAATGGCATTTCAAGATTTCCCATTAAATACATCTTACATACATCCAAAAAAGTTGCGAGTATATTTTTTGGTATAATTTAATGGCACTCTAAAATTGACAATCGATTCTCTATCTTTTGAGTATGTCTATGAAGAGATTCAAATTTGAAGAGCTCTGAAAACACTTATTACATATAAATTATATTTGAAAGGTCAATTCATTATTTTTCAAGGTGTGGAAAACTTCAGTACATTACCAAGATGGATTGATCAAGCCACAAAGATCGGCAAATATGAACTACAATCCAAATGGAAAGGCAAAGGATTATGTATTAGAGAAACTAAATGGTCTGCTCCTGTTCTGAAAGAACTTCATAAAGAACTCAAAGGTGATCACGTGAATCAAAATTGACAAAAAAAGATCTACTGAGGACATGTTATTACATTTGAAACTTAGGATCAAGTCTTATTGCAAGACAGTAAAAGTGGAACTATTTTGACATTTATTCTTCTAGGTCTTCATAAAGAAGATGTGAAACAACCTCTCTCTTTGCGAACAAAGGTGGAAACTACAATAGAAGATTCAAACACTCCAGAGGTTGAAGGTATTCCAGAAGTAGAAGAACAGAAGTACCAAGCAGCTATTCTACTTCAAAAAGTTATAAAGGGCCGAGCTGCACAAATAATGGTAGAATAAGATCTTTGTTGAAAGTTGGAAATACTCTCATAGTATTTTGCAGATATACGAAGGTAGAGATACTTGCAAGGAACTAATACTGGAACTAAAACATTCAGTGGGGCTGCTGAGGGCACAGAAAGAGGAAAAAACAAAACAAAAATTCAAAGTGAAGGCTCAACAAAGAGAAGAGTGTATTCAACTGAATATGGTAGAGTGTATGTACTCTGAAAGATAGAATAAAATTCAATATTTCAATTATTTTCAGGTTCAAAGGCTCCAAGGATCACTTGGAAAACTTCAAGGAGCTGTAGTTGGCACCCTACTCGACTTTCTGAATAAGGAACTGAGACGGCTTCTAGAAGAACGGAAAGCACATGCTATGTGTTTACTGAATGAAAGAGAGAGGTATATACGTGAGGCTGCAGAAGGTGGAAGACGGCAAAAAGAGTTGAGAAGGAGAAGAGAACATGATGAGATGTTCAAGCAAATAGTCAAAGTCACTCAAGAAAGTGTTGATGTATACCTTCAGGATATTATAACAGAAGGGATGGAGTTTGCATCAAATGAAGAAGCAAATGAGTATGTCCTAAAATTGGCACAAAAAATTGAGAAAGAAACAGATGAAGCATATAAAAAGTAAGAATGCTTTAATGAAGTGTCTCATTGATTTCTCAATGACCAATAAAAATTATTTGTTGTGTTTCAGAGCTCACACTACTTCAACAGATAAACAAGATGAAATGATTGCTGACCTCATTCTTCATTTTGTTTTACCAGATGTGGAAAAAAAAATTATTCGGGACAAGATTTCAAAACAACAAAAACACAATTTGAAAACTATTCATGAAAGCATTTATTCCAAATTTGAAAGTTTACCCAAAATTGGTAAGAATTGAAAGTGCAACTAGTTTATTTTTCTATAATCCTATCATTCCACAGAGCCAGAGCCTACCGCAAGCATTATTGTATCTGAAGTCATAGAGAATATAGAATCAAGGGTTTTCAATACAATATGTGATCAGTCAAGTCCATTAGAGCTGTCGAGCTTGAAGGAGTATAAAGATCCTTTTGAAGAATATTTAGCTCGACTCATGGCTGACGAATGCAAATATGATGAGGATCCAGTTGGAGATATTAATGATTCTAATGATTCAAATGAATTCGAATTTCGTAATGATATATTAGAAACTATTACTGAAGTTGATTCAGAAAGTAGTTCAAATAAAGAAAAATAAAATATGTCTTGTGCATATATTTGCATTAGGTGAAGAATAATAAAAATATAAAATTACAGAGGTATGAATGTTTCTGAAATATACACTTATTTAAAAAAAACTCATATCATATTCCCCAATCTTTTGAAATCAATTTTCTCTAACTGAACTAAAGGTCTAAGCTGTTCAGCAAAAAGCTTCATATCTTCTCCAATAGCATCTTGACCGGAAGGTGCTAATACAGATAACTCCACTAAATAACTTCGAGAGATAGGCTCCACTCCTTCAACAGGTTTGTTACCTCCCATCTTGAAAATTTTTGAAACTGTGATTTTCATTCTACCTTTCCTAAACATATATCCTCTTGCAATATACTCAAAATCTAATCTGCATCCAAGTTCTGTCAAAAATTCGGTGATAGTGGAACTGCAAGCGATGTCGATGCTAGAACGCACAACTGTTGGTCTATTTTTATCACCTAGCTCTTGTTGTCCAATATATCGTAGCTGAAAAGGTGTATCAGTTACATCTAGCGATCTCCTTACTCTCAAGGCAAACACAGACATTGGGGTTGTTGTGCCAGTATTTGCAATCCTTAGAGAAAAACAAAGTTCGTGGTCATGAAATGATTCTGGGCCACTATCAACGTTATCACATAGACCTCTTAAACGATGCAACAATACTTCAACATATTGATCTAACACTGAACCTTGTAGTAAATATTCTTGATTTGGAATAATATTGCACTTAAGAGCAGCAATCAAAGAGTCCATAGCATTCCCGGGTGATGACATATTGAATTTTTCAAGAAATAATACTTCAATAAATTAGATAATATACTTGGTATATATTTTTATGTTTACTGCCACTTCAGTTTCATCTTAATGAATTTATACTATTTGTAGGTAGAATTGTACCTTATTAGGTAAAGTTAGTCCAGGTACAGGTAGTCGTTACCGAGGTTACCACCACAGGCCACAGAACACTTAAAACTTATGCCTAATTATAGTTATCACAAAACATAATATTAAGCGTTTTGACAGGTAGAATCGAAAAATCTAGTCTAATTTGAATCTGATGAAAACACTTTTCTCAGACAAAAGCACTGTATCTAGACGCGTTTTTCGCTAACCCAGTTAGCATCATCGAAAGAAGAAAAGTATTTTTTTTTCTTCACAAGTTACCTACAATATGCAATGTTCTCTGTTTTATTATATTTTGATTTCAATAAATGTTTTAATGAAGCTGTGAAAATTGGAATTGACCATTATCACGTAGATATGGTCAGTCTCAGGTGTTTCATTATTGGTATACTGATATTTTACATATAATATCATTAACACAGTTTATGCACCATATTCACGTAAAAATAGCTTAACAAGTTTCAGTCAGTCAGTCTCATCGACATAATCTTAAGGTCAGGTAATGCTAGGTTATGGTTATGTCGATGGTCAGTATCAGGTGTTTCGTGATTGACATACTGATATTCGAAATAAAGTATTGAAAAGACGGGAAATCTCAGAGTAACGGATGTCTTATTATTACTCTGAGCGGGAAATATTGAGAAGACCTCACATGTACTGTGATGATGATATAGTGCTGCAGGTTTCTCAGGATTTTCCTGCAGCTGAAAAAGCAAATGCGCCACTGGAATCAATGAAGTCGCCGCGGAGCGCCAATTAATTTTTGTTGTTTTTTCCGTGATCCCATTATTATCCCATGTAAGACAAGTTCTTAAATTCATGGATTTATTCATCTATTTGTCCATTCAATACTTTAGCACGTTTCTTTTGTTTAAAGCAATTCATGAATCTAAGAACTCCCAGGAGACTTCCTCTCCGATAGTGACAGAGAACGGTTGTGCCGATAACGATCGCCTTCAAAGATGGCACGTGGATGTCGTGATCGGAGTGGGGTCCAGTGGGTGTGAGCTGAAAATAAAGTGTAATATAAAATAAAGTTACGTCTGAATAAATTTTGAATTGGAAGATGAGGGGACTCTCGGCCCCCTACACCGGTAACCAGTCTGGACGTCGACGGATTAGACGAGGTCATCAGTTCTATAAAATATATGAACTTGTGTTATTTTTATCCGAAGACCTTTCGAGAAAGAGGTGCCCAGTAAAAAATAAAGTGATTTTGTAAAAAGAAAAAGTGGATGAAAATACTTAGGGTGGCAGCAATGCCTCGAGCAAGACCGCTGGGCATCCGGATGAAGCCTCTGTCACTATGACCAGGAAGGGAAGAGCCTGGATAAATGCGCTCGAATGAGAAGCAACGACCATAGAAATTAAGGGGTGAGAGAGGTGTGCACGACACAAAATTCAAAAATAGATCTCCCGCGAAATATATTAACCTAACCTAAAATACTGACACCTAACAAATTATTTAAAAAAATAATGATTTTCTAGGAGGCTTAAATATGAATTTGTATGGATATGTTCTGAGTTGCGATCAAATAAGTGATGTTCCACTTTTTCAAGACTTTCAGAAGCTATTTGTTCCTATGAGCCAACAACTGAGAATTTCTGAAAACAAATTATTCATTGGTGAACAAGTGTACAACAGAAGACTCATCATTGAGGAAATCGATATTATTTTACGTTTAGCTCAAAGAGAATGGCACTATTTGCAAACCATTGCGTTGAATGGTGATGTGTTAGCATATGAAGAAATGATGTATTCAAGGGAACTCATCAACAAATCATTTTCTGCAATAACGGAGTCATTACTGTTATGCGAATATCCTTCACAAAAAGCTAGATATGCCTCACAGACGTTAGACAAAGTTATTTTTTTTACTAATACAGTTTTATCATTCAGTGAACTAAGTGAGGAATTTGTGATCAAGCTTTCTGCTCTTAAAGAAAGTGATACTAGGAATCCAGTATACCAGTATTTTCATACATTCCTGGAGATTCACTATTATACATTGGTTTTACATTATATCTGTGGATCTTCTAAAATTGTTCTTGAAAACAAAATTGAAACAATAATTATTAACCTAGTAGTGCTAGCTAGAAGGAGTTTTCAAAGGCAAATAACTCGAGATGTGTTTGGATGTCCATGTGTCAAAAACATTTGGCTACTTATTCAGTTATTCTGTGAGAAAACTAGAGACCCCGATTTTTTCTGGAAAATATTCAACAAGAAATTAGAGACTGAAGATTCACTATTCACTTTATGGCTCTTAAAAGATGTTGCCAATTTACATTCATATAATACTAGTCTCAGGAATGAAGAAAATCATTCTGAAAGAATTAGAGAAAATTATGAGTTGATACAATTCAAGTTGAAACCACTTCTGCTGAAAGCTGACTCTGATATGTTAATGGAAATTTTAAAATCAATTGAACCTTTAATATGTGGGCTTTGGCTGAAACAAGGCAGTATTCAAACTTATCAAATCATCTGGGACTACTACAGTAAGAGACTTAATGTCTCAAAAAGAAACTATACCAACTCCACAGCTCTAGACTTAGTTGAACTTCTGGATATAATACTCTTCAAACCGAAGGAGTGCAAAGGTGATTTTGAAAAATTTATTTCCATGCTCATTTGTCAACTCCAAAGCCACCCTGAACATTGGGGGAAAATGAAAGGAAGGATTTATTCACAACTGGGTCCAAATAAATTGAAGGAACTTTCTGAAACAGGAATTATCCATGTCATGTTACTTTTTATAGCACTGTCAGCTGTTGGATATGAAGAGGTTACGAAGAAAGTTGTTTCTATTTTTGACACTCTACCACCTGAAAAAAAGAATACTCCTTTGGTGTGGAATGTTTATATTACCTTTGTAAGTATGTAAAATCAAATAATTTGTTTAATGCATTGTTCATTCATAGCAAAATGGTATATTTGCTTCACCAAGTTAGTTTATTTCGCATTTAGTTTATTGAGTAATAGACGAACTAGAAAACTGTAAGAAGTCTACCTTGAGGTGAATATTTTTCGTAAAGTGGAAGATTACGTTTAAATTGAAAGAGGTATATTTTTAGGAGGGATTAGTTTTTGGGAAAGAAAGGTTTCGGCTTTTTTTTCCTAGAATTCAATATTTAGTTGTCAAATGATTCCTACGAGATATACTGTAGGAGATTCTTCATTAGTTTGACTTATGAAGAATCTATAAGATTTGATTTTAGGAAAAATGAAGACTCCAAAGTGATCTGTTCAAATTGATACTTCAAGAAATCAATTTTAAATTTAATTGCAATACCAATCGTCAAGCAAAAATTACAACAAAAAATGATGAATATTACACATATAGAAGTATATTTCTGTAACTTACAGTGATTTTTACCTATGTTTAGTAAGGTTGAGACATTAAGTTCTGAATGGTAAACTAACTAATACACAGGTTTGTCGTAATAGGGTAATGGTTCAGGTTATTTTGATAGAAAACAAACTCAACTTCAAGCCCACAGTTATATATTCAGTTCATGCAAAAGACGTCAATTTTATTCAACTCTCATTAAGTTTAAAATTATAAAATTAGTAACTCCACATAAAAATATATTCCTTTTCAAATCTCGAATACCCCTTACCTTTGCATTTGATGGTTTACAATTGGCATTTTCAAAGTCCTTTCACTTTGCATACCCAGCTTTTTTTGGGCGTTTGACCCAATAAATATTGTTTTTTGAACTGCTAATAACATTGGCATATTTATCACCCTGGAGAAGCTGTTTTGATATCTATAGTGATCTTTTCTACAAAACTCTCCAAAGCCAAAACCAATGGTTCATGTTGAGAGATAGGCTAACATAATAGCAGCTAAAAAGGTATCTTCTATGTGCATAATCTCATTAACATATTCCTCCTAGTGGAAAAACTCATCAATTTTATGGAACCCAGGCATCTGAGAAGGTGAAAGCAGCCATTTGAACCTGTATCCTCATAAACACTTACTAGTCCACTCCAAGCTTCAGCAGCTGCTTTTGAGTCGTTAATATGGGTAAAGACACTTTTGACAACAGTTAGGTTAATCTCAGGGCTAGGGCTTTCACATCATATCTTTGGTCAATTTTGTCATGCATGAGAACACATTCCATTTGAAATTTCCATTCTAGACAATTGTCTCTTCCTTTCAACTTGAAGCTGTTGTCATCCATGATTCGAGTCAAGAATGTGACAACGAATTATCGTTCAACAGAAAGTTGCATTATGGTGTTATTCCGGACGGAAGAACCTCCGAGACGATGAATGGACACCTTTTCATTAAAGGATAAATAAACTGGAAACAACTGTGACAGGTACATAACTAACTTATTTGTAAAAAATAATGATTGAAATAAAATTTCACTAAGAATGCAGGGAAGACTAAAGGTCTAAATTTAAGGTATCAGAACAAAACCCTAATGTCAGGTATGAGTCAACATAAGTTTCCAACATATTCTTCATAAGAATTTGAGTGTGTAAGCTTTTGCTCACCTGGATGGCACAAGAGACACTAAAACTTCAAAAAAACACTTTACTATGAATAATTGATAAGGAACACTCTGTTACCCCTTTTCCAGGTAACTACCTATCTAAATCTAACACTTGGCCTATCCTGACAAAATTAAGTGGCCCCACTCAAAGAAACATTTCTAAACTAAACAAATAAAAATAAATAGAAAATAATGAATCTATGAAATGAAAAAAAAAATAATCAAATAAAATAAATTCGTTTCTGAATCGCTCTGGAAGACGACTCTTTCTTAGTCTATCCCTGCTTCTAGATCTAGACCTTCGCTATTTAGTGACACGTGGTGATGGGGGTCTACATCTGCTACTCTGAATCTAACTCTGGACAAACGTTCTCTGGATTTGTGACGGCTTCTTACCCTCGATTTGGAGCGAGATGTGCGAGATTTGGAGCGTCGTGAACAAGACCTTTCAATTATATTCTTACCAGTCTTTTGTTCAACGTTCAACATGTCAGTTGTTACGGGTTCTCGACTACCTCTAGTTGTGTTTATGACTGAAGATGTTTTCCACAACTTCTAGCGTTTCTCTATTGTGGCAGGTCTCAGTTTATCTGGATTCTCATCTGAAACTACGACTTCTTCATCAGCAACCCTGCAGTTGATGAGCATGACTGTGTTTGGTTGAACAATTCTCTCTTGAGCTATGACAGAGATTGACTCATTTGCAGTTTGTTGTTCGACTCTGGAAAATTGCAACATGTCCTTACAATAAAATGCCAAATCATCGTTTTTTCGAACATACGCTATCGAATCATCTTCGATGAAAGTGACACAAAATAACATAAACGGATTGAACTTCGGCTGATACTACATATAAGCTCCTTGTCGACAAAAACATCTCCCAACTCGATTCTGGCTGTGACTGTTCCAAGACGCTCCACTTCTGACCCTCCAAAACCGAACAAATTCGATTCTCCTGGTTGAATAATTTGTCCTCTCTGCGCTGCTTTACTGCTAATTGTATAAACTGCGCTTCCTGGATCGGTTGAAGCTTGATACTGTGCATTCTTGACTTTTACTGTATGCATAAATCGCTTAAGAGTGTGAGAATAGTGCGCATCAAATGAAGTTACATTTACTGTTTGAGTAGTATCTATGCAATTGTGTTTGATGTATCCAGGTTTGAAGCATTTATAACATGAAGAGGCTCGTTTATTACATCCATTTTAATTGATTCAGTTTAATTCTACTTAACTCAAGTGGTTATCCTTAGAGACAGTTACCTTACCTTACCCTTACACTGACTTTTTGAATGCCCTATATATCCACCTTTATAACATTTGTTATTACTTCTATGATGTTTATCCCTATTATATTCCCTCTCATGCTTACTAAACTGAACCTGATTCCTTTCGTGATTTTCTTTTTCATACATTTTTTCTAGTAGTAAAAGATCTGACCATAACTCGATTTGATTATTATGAACTTTTACTACTAAACTGCCTGCTACATCAGCTCAAATCAAACCCTAAAATTTACACTTTACTGTCACTGAAAGTCAAGTCAAATCTCCACATAATCTTATTTTGTCGTGTCTACGAATGTTAATCTAAACTTTGTTTCAAAAGTATTCCATGTAAATATCTTCAAATTTAAATTTTGAAATCAATTTGCTGCCGGACCTATCAAATGTGACTATGCAACTGTTAGTTTGATTTGTTCATCCCAACCCTGTAAATTAGCACTAGTTGTAACCGAGTTCAACCAATCTAATGCCTTATACCCTACACCAATCACCATGAAAAGTCCACAATGTTTGCGGTATATTTGGAACTACCGTCGTATTTCTACTATTTTGCACTGTCATTATATTCAGAATATGCAACTGAGAAGTCATTGAATTATTTATCTATTGCATTACCCTATGCACCGAAATCTCCCAAAAATTGCCCTGTTCCTCTTAAGAATATAATATTTGATAGTAATGCTATAGGTCTGTAATTTTTTATTTGATCCTTGTCACCCTTTTTGAAGATTGCTTTTATATGAGCTATTTTTAATTTGTCAGGAAATATTCCTTTATTAAGCATCATGTTTATAATAATTGCTAGGGGTGTTGATAGTTCACGTGCAACATATTTCAAGAGTTTTACCGGGATTTCGTCATATATTCGTCATATATCTATTTATATCCCTATTTGTTAGAAATGGTTGATGTTTAGTCAGCTCTGTATGTTTCATTTACTTTTGAGTGTGCCCTGTAGACGTGTTTTAGATGTTGATATTTGTTTTGAAGCAGTTGTCAATTTTGATAAAATAAAAGTCATTACGCAACTTAATTTTTCTCTTTCGATTACGAACGTATTCAACTATATACAAATAGTTGAACCATTGATACATTGTCACATTCATAGATGATTATTCAAGATATTGTGAGATTGGTTTTATGAAGAGCAAAGATAAAGTTTTCATTAAATTCAAAGAATATAAAGAGAGAGCGGAAAATTTACACGGGAAAAATATTTGCTGTTTACGAAGTGACAATGGTGGCGAATATTTGTTAAATGTTTTCAAAGAATATTTGCAGAAACATGGTATTCAACATCAGTTAATCATTTCAGGGACTCCACAACAAAATGGAGTGGCACAGAGGATCAATCAAACATTGTTCGACGCAGCAAGATGTATCATGATTGAATCAGGTTTACCTGAAAAATTTTGGGGAGAGGCACTTCCAATAGCATGCTATGTTAGAAATCGCTATACAACAAATGCTAACGAGGGAGAAAGCCCAATACAAAAATGGAAACCGATGATCTCCATTGATAAATCTCATTTACGGGTGTTTGGATGCAGAGTTTGGGCAGTGAACAAAACAAGAACAAGTAAAGGTATAAACTGCATATTTTTGGGCTACGATAGCTATTCCAAGGCATACAGACTGTGGGATACAAAGAAGGAAAAAATCTTCATTAGCAGAGACGTTAAATTTGAAGAAGACCGTTTTTCCAGCGTTGCATAGTAAACCAGATATTCCGAAAAACAAAACAATGGGAGAAGATGAGGTGCTTAATATTAATATGAAGACGAATATTTTTAATTTTGAAACAAATGAAGAAAAATATGTATTCAGTAAAACTAGCAGTGATCAGGAGATTACTGAAGTAGAAGAACAAATTTTGATCGACATTACGTTCCAAACTATAAACATGGACAACACAAATAACAAAAATGAGAGAGAAAAGAAACCTAATTGGATGTCAGATTACATAGTCAACGACGAAGCATGTACATCAAAATTTTGTAATGAAGCTAAAAATTCTAAAACGATTGAAGAAAGACACCATGATCCACTGAATCTAACAGAGGCATTAACTGGAAATAACCGATTAAATTGGCAAGATGCTATTGTTCAAGAATTTGATAATCTCATTAGAAATAATACATGGAATTTTGTAAAGCGGACAGACGAAACTAGAACAATCAAGACGAAATGGGTTTTCAAAACAAAGTATAATGAAAAGAAAAATTTAAAGCCAGAGTTGTTGCACTAGGAAATACTCAAAGGCCTGGAATTGATTTTGATCAAACATATGCACCAGTTATTCAGAAGAAAACTATAAGGATGCTGTTGGCCGCTGAGATGACTTGGTTGATACATCAAATGGACATCACTGCTGCATATTTATCTGCTGACTTGAAAGAGACGATATTCATGGAAATTCCAGAGGGATACAATAGTGTACAAATTATATTGAAGAAGAAATTTTCAACTAAAGTTTTGAATCATAGAAAAGAAACGGATTTGTTTGTAAACTGAATAAAAGTTATATGGATTGCATCAGTCGGGACTGATGTGGATTAAAAAATAGACAATTTCATCAAAAGCCAAGGTTTTGAAAGATCTATTGCTGATCCATGTGTTTATTTCAAGTAAAGAAGAAGTTATAATCACCATTTATGTAGATGATATATTAATTTTTGGAAGTGGAGATGAAATAAATAAATTAAAGTTCAGTTTCAAACAAAATTTTTGATACCAAATACTTGGGGGAAGTGAAAATATCTTATCAGAGTTACGAGAGACCAGGATAAAATAAGATTAGACCAGTCATTATATGCCATCGAACTTTTGAGAGAAATGAACATGTTGGAAGCAAAGAAGGTATCTACTCCTCTACCCGTAGGAGAAAAATTTAAAATTGATGACGATGAACCCTTAAATGAGGAAGATACAAAATTATATCAGAGAGTTATTGGAAGTCATTTATATTTGGCAGTTTTGACAAGACTGAATTTAGCATTTCCCGCTATATTTATGAGTCGGTTCAATCATAGACCTTTAAAGCACCATTGGAAGGGTATGAAACATATTCTCCGATATCTAAATGGGACAAGAAACTATGGATTAAAATATTCAAACACTGGAAAAATTATTATGGAAGTCTACAGTGACGCAGATTGGGAATCAAATGAGACAGACGGAAAGTGCTACAGTGGCTATGTTTTTACAATTGAAGGCGGAGCTGTGAGTTAATCAAGCCGTAAGCAACACTGTGTTGCACTAAGTACTGTAGTATCAGAATTTATCGCCTTGAGCGAAACAGCCAAAGAACTGATTTTTTTTTAAAAAATTGACTCATAAAATATCCAAGGAACAATTTTTTGGTGATTGTTTTCCTATTTTTATAGACAATCAATTAATACAATTAAATTAGCCGAAAACAATATAATATCCGAAAGGTCAAAACACATTGATTTGCGTATGTTTCACATCAGAGATTTGATAGAAGAAAAAACAATAGTTTTGAAATGTTTCATCTTGAGAAAATTTGGCTGATTAACTGACGAAATGTGTTGCTGCAGTCATTTTGGTGTAGCATTTGAGAGAATTGGGGATCAAAGATCCAGGGGGAGTGTTAGGAATGGTTGATTTTTAGTCAGCTCTGTATTGAACTGTTTCATTGAGTTTTGAGTGTGCCCATGTTGATAATTGTTTTGAAGTAGTTGTCAATTTTGATTAAATAAAAGTCATTAACGCAACTTAATTTTTTTCTTTCGGTTACGAACGTATTCAACTATATACAAATAGTTGAACCATTGCTACAAAAAGTTCAACACTATCATCTATTTAGTTACATCGCTGAGACCACGAAAATTAGACTTATTATTGCAATCGTTTTCAACTTATTTCAATTAAATCAATGTAACTGAGCGTATACTAAATACTGTGGTTGCCTTAGTCACTCCATCTAAGATCTAAATCACCCTGTAAAACTATTGAACAACCTGACGCTGCCTATCAAATTTCTCTCCTAAATTTAAAACTTGTCAAATTTGATAAGATTTAGCACATAAAAGATATTTGGTGTTCAAGAACCACTTCTGAAATGTTAGCTTTTGCTCACCTGGATGGCACAAGAATCACTAAAGCTCCAAAAAAACACCACTATATATAACTGATAACGAACACTGCCACTATCTACACTACTCTTTCTGGTTACCACCTTGTTGCAGTGAAAACTGTAAAAGGAAGAGATTTCTAATACTCATTTTTATTTTTAGAACATTATACAAGTACGAAATGGACACAGCCTTGGAAGCACAGCACCATCTTTACTATCCCTGCTCCAAGAAGCATCAGCAGACAACAAACATTTTCGTTTGATAAAAGGATTCATCACAAACTTCGAACATTTGTTGAAGTTTAGTGTTAATATGCAACTCGACCAATCACTATTTTTGAACTCATGGTTATCAAAATATCTATCAACTTGTTACTACACAGATCTAAACCTTGCCTTGGACGTTTTAGCCTTTACGTTGGATAAAGTTGGAAATCCAGATTGTTGGTCATTGTGGATGGCACCTTTTAAAGAACATGTTTATCCTGCCCTAAAGTTGGTCTCTAGCACTCATAATGCCCCAGGATCAATAGGAAAAATTGCTGGAAAACTATGTTTACTCATTCCACATTTAGCCAACGAAATTTTTGCATACTTCACAAATGAAAACATACTCTCTAACATATTATCAGAGTTTCTAATAGTTGTTTTGAGGAATTATCCCAATAGTTACATCTTGAATGAACAACAAGAAGCACAAGTAATTATATGCTGGGTAAAAATATGTCTGCTAACGATGGAGGCTCCTGAAAGTTTAACCCAAAATGTACTGAAATTTGATCTCTTTCCTGTTGCATTGAAATCACATATCAACTCATCAAAGGATCCAATTTATGCTCTCATTGAGTTTTTTGGAAGTGACATAAAACACCATTCCCAATCTTCATTCATCAACAAGTTATGCGAGTTATCCTTCGGTCACCTTGATAAGTGGCTAGTGCAGTATATATCACAAGGGGAGAATGAAGCAATAATTTGTCGAATCTACACTTGCCTTTCACTTGCATTTTTACACTGTGGAACCCTGCTTTACAGTCGTAATAAGAGTTCATGTCCCCTTACAAAGTTGACACAGTGCCTGTTGATGCCCAATGATTTACTTATAGGAAAGAATTTGCATGAATATGTGGTGAATGCAGTTAAAAACACTTGGCACCTATTTTACGAGGCTATGGTGAAGCTGAGAGCAGAAACTGATATGTTCGTGGAGAGAATGCTTCGTGACATGATCACTAAATATATGAAATATTTCTCCACAAGTGAGTCTCCTATTTTAAAGTGTTTGGAAAATGACGCAGTTGCTTCCGTGTTGTTAGAAAAATTATGTAGCTCTTATTTCAAACATCCTGTCAAAGAACCTGATGCTAATTTACTAAAGGTTTTGAAAATTTTAACAGACATCATAAAGTGTACTACTTCGATCCAAGTGTTGAAGTTAATTGTGACAAAAACATTTTATGGATTATGTGAAGTAGTTATTTTCCATAAACAAAGAAGCACTGCTATAAGTTTGATAGCAACAATCACTTGTTCTCCTTTGTACCCTCAAATTAAAGCAGAATTTCGAAATGAAGTGAATGCCATTACAGTGAAACACATGGCATTCAACACCATAAATTATTTTCAACTGATGATGATCTTGGCCAAGTTTGTTCCAAATGATATTAAGGAGTTACTTGGAAATGTCAAGCAACAGGTTATAAATGTTGAAAGATTACGTAGTGTGGGGTTTGATAGAAATTTACGACTACATTTTGAAAAACTTGAAAGTGCTGTGAAAGTGACTCAGTGATATAGTAATTTATTTCAAGTGCTTTATGTGAAATAAAGAAAACCAAACTTGTTTGTTGAAAATATTTTGAACTAAGTTGAAATTATACAGGTTTGTAATCTAATTTACTTTCTAATTTCTTGTTATCTGCAACTTTTCTCACTGCCTTCATGAAATCTTCCTGAATCACATATTCTCTTTCTGCCCGGATTGCAAACAACCCTGCTTCTGTACACACATTTCTGAAAAAGTTATAAATATGAAATATCTGTCTGAGTAAATTTCAACTGAGTTTACCTCAAATCTGCTCCATTGAAGGAGTCAGATAGCTTGACAATTGCCTCGTAGTCAATTTCACCATGTTTGGCGATGGGCAAAGCATGAATTTTAAGAATTTCAAGTCTTGCTTGCTCGTTTGGTAGAGGTATCTCAATTTTTCTATCCAAACGACCTGGGCGGAGCAAAGCAGGATCCAATGTATCAGGCCTATTAGTGGCCATTATCATTTTTACCTGAAACCAATAAGTCAAACAAACCACAACCCAAGAAAAATAACATCTTCACCTGTCCCAATGAATCAAATCCGTCCATCTGATTTAGAAGTTCCATCAGGGTTCTTTGAATTTCTCTGTCAGCTGAAGTTCCCTCAGAAAACCTGCGGCCACCTAGAAAAAATATCTAGTACTTTTTATGTCATGAGGATATGTGTATCATACCTATGGCATCAATTTCATCCATAAAAATGATACAAGGTTGGTGATCTTTAGCGTAATTAAACATTTCTCTTATCAATCTAGCAGATTCTCCAATGTATTTATCAACAATTGCACTGGAAACAACTTTCAAGAAATTTGCATCTAATTGAGAGGCTACAGCCCTAGCAAGAAGAGTTTTTCCAGTTCCTGGGGGTCCATATAAAAGGCAACCTGTAAAATTTTATTAAAGTAGTAAAAACAACAGAAAATTCAAATTTCTTTCTGAAACATTTTCAATAACACAACTTTGAACTTCACATACTTTTAGACTATTACCAAACATACCAAATACTAAATGTATGCTCACATACTTGATTTGTCTTTATAATATCTAATATACTATAAACATTTTTTGACACGGTGTTTGTGGTCGCACTCCTTCTAAATGGCTCGACCAATTTTGATGAAAATCTTCATATATCATCATATACTTTACGACCTATTCTCATGGGTATGAGAATAGGTCGTAAAGTATATCTCGTAGTGCTATACGATTAGAATGAGTGTCCCAAAAATTTTTTTTTTCAATTTGACATATGACAGATCAACGTTTGCTGGGTAGTGAATCATAAACTTATTGTCAAGAATTTATTTTCAGGTGCCCTCTCATAAGTCCATCAGTCTTTTCATATCCTCTTTCATAGTACTAACTATGGTCATAATCTTAAATTTATTCAAGTCATCCTACTTATCTACATCCTACATTACTCATGTGTGTGTATGTATATTGGGCCCATAAATTACCAAATATACAGGAAATTTATGAGCATTCAGAACAAACATATTTTGAAGATAATCAAATATCAGTCACAATCTGGCATACAACATAATAACCTCTCTCTACAATCAGGATTGTTCAAAATCAATTCTTGAAGCAATGTCGCAGGACAACGCTGATTAACGAAAAAACAGATTTAAACAAATCAGATGTAACAATAAACTATCAGACCGAATTCTTTATTGTTATCACAGTCATACAGCTTAATTGATTTTTTCATAAAGTTTTATTCTGAAGAGTAAAAGTAAACTTTTGGATATGTTTCACTAATGTGAGGAATTTGGAAGTTTGTTGATTAGAGTGAGTAATATCATGAAATAAATAAAGGAGAAAATTATAAATACCCTTTGGAGGTGTGATTCCAACCCTCATAAATAGTTCAGGATTCAGCAGAGGCAGTTCAATAACCTCTCTTAATTCCCGAATTTGTTCAGAGAGACCTCCAATAGCAGAATAAGTGACGTCTCCTGGATCTTCATGGCTCATGTTATAAACCAAGGGGTCCACTTCTCGGGGCAGATAGCGCATAATAGTTAATGTTGTCATATCTAAAGCTACTCTTGTCCCTGCTTTCAATTTAGCTTTATCTAATTGTCTTCGACAGCCAACAACGTAGCGGGGACCGTTAGTAGCTTTAACAATAACTAAAACATCTGTATTAAATAGCAGAAGCATAGATGAAGAAACTTACATTTTTCCTCTGTCAGTTGTTTCAATACCTCACCCACAATCTGTCCCATACTTTGGAGAGCTTTCAAGTCATTTTCGGACTTATCATATTGTTTTGTTAAATCTTTCAACTGCTCCCGCACTGAAAATATTTTTTATATATTATACTTAACAAACCGTAGATGGTATTTTCTCACTTTCTTTCAGTCTAGATTCCACTTCTTTATGTTCCAATAATTTTTTTCGGTAGTCCTGAAGACCTTTTTCACGTTCGGGCTCCATTATGCTTTAAGAACTGACTATACGAGTTTTTTCTTGATATTTGATATACAATGGACGATGACTAGCACTACCAGCAGTCAGCAATACCAGCTCTTAGCAGTAAGAATACAAAAATAACCAGTTCTTCTTCTTCTCTCTCTCTAACTGATTTCTACTCGGGCGCATTTGTCCAGGCTCCTCCTATTGAATTAACATCAATTTGACAGAAGCTTCGTCGTGGGGCTCTTGTTTATATATCTATGCGTGGGGCGCAGCGGTCTTGCTCGAAGCAATGCTGCCACCCCTTTTTTGTCACACTTTTTATGATAAAAAAACACAGAACTTTTTTATTATCGCCTTCTGCTCAGGAGACCTTTTGATTTTTCAACATATATGTTTATGGGTCGCCTCCTCTTCGGGAGACCTTCGGATTTTTATCCGAATCATCCGGCCTGGTACCGGCGTGAATAAAGGGGCCCTTAAACTTCACTTTTTGAAAACTCTCACACATTTCAGTATTTATAACAATGGACTATCACAACACAAAAAAGAGCCCCACGATAGCACATGGCATCCGCGTACCTTCTTTGTGGACGGACGTTATCAGCACGTACGTCCACGGCCATCACGAGACTCAGTTCTTCTTCTTTTCCTCTCCGTTTCGTGGTGTGCCACTTTCTATTCCTTACCGCGCTACTAACCAGAATATTTGATAGCGATTACCTGAAAAATATGAGATATGTTCCAAAAGTAATCTTTGAGCTTCTAAAATCGAAACTATCATAGTACTACTGAAAAACCTGTTGTATATAAAACACGGTTTCAATGTCCATCAAAATGTCTAAACACTAACTGATTGTGTTGTGTGAGAGTGACAATTGGCAGATGAAGAGTTTGTATTTGGAAATATTTTTGTTGAGGAAAACAATCAACTATATTGGTTGAACAGGTTTATTTGGACAATGATCAAGAAAGACGTAGATATATAAATAATTAGTAAACGTAAATCAAGTAAAAAATTAGTAAACTATGAAACTAACAATAATCAAAGACGACTTGTTTTTGTAGGTACATCGAATTTAATTTACTCGTCCTCTTCAACTGTAGTATCATTTGTCGTGGACCAATTTATCCAGGTCCATAGACGAAAACATACACTTCTAATGAAACACACTTTAATAATGGATAAAGCTTTTTTTCGCACCAATATGTGCGTCCCCACACAAAACTGTGCTCAACTCTCTTTGTTTTATCGAATATGGATAATAACAGAAAAAATGGTATAGAAATTCATCGTCAGTTATGAAATTCGTCAATGTTACGGTCCCTTTATTATTTTAATTTTCCTTTGTTTCATCAAGATCTGAAAATTATTTATCCTTTCGAATATTTGATGTGGTGCTCAGATATCTCGATAGATGAGATAATTTTTCCTTCGAATATTTAAATTTTAATATAGCCTTCTATTTGAACTCGATTTGACCTTGAATTATGTAATATCTTTCCCCTAACGCTACCGCGACTCGTGGTTATCTTATGAACTTTCAGAAAAATCCGACTACAATCTTCTCTGTGAATAGTAGTGAATATATAGTATTAATTGTTATCAGTTTTATTGAAACTATGCGTTTTAATTACTGCTGTGAAAAGCTTTATTCTCAACATTTGATTGCTCTATTACTGAACAACTTCTTTCTGTTTTATCGCCGCGTCGTCCAACGAATACAATAAGCTAAAATGAAATGTTTATTTTATTCTTTTGAAAATGTCCTTATAGGACGAAACTGCACCAACGTTAATTACAAATACAAGTGGCATAAAAACATAGGAAATTTTATTTCTAATTTTTGATTATACTGTTATATTTTGAAATAAACGAACTTTCTACCGTTCATCTCTATAGTTTTTGCAGGAGGCTGAGAGATTTTACTGTTGATACAGAACGATTATTGAATTGCCTAGAGCCTGTAAAATTACCCATGATTGAGAGAAGTAGGTACCTTTCGCGAGTTCTTTTCAATACGATTCTGTTCACCCGTACATTTTGAACAAAAAAGTTCTGTTTCTCCCTGTATGTAGAGACCTTTTGTGATATCTTCATCTACCATCGACATTGATGATCCTTCATCTGAAAAGGTAAACGTTGTTACTTCTCTATCTACATTATTGCGGGTAACAGGTAATATTCGAAAACGAAGACTCAGTGAAGAGTTCTGATGATAAATATTGATTTCCGATCTCATATATGCATTCGATTGGCATGATGGGTTGTGTTGAAGTCTTTGAAAGTTTTTATGAAGAAATGGATGATGCTTCCGTTGGCAATGACACTAAGTAGATATTTACCGGGAAATCCATATCGTTCTTGATACAATTGCACATTTGCAAGTCTTTGATGACTTTCCATTTATTACTCATCAAATATTCTTGAAACTGTTTACGATCCGATTTATATCTGCAGGTTTGACTATATATTTTGCACTTTAATATTTGGTCATGTGACTAGGCATCATTTCTTAATGAAGAATCAAAACTCTGAACATTTGTTTGTTCATTGTGATGATTTTGCTTGGTATGCCCTACAATGGCTAAAGTAGCCAGCTTAGCTTAGTAGCTAAGTTATACATCCAATCTACGAAATCTGTCAGACCATCATGTTTTTTCATGTTTTTTTCTTTTGGGGTGCTTGAAGTCCAATGGAATTTATGTTAGTTCCTTAGTTTTAATCTGATCTATCGAAGAGCATTTCAAGAGTGAAAATAAGCCCTGTATATCTTTCAAAACTACTGATGAAAAGAGGCGACTCTTATGAATTTCCACTGGAAGATGGTATATAATTCACTAGGAGTGGATCGTTGTGCATCATATTGATGTGTTATGAGTAAAGGATATTCCTGTTTGACTAATATGTTGAATTTTTTACTTTCCTGTTTCCTTTGATTTTCAGTATATAAGGAATATTTTCTATTTCTACAGATTCCTCATTACCTCTGATGTTTTTATTTGGTTCCATACCACTTTCCAACTGCTGCCTCAACAACTTATTGCCGAAGGATCAGCTTTTTCTAATTCTTCATGATTCAGATCGTGACTATCTCGAATTCTTCCTCTTTAAACAATTCTCGTTCTTTCCTTGGTGGTTCTCTCTCTTCTTGCAATTTTAATTTAGGTCTACTACTTGTACTCAACCTATTTTTTTTACTCTTCACGATTTGCAGAGGTATAGACTTGAATGAAGCTTCCGATTTATTGTCTAACTGGAATAGACGGGAAATTTCAGGCATTTAATTTTTGACAGTTTTTGAATCAGTATTATTACAAGGAGGACACTTTCAATGCTGATCTTAACTCACAGCTTCTGTCACCATTTTATCCCACTACTGCTTGTACATTTGACCATCCTTTCATTGTGATATGGTTTATTACATATGTAAGACAGTGGTCTCTCTCAAATCGAATTTGAGCTTTGCTGAGAATACTTAGAATGGCTTACTGAGGAATGAGTTTTCAGTATATTATATCAATGAACCACTGTAACTAGTTTCTCTAGCAAATATTTTTATTTAACGGGGTCCCTATATACACATCCTTATACACACATAACAATGGATAATGTAAATATTTATGTACTGAAATTCCTGAAAAGAACGCAAATAAAAAAGTGAACAATTTAAATAAACATTACCTATTCAATTTACAATTGTCCCTAATTCAAACAAATCTCATGAAAGAATTTCAATATTCATCTCCTCCTTTCAAATTTTGACGTTTTACATCAACAATTTTCTCCTGTCAAATCAGATTTTCATGCATACAGGATAAAATATAACATCAATCGATGTTATGCAGACACACAACTACTTAAGAGAGTTGTTATTTTTACCTCAACCACTAATGGATACCAAACACTATTCGAGAATGCCTCCAATATAATATGAAAGTGGTGTATTGTAATTTTCAGTCCAACGTCTCATTTCTCACTTCCTTTTTCCGTTATTGGCCTTTGTTCCCAATACGGCGCAGCTCTATACCTGGGGTTGCCGTTGTCTGATTTACTTATCAATAACAACCCTGTTAGTTTTGTTCAATGGTCAATTGATTGTGCCTTTGTGTCTGATTCTTTGGTTGGAGTAACATCTCATTAGCACAAGAAGACGAAGAAGCACACAACTCAAATTACTCATTACCATAAACACAATATACTGAAACAACACAAAACGGAACCCCGTGATAGCAGGTGGCATCCAGGTGGACGTGGACGGACTCGACACGTCCGTCCACTACCATGACCACCACATAACTCCAATGTCTCTGTCCTCTATGAAAATCCAATCGTAATGGAGTCATCTCACCTAAATTCTGAAAAGAAAGTTCAACTTCACTAAGCGCAGTTACAACCGTGTTAGGAATCACACGTTAAAAGGTAAGAACTCGTTAGTCCTTAGCTCGCACAAGTTTCTCAACTTCTGAGAGTTGTCGTTAGTACCTATAGGGGCGACAGCTGATTAACGGAAAAACAGATTTTCTTAACAGATTCAAGAGGTGCATTCGGTTTGAAGTAGTCACAGAGTTAACGACGTGAAATATATTTAAATGAACGCTCGATTCTATCTGAATGACCAATTGTCATTTGTGATATAATTTGTCATCACAAAACGTCTAAGATATGATCGATGCATTTTCTTTTCCAAATGCAAACATTTTTTACCACAATTTGAGAATGACTAGCGTTAAATAAACCGTTATTATATCAGTTAGAATGGATCATGAACTTTTTTCGGCTGACAGACAAAAGTGAAAAATTCCAGCAAAAGTTGACAATTACCCAAATGTGACAACTGACAGATACAAAATATAATTTCTAAATAACCGATCACATTTTTATTCGCTCTCGTAAATACCTAACACAGAGCAGATGTAAGAGAGTGATTTCTGATTGCTACCGAGTTGGATTGTTTGTTTTTAACTGTTATTTGTTTAATGTAGTGTAATACAATAAAATACTGGTTATTTCTTCACGTTAGTCGCCATCTTTTATTTCTTATCCCAAAAATACTCAAATGACCGTCAACTGTCAAAAGTACAACCGACCAGTCAAATTACATCAACTAAAGTTGATCAGTTAAATACTAAAAAAACAAAACAATTTTAGCGTTTAATAATTTGTCTAAATCAGACAGTGTCATAAATCAAATAACTGAAATATTCATTAACTTCAAGTAACTATTTAAATGTTCAAATAATTCATGAAAGCATAAATATGGATGATGATATTTTGTATGATGATTCCGGTAATGAGACCAGTGGTGACGATGTTGATTTTGTTATAGAGGCCGATAATGCATCTCACAGTAAAGAGCTGCAGTGTTATGATGAAGAGTATCAGTATGAAGTACTGTCCACTGATGATATAGTACAACACATGGTCGACTGCATCAAAGATGTCAACACAGTGGTTCAAATACCGTCAACTACAACAAGAATATTATTGAACTATTTCCACTGGGATAAAGAGAAGCTTATGGAAAAATTTTTCGATGGAAATCAAGACGAACTTTTCAGAGAAGCCCACGTAATAAATCCATTCAAGAAAGTTAGTGTGGCAAAACCGAAAATATCAAATAAAGTATTAGGTACAGAGGAGTGCGATATATGCTATATGGTTTTTCCTCCCATACAAATGACTGGTTTGGAATGTGGGCACAGGTTTTGTTATCAGTGCTGGAATGAGTACTTGACAACAAAAGTAATGGAGGAAGGTGTAGGCCAAACAATAGCTTGTGCTGCACATAACTGTCCCATATTGGTAGATGATCAGACCGCTATGAGATTATTGAAAGATCCTAGAGTGAAATTGAAATATCAGCACCTCATTACAAACAGTTTTGTTGAATGTAATCGTCTGCTGAGGTGGTGTCCAAGTCCTGATTGCAGTTATGCTATTAAGGTTTGTGCAACTTGATCTGGAAAATTTATATTAAAATCTGTAATATCAATCCAGGTTTGGTTAACACCTGTTTGTTCTCCATCAATAACTCTTCACTAATAATAGAAATAAGTTGAGAAATCTATTACCATTTTCTAAATTAATTCTTGTTTATTATGTAGCTATCTACAACTTCAAGATTTGTAAAATTCTGTTTCCCAAAATTTCCAATTACATACTTTGAACCGCCTGCCTGGTACTGACGATGCCCAATAGGCTGAAACAGCTGTCTACCGGTGGCTCTTAAATTGAAATCAATATGGGAATGATCAAAGAGTATCTGTATTTTTTTACCACCCTTCATTGGAAGTGTAGGTACCATAGTATTCTTTAACTCAAATATATCAGCATTTCTAGAGATCATGATTTCAGAAGAAAAAATTTAAATTCATTCATTTTTCGGTAACAGATAGGTATAGGCAAATATCAAGAAAAGTTGTCGGGTAATTGTTATAGATTCCGAAAATAACATTGCTATATTCTAAACCATAACAGATACGAAGACGATTGAATAGGAAAAAAGGTAAGTGTCATCGGGAACAATACAATGGTCGAAGAAAATTCACGGGGACTCTCGCCCTTCTCGAGTTATACGGGGAAAACCAAAAATGCTGTTTTTCGTATTTTTTGAATGGAATTGTTATTTCGGAGAATATTGAAAAAAATGGAAAAGGAAAATGTTATTGTATTCGAAGTGTACTATGAATATTCAATAAAACGTTTCGCGTTAACATGGCCACCATCAACTTTTTTTAAAAATATGGACCTGTCTTTTTTATTACAGATATTGATAAAGCAATAAATTCACAATCGAAGGGTATATCACATTTGATATATTTATAGCGTTTCATTTGAAACAACTACTGTCATCAGTGACAACAATTTTAAATTACGGTCCTGTCGTTACTTCTTTTGTAAATTGTTTGAATTTCTTCAAAATATAATTCAGACAACCCAATAAATTCAACAGGTAGGTACCCTAACACAATGATAATTCGTAGCATCTCAATTAATTTACCATCTTGAATGTGTAAGCTTTGCTTGGTTTCTATAGCAGGAAAAATGAATGTGTTGTTGATATCTGTTGAGAACTGTCAGACGTTTATGAACATATCAAAGATGTATTCAAATGACGAAAAGACTGATATGCTATTTAGTTATGCAAAATCAAATAGAATTCCTTTTCTGGCAAGGAATATGTATGTTGAGCTATACTCGAATCGTTGTATTCCGAACATCCAAATGTTTAGACGATTAGAAAGAAATTTGAGGAACTATGGTGCATTTGACAGAAAAAAAAAACAAGAAAATGTGTGGTTACTGGAAGTGTGAGGAATCAAATAAATGTTATAGGTAAGCAAATATTACCACATAAAAATTAACATAGTGGAAACATATTTTTCTTAATGTAGGATTGGCCAGTTACAAATATTATGCTAATCAAGGTTGTTTTTCTCGAGAAATTGCCCAAGAAATCGGGATTTCTGTAAAATACACCAAAACTATTTTGAAAAAGAATAAATATGAATGCTACAGGATACGCAAAGTTCATCAACTCAATGAAAAGTATTCACCAACAATGGTTGGTTTAACAGAAATATCCATTATAGGTGTAATAATACAAATAAACATTTACATAGGGAAACCAATTTCCAAGAATGGTTCGAAATAAATGTTTGGTTGGGAATTGTGGGAACAAACATCCATGGCCCTTTCTTTTACAATGGACATTTGAATAGTGATATGTATCTTCATTTTCTATTCAATGAATTCGATGGCTACTTAGATGAATCGCCACTGAATATCCGCCATGAAATACAATATTTTCAACATGACGGCGCTTCTCCCCATAATGCAGCAATAGTAAGGGAACATTTGGATGCGATATTCCCGAGAAAATGGATTGGAAACAATGGACCAATTAACTGGCCAGCTCGATCCCCAGATTTTACTCCTTTAGATTTTTTTTGTCTGGGGATACATGAAGGATAAAGTTCTTTCAATACCAAGTACAGATATCGACCATCTCAAACAAAAAAAAGATTTTACTCCTTTAGATTTTTTTTGTCTGGGGATACATAAAGGATAAAGTTCTTTCAATACCAAGTACAGATATCGACCATCTCAAACAAAAAAAAGAGATGCATGCATTAGTACTACAACTATTATGCCAGAAAATTGTCACAGAAATTGTCTGGACCGACAACTTATGTGCATTCAACAAAGAAATGTAGACTGCCATGTAGCTTTGATTTTCCGTATTAGTTTAATTTTTCCCAAAAGTTCATGATAAAATAAATTGTTTTTCTATTTGATTGTTGTCACTGATGATGGTTGTTATTTCAAATGAAACGCTATAAAAATATCAAATGTGATATACTCTTGGATTGTGAATGTATCAATAACATTTTCCTTTTTTATTTTTTAATATTCCCCGAAATAACAATTCTATTCGAAAAAAATGAAAAACAGTCTTTATGGGTTTTCTCGTTTAACTCGAGAAGGGCGAGAGTCCCCGTAAATTTTCCCGATGACAGTTACCTTTTTTTCCCTTTCAAACGTCTCCGTATCTGGTTCTGTTTAGAATATAGCAATGTTAAACGGCCTGTATACAGGATGTTCCATTTGAAAAATCAAAATTGCTACTACTTTCTATTGGAAGTGGCAAAAATGCATTGTCGAAAATATTTTAGTTCGGGTAGATAATGTCCATTGAATTTTCAAAATGATCCGGTGTCTGGTTCACCAGAAACATCTAATGTGCCATCCACCGTGAATCAGCTTATATAGGAGGTACTTTTACAATTTTCATTTAATGGGTATAATGCCTGTTCCAAATGATTTGTATATGCTTATTCTATTTCAGGTTACTTATGTGGAAGCAAAACCAGTAGCTTGTCGTTGTGGACATGTGTTTTGCTTTGCATGTGGTGAAAACTGGCATGATCCTGTCAAATGCCCTCTTCTGAAGAGATGGCAAAAAAAATGTGATGATGATTCAGAAACCTCAAACTGGATAGCAGCAAATACAAAAGAATGCCCAAAATGCAATGCTACAATAGAAAAAGATGGTGGCTGTAATCACATGGTTTGTAAAAACCAGAATTGCAAGGCAGATTTTTGCTGGGTCTGTCTGGGTCCCTGGGAACCTCATGGCAGTTCTTGGTACAATTGTAATAGATATGATGAAGATGAAGCTAAAGCAGCTAGAGATGCTCAAGAAAAATCAAGATCTGCTCTTCAGCGATATCTGTTTTACTGCAATCGCTATATGAACCATATGCAATCCCTCAAATTTGAACACAAGCTGTATGCATCTGTGAAAGATAAAATGGAGGAGATGCAGCAACATAATATGAGCTGGATTGAAGTGCAGTTTCTGAAAAAGGCTGTGGACATCCTATGCCAGTGTCGGCAAACGTTAATGTACACATATGTTTTTGCATATTATTTAAAGAAGAATAATCAGTCTGTGATATTTGAAGATAACCAAAAGGATCTTGAACGAGCTACTGAGCTGTTGAGTGAGTATTTGGAGAGGGATATAACTCAAGAAAATCTAATAGATATAAAACAAAAGGTGCAGGATAAGTACCGTTACTGTGATGGTAGAAGGATGGCTTTGCTGGATCATGTTCATGAAGGATATGAAAAAGAGTGGTGGGTTTACAGTGAGTGAATTCTTCAAAAAATTAATTTTTTCTCACTTGTAATGATACTAATTATGATTTTTTTAAAATTTGTCAAAGCATTATTCATTAAATTATTATATTTGTTATGTTACTTATTTATGTTCGACAGTTTAGGAGCTTTACAGGATTTAATTGACTCAACAAGAGTAGGAATTGATGTAAAAAAAACTTTCGATGTGAAACTAGAGATTACCATTCATAACATTGTTTATCCATAGTCATAATTCCTTATTTATATATGAAATATGGTTTTAAAAATTTGTATTTCTGCACGAAAGAGTGGCAACATAATTTTGCTGGAACCGAGGAGTTTCAGAGTATATAATTTCATGAATTAGAAAATCTACCAGCACTAACACCATCTTCTCTTAAACCAATTTCATATATTGAATATAATTTTTGAATACATTTAGCAGAGTTTTCATTTTTTGTGACTTTTATAAATATTTTGAATGTTTATTCACCATTCATAATGAGTTAAATTTTTGAAAACTTTTAATATAGTTTCCAGTTTTTTTTTGTAAAGTCCATAAATATTTTGAATCCCAATTAACTGTTTATCAAATTTTCAGTTTTTATGTTTTTTAAGGGGGTCTGGGGTCTGAAGTTTCTCGTATATGAAAGTATCACTTTGCCTAACGCCTAATCTCTTGTCAGAGAAACATTAGGCCCACACCACAGTCAATGAGTTGAAGAAAAAAATTGGTTTCTGTGTGAACATGTTTTGTTAATAAAAACTTTCAACTTTTATCAATTTTTATTTACTATATATGTGTATATATTAAACCTTTCAGTAGAATACAGTTGAAAGCAACAAAGTAACATGTTGTCTAACTAGAAAACTGTACACACCTCAGTAACTTTTGATGCTTTATGAAGCTCAGATCAGACCTTCTTTAGAGTATTGTTCCCATGTACGGTGCTCCGCCCCCAAACATACCCTGAAACTGCTGGATTCCATCCAGAAAAGAGCCATCCTCCTGATTGGAAAGGCGAACATCATTTGGGACATGAAAGAAAGGTTGGTGATTTGTCTCTCTTCTATAGATACTTTCAAGAGAAGTGTTCAAGTGACTTGGCACATTTGATTCCACCAAGAGCGGTACATATCAGAAATACGCGAAGGACTGTGGCTGCTCATCGTTTTGAGGTTAAACTCGGTACACCTCGAACTTCACTGTTTTAGAACTCTTTCATTTGGAGACCTGCGTTTATGTGGAATAAACTTCCTGAGAATGTTTTTCCAAATGGATTCAATCTCCAGCGATTCAATCCAATGTGAATCGCTACTCTCGGACAGGCACAGTTCTTAGACCGCCTTAAGGATTTTCCTGTAGTGCTTGTGTTCTGTCCTCTCACTCACTAAAATGGGAAAATATTCATAAGATTCCTATGCCACATCAACTGCAATAGTGATGGTATCTGGTGATTATTTCGAAATGTCTGGATGGCTGTATGAAATCATGTAGGTTAATCTTTCGTGATATTTCTTGAACTTTCTCAGCTGTAACTACTCCCATTTGTATTGACATTTCAATTATAAACACGCGGAACAGTGAATGTAGTACTAGTTGGCAGGGCCGTAGCGAAAAGAAAAACCGGGGGGGGGAGGGAATCCAAATTTTCCCAACCCCACCAGCAAAATTTTGCAACATTCGAAGAAATGAAAGCCGAAAGATTAGTTATTACTAGAATATATTAATTTTCTTACTTAGCTATCCAAAGATTGGTTGAATGCTTATGCCTGTTAGGGTATGCACAAACAAAAATAAATTTTGATGATTATAATAATAATAATAATGAAAGGAAATAACACTTAAATAATATTATGCTTATTGTTTTCTACTATTATTTTTTCTAGCTTCACGACCATTTCCCAACTTTTCCAAGTCGAAAAAACACCGAAAAGTTGGGAATTTTGTAAAATTGTCACTTCAAAATTTGTGGACTGTTCAGGACTATTTTCTTACTTGGGAGAAATTAAACTTTTTTGAAGATTTCAAACGACTCAGAATTCTCTTCAAGTTATGCATATTGGGAAATCCCAACCTTCTCCTGGTTCTTTCCATTTTTTTATTACCTCTCCTTTTCTTTTCTCTCATTTTTATTTTTTTAATTTTTATTCATTTTTTTGTATCTTCATGGCTCAAAATTTACCAACTTTTTCCCAAGTCTAAAAAGTGGGGGGGTTCCCTCCCATCCTCCCCATGGCGACGGCCCTGCTAGTTGGTTTAAGCTGATTTATAATCCACCCCCACCACTTTTAACCTTGAAACTACCTTGACTTACGTCGCACGACGTAGCCAAGATGACTGGGGGAGTGTTTTGAGTTTGACCTTGAACTAAGCCGCACAACATAGAAACATTGACTTTTAGGGAATATTTTGAGTTTGACCTCGACTACGTCACACGACGCAGAAAAACTAACTTTGGGGTAGTGTTTTAGGTTTTACCTTAAACTACCTTGATCGATTCACGCTTCTTTTTTTTCGACAAGGTGAATTTGATTTGTTCTCGAAGGATTCGACCTTGAACGACCGTCAACTTCGTGGCCGAGGTGGCTTCTAAACTTTTTGCTTCGACTTTTAACGACATTCAGCAAAATCACAATGTGATGTGAACAAGGTGACTTTTGGGGAAGTGTTTTGGGTTTAACCTTGATTCACACTCCTTGTCACGCGGTTATCTTGACGTTTCAAGGATTCAACCTTGAACGACATCCAACTGAGTAGACGCGGTGGCTTCTAAACTTTTTGCTTTGACTTTGAACGTCCTTTCAGCAACACCACTTTGTCACTTTGAACGCTGGATATGTTGTTGATTGACCATGGACGTCCAACCTCAATTGTTGGGAAATCTGGAATTGGATTCATTCTTAGACCACAGGGGGATTATGACATTCAGAATAAGCAGCTGCAGAATGTCTTTGAACCCATTCACGATGTGATAGCGTACATTGAATCAAGAATAACCGAACTGCAATTCACCATCAGTAGGAATACACACGCCATCATCACTTCAGTTGAGCAAACTGATAAGCGAGTTGTTAACATCAAAGCTCCACCTGAACACTGGGGGGCTGGACAATTGACCTCTACCGCTTCGTTGGAACCGACTTCCGTCATGAATAAATAATATGAGTACCGCAAAGATGTAGCTTGTGGGTGAGCTATATAAGTCGGCTCGTCGAAAATTCCCCCGACGAAAACCGATAGGGAGTTTTTCGGATTTGTGGCAGACTGATGGAAATGTAACCTTACGCTAAAGAAAATAAAGGTCGTAAGTACATACTCATAGTGATCAAGTGTTATCTGAAGTATGTATGGCCAAGTCGATTAAAAAATAAAACTGCGGATTCGGTTACTGCAGCTATGGCGAATGTGCTCAAAGATGCCAAATATGCTTCAAGAAACCTTCAATTTGATCGTGGCACTAATTCTATAATTCTCATCGCTAATGAATAAGCACCAGAAGGCTGAAATTGCAGGACGAGTTATCAGAACGTTGAAGAGTGAGTTTATAGAGAAGTTTTATTTCTAAGTCATTACAAGTGCTTGAATATTCTTTCTACAATTACCAATTATATAACGAATTCAACTTATCATCGATATGAAGTCTGCAGAGGTAAAACCATCCATAAAATATGGTGCCAATCAGTAAGTATAAAAAGGTATTCTAGTGTATGTACATGATTACCATGGATTTCTCGATCTACTCATCACGATTTAGACACCAAGAATCGCAAAAGTGGATAATCCTATAGGGGTGGATATTACCAAAATTTTCACACAACTCCCAACTACTTCTACATGTACTACATAAAATATTCCAACAATCTGTTATATATTTGTTACAGTGTAAACAACGTAAACATTTTGTGCATATTACTACACACAATCTCTTTGAAACATTTGTAGCATTGGTGGTGTTCTACTCCAGGAGTTGAACTTGCATGTGTCCTCTTCGGAAGTGGGGTTGGATTTCTCGACACACATCTATGCCATATGCCAGTACATAGACTATGTGATTCAGGCTAAGAACCGTAACAATTGTAACACACTACATCTTGCCAATATGTCTCTTTTGGAAGAGACATATTGGCATTTACTGTTAATAAAAGAAAAATTGAATTCGAGGGAGCTCTCATATGCTTCTCTCTTAATTATAATCGGATAGAATGATGCGTGGAAGTAATGTGGGATGGTACCACCACCACAACCGAATCAAATAAAAGCCGACTTGCGATCCTGAACCTCATTCAGTATATAAGAGTACATTGAGATGAATTTCGAAAAATCGCCGCTGTATTAGCTATGATATCACTTGGTGACGAAAATAATTGGACAGATGACGAATCAGAGAATGAGGTAAAGGAGCTCCCAACATCCCATAAGAAGGGAAAATTGTGGTGGAGGAGGTTGGGCACGAGGAGCTCGTCGAAGGAGATATCATCGAAAATGATGAGTGTAACCTGAGTGATGAAGGTATTGTGAGTGATTCATCTAAAGATGATGGTACCTTAATGATCGGCCTCTGATGGCTCAACGTCACCGACACATTGGAAGATCGGCTTTATCCGTATTGTGTGACAGATGTGCAGGTACGGATCAGAACGAACGATGGCGGTGTCAAAAAATGTGTTGGTGTTGCTTTCGGTTTTTTTTCAATACGAAACAATAATGGTGGATGGTATCAGCATATAAACACACATGATACAGTCTTTATATTGCAAATGCGACAAAATTGATGTGAGGCATGCGAAAGACCGCTGACAAATTTCACACAAGTCTCAATAGTGTCAAACCTGTAACACACTAACCGAGGGACTTCTAGTAAAAATAAACACATTCTCAGGGCAGTAGTAGTACTGATTACGTGGGGCATGCGGAAAATCTTTTCCGGGCTACATAAACTTCCAAAAACATTTGCTTTTGATATGTAATTATTATTGGCTGATCCATAATGTATTCGAGAAACACTCTGTGAGATTTTCACCAAACAGTTTGACAAAAACGCAACACATGTTTCGCTATACAATAACTTCTTCAGGTGTGTCTATACGCTAGTATAGTCTATACTTGCGTATAGAGATTTCATGCCGGCGGAAAATTGAAACCACGGGCCCTTCGCCTCCTTAAAAAATGTTTACCCGCAGATTGATTAGCGACATTAGATACATTTCCGTTTGTTTATATCGCGGATCTGATGCGCGGCTACTACCCACGGCTTAAACGCTTGTATATAATGAATAGGTCGCTTCATTTCCATAAAAAGAAATTTTGAGCCGCGGAATAATTCCACGAACTCAGATTAACTGGGAATCAAATCCGCGGAGATTTACATCGCGGATTCACTCGCGGCATCGGATGCGCAAGGGTTATACTGCGGCTTCGCCGCATTTTCGGTAGAGCCGCGGATTAACTCACGGCACCAGGCCGGCGTTTTTTTTACCGCGGATTAGATCCGCGACTTGGCCGCTTGTATAGTGTATTGGAATTGTTACATTAATTCATAGAAACTGTTGAGTATGAAATAGTCAATAACAAATACATCACTGTTGCAGTTCTAGACCACAATGCATTGACTGAGTTATCCTAAGCATCAGGAGTGACCCGTACACACATTTTCAGAATTCTTCATTGACTTCAATCCCTCATTTATAAAATTGGATTTTTCGAATCTCGATAAGGCACGCCAAATTCACACACAATATCCCCAGAAACTAAATGTTTGGGCAGAAATTTGGGGAAACCATATTATAGGACCATTTATTTCAAAAGTGAACCTAAATAGCTAAGGACATTTCAATGTCAAATAATCAAGTTATGTCAAGCATTAACAACACCATCCAGTTGGATCCTAGTTTGCGAAATACGGTAGTTTTTCCAGCAAGATGAGGCTCCTCCTCATTGCGACAGTTCCTCGATAACAACGTTTCGGATCGATGGATTGGATAGAGAGTTTTCAATCTGGTATTTGTAATACAAATCATTTCAATTGATAACATCATAAATACATGAAATTTGAGGCAACAATTCAGATATCCTAAACCCTCCCTTTAAAAAAATATGTTCCTACATATTTTGACATATCGATTATGAATCGAAAAAAAATCGGTGCTCTCCCTTATTTTCAGAGTTACTGCCTTCCAAAGTTCCAAAACTATAAAATCACAAATATTTATCCACCACATAGCCTTCATATCTTATTTCACCTTCTTTTGACACTAGGTTTAATAATCTTCCTATAAAAAACTTGATTTAACAATGGATCCTTTTCTGGTGATATTTACATTGTAAGGTTATATACTAGTGATATTGAAAAAACAGTTTTGTCAATAATAAAGTTTTTTATAAAAAATGTTGATTTTAAACTAAAAATTGTCCAAGAAGGTGAAATAAGACCTGTTTTTCCGTTAACCAGCTGTCGCACCACTACGAACAACAATCCTCAGAAGTCGAAACTTGTGCGAGCTAAGGACTAACGAGGTCTTACCTATTAATGTGTGATGTGATTAAATACTTGTGATTCTATTGTTTGTATTGTGCAAAAAGAAAGCCAAACAGTGGCAATTTGAATTTTGGAGGGGTGTATAACTCTCGGATTCGTAATCTACACGTTAAAATACGTGAGTACACACAAACATTTTTTCAAAACCTGTGGTGCAGCTAATATGAAATTTTACCAAAATTGATTTTGCCACAGATCTCTCGAAATTTACACGGCAGTAGAATTTATTTGACAATTTGAAACAAAAAAAAACTGGGACCGATAACAATATAAATATGTTCTTTCTCTTATAATCATTGACATACTACTATTTTCATATTTCACCTGATTTACTCCTATGCATCATTAGAAAATATGCTTGACTTTTGAAACATATGCCTGATTATAATTTTGGCTCATTATTTTTCATCTATTGTTTATTTTTTTTGTTATTATTTTCAAAATTTGAATTGAATCCATCAAAAAAAATTAAGATTAGATGGAAAAGGGAAAAAAGTGTAAGCAAGAAAATCAGATATATATTGAACATTTAAAAAAGTAATGAAATCCATTTATTTGTGCAACAAGTACATACCATTTCAAAAGCTGGCAATAAAATAATATCAACATAACTAACACATTTGTGACTAGCAAACAAAATGGAGATATAAACATTTTTTAAACTATTTCCCAGTCACTTAGGGAATTATCAGACAAGACACTGATTGTTCTTTCTCTCACTTGAATGTCGGACAATCTCCACTCGTTTGGAATACTCATACATTCTGAAAGAATCAATATTAATGTAATGCCTTCATTAAAGACCAGCATCGGAGGAAGCAAATTCAAATGAAAATGGTTATTACGATGAAAATCGAATTAAATTCAATTTAGATGTATAGCTTCTTCAACTCTGACATACCTGGCGTATCATTAGATGTCTTTGGCTCTGTATGAGATTTTACAACAAATTCAGCCCCTTTTACAGTTTGGTCATCCTTTGTGCTTCTATTTTCTGGGGTTTTATCACCTTGATTTTTGTTTTTGACATCATCATTAGGTTTTTTGTAAGTTAGATCTTCCTTTAATTTTGTGAAAGATACATTACTGGAATGCTCAATTGTTGCCCCACATTTTTTCTTTGTTTCTAGAAGTATTTCCTCCTTTGGTTTTTTGTCAACACTTAACGAACTTGTTTCATTTTGGAATTCTTGATTAGAGACATTCTCACTAATACTTTTCTTTTCAAAATTACTTTCATTATTCTTTTTAGTTTTATCACAATCTAGTTTATCTTTGTTAATATCACTTTTACCGATGATCACCCTATCTAGATTCAAAACGTCAGCTAAAATTTTCTCTTTATATTCAATGTCATACTTAATTGACTCCGGACTCCTCATATCAGGTAAAGCTCCTACTGCACTTAAATTCATTATGGTAGGTCTTGTGAAACTTGTAGCTTTCTCCTCAGAACTATTTGAACTCAAACTACTGCTGCTAAAAGTCATATTAGATCGTTTCTTTCGTTTCTTACTTTTTTTGAATAGGATTTCTTCTTCGAATTCTTGCTTTCCGATTTCATCAAACCTTTTCTTAGTGTCTGGATCATTGCTTTGAAGTTTTACTGGAGATTCTCTAGCCTCTTCTGCATTCACCACCATTACTTCATCCATATGAATATTAACGTCACTGCAAAAGCTAGGTTCCATAACTGGAGGTATGGCAGAGATAATACTGGTAGATTGTAATTTTGTTGTCAGCTCTTTTATAGAAGAACTTAGAGGAAGGTATGATTTGTTTTCAAAGGATATAAAGTTCTCTGAAAAAAAAAAATACAATATTCTCTGCTATTAAATTGTTTTTCAATATTTTCAACAAAAATTAGTTGGTAGTTAGCATTTTGCCTTTTATTGCCTCACAGGTTTATATCTCAACTTTAACGTTTTTCTTTGCCGATTATCGTTAAATTATTTCACATTTATCTCAAATGACATTCTGTAATTATGAAGTAAGTATACTGAAAATAACGAGAACATTTTTAAATTTCTCCAATATTGAGAGTCCGTTTGTTTTTTTTTCATCATGTTATACATGTCCCGGAAGTACGATAAAATTTACAGCTGTATTTTGTATTCATTGTTTACTGTCTGTGGTAGCAGCTATGTTAGATGTGTCTTAAGAGCTCGGCGATTTTCGTTAGAAAAAATGGATTAAAGAAGAATTTTGCGTAAAAAAAAATGAAGTATAGCAAAGTTATGAAATGTTGACAAAGGCTTATGGCGAATCTGCTATGAATAAAACAAGAGTTTACGGGTGATATAAGCGTTTACGAGTGATATAAGCGTTTCCAAGATGGCCGTTAAGACGTTGAAGATGACGAAAGCCCCGGACGATCAACAACCGATAAAAACGTGGAAACACAATCAGAGATGTCGCTGATTATGTTGGCGTATTGATTGTCCCATGCCATGATTTTTTTCGAATGTTTTGGGTATGAAATGCGTGGCAGCAAAATGAGGTTAACGACGATGCATATTTACTGAAACAGGTGACTAAACATGGGTTTTTGGTTATGATGTCAAAACTAAGGTTCAATCGTCCAAGTGGTTTTTCTGCCAAAATCAAAAATGCCTCGACGAGTACTGTCAAATGTGAAGGTTATGCTCACTGTGTTCTTGGATTTCATTGGCATAGCGCATTATGAATTTTTGCCAGGAGATTAAACGACGAGTACTATCTACAAGTTCAACGCCGTTTGCGTAAAGTAATCCTAGATTTGTGAAAAAACAGTTCATGGCTTTTGCACCACGATAATTCACCTGCTCACACTTCATTACGTGTTCATGAAATTTTAGGCAAAAAACACTGAATTTCATAAGTTGAGAAAGAAACTTCATATATATTAAGTGGGCATACTTGAAGACTGGCTGGATGGATAGTTACCCTCTCCCCAGAATAGATGACACCTTGAACATCTTGGCAGGCGCCCCGAGAATAATGAGAAGACTGCCTTTTCCACCGGCAATGGATTATGTAATGTACCCACAACATTTGAACGCTCGATAAAGTTGGTTCTGAGAGGACTTACCTGGAAAACTACCTGGTTCCTGAGGACAGTCTAGTGACCTTAAAAAAATGTACCGAACATCTGTCAAACTTGAGGAGTGTTTTCATGAAGCTGCGGAATTGTCATTTGTAGATCAATTCCAAGAAGTGTTGCCTCTTCAGGAAAAGGTGAATTTCTTAGAAAACATTGTGCCTTCAAAAGGATTTGGGACAGATCCAGAAAATCAAAGCAGTGCAAGAATGGCCAATACCGAAGAGCAAGCAGGACGTAAGAAGTTTCCTTGGACTCTGTAGCTATAACCGGCGTTTTGTGAAAAACTTTTGAAAAATTTCCAGACTGCTGCATAGCTTCATTGTGAGGAGAACCCCCTTCGTTTGGTCACCAGACTGCCAACAAGTATATTTACTGCCTTGTAGAGATATTTAACCAGTGCCCCAGTCCTTGCTTGTTTATACTCGATACAAATGCATCCCAATATGGAATAAGGGCAGGACTCTCAGGTATAAGAAGGAGAAATCGTCATAAGCTATTTCAGTCAGCATTGCGTCACTAGGAAGAGCTCATTACATTGATTAAAGCGGTGGAATCATTATCACTCCTTAGTATATGGCCGTAAGTTCTTGATCAGGTCAGACCACTCAACACTTCGGTGGCTCCTCAACTTCAAAAGCCCAGAAGAACAAATAGCCAGGTCACTAGAAAGGTTACAAACTTACGATTTTGAAATTTGACACCGTAAAAGCAGATAGCCTCAAGAAGACCGTGCATGACATCCGGATGCAAATTTTGTCAACGCCAGGAGGACAAGGATACCCAGTTACCAGGAGAAGAACTTTCTACTCCCCTACCTCCCGCTGCTTCGGGTTTCCTCTGAAGCAGAGGGTAGCAACTTGAAAGGATCCTTGTCTAGGGACAGAAGATGTAAGGAATAACCGGACCGTGGTATGGTATGGTCATTAACAGCTTCCGAGGCTGATCCCACCTTCATGACGAGGCAAGATATCACCATAGCGCAAAAGGAAAATCGTACAAGAATTGATTGATAAAGGAGTGAGGCCGGAAAGGCAAGAGATTTTCAAGCACGGCCAGCAGAAACCTGCTTCAGATCCGGAAACATCATCCGTAGTAACCTCACGAAAACCTGGTGACCAAACGAGGACTGCGATTCCAAAAATTGCATTTACAGAATACCCTGTAGGTGCGACAAATCCTATAACGGTGAAACTAAGGAACCATTGAAAATTCGCATTACCGAGCACAGGAAGAAAACAGCGAGGAGAAACCAGCAAATCGGAAATAGCAGAGCAACATAACATCAAGTGGTCCCATGCTGAGACCATCCACAAGGAGGAACACTGGTTCAAGAGGAAGTTCGAAAAAGCTGCATATATTTTGTCCAACGATGTATGCAGCCAAGCTAGCGTAGAGATACGCAATATATGGAAACATATGATCAAGCGGATAACGGTCAACTCCCGCTAGAACGGTGAAAACAAAGAGAAAAGAGGGGATAGAAGAAAGCGCTCGAATGACCTGTAAATAGGCATCTGCCAGAGGAGTAGTCCAGTCATCACTCGAAGACTATTGTGGATACCAACATTGAAACGTCGTGAAGTAACTTGATTTGGAATCTTCTTATAATTTATTTTTTGCTTATTTTTATTATTTTTAAATTGTCAGTTCTTTTTTACTCTGTGGTCATTTTCATTTTGTATCTTGATTATTTTATTCGTTTTATTGTATTTTCATTTCATGTGTTCATTTTATTTGTTCTTTCATAAATTTTGAATCATATCAGAATCATATTAGACAATAAAAACCCGAATTAATAAAATTCACCATGAAACATTGTCAACCACATTCAAACAAATCTAACATTGTGTTTAGTTACAATAAGATTAAGGCTTAGTGTAGGTATCAGACATTAAATTTGAAACTCACCATTGAAAGACTCAGGTCTATAGGAAATCCTTATCAAACTGTGATCTTCTTCCAGAATGAATATTTCATCTTTATGGGTAGCTACAGTTAAAACGCTAAAAATATAGTTTATGAAATCATAAATTATTGCTAATTCATGGAATTTAACCTCCTAAGTTGAGATATTGTAGATAAAATCGTCATTTCTTGGGGATCTAGTATGTACACAACATCGTTATTATAAGTTAAAAGCAACCTCTCATTGAAAGGTAATAAAATTCCAAAAGCGGCATCCCTTTGTGGCTTTAGAGAACGTAAATTTTTTGAGAGAGGATTTAATAATGGCACTTCAGGGCATTCTTTTGTAAGAAGTTCCTGTAAATCAATTGTACTGCAAATTAATGGGTGGACAAAAAAATCGTACTTACTTTGAAAAGTAAAGTTTTCTCAACATTTCCTTCAATATCAGATATCCACATTCTCAGTCCTGGTCTTGTACAATAAAGAAATGTATCTAATGGTTTGCAGCTGTCTTGAAAAATTATACCACCAAAACTACCAAGCCTGAAAGACAAACAATAATTTCAATGTATTTAGTTGTTCAATAATTTTAATCTTCATCGCAATTATCAATTTTCAAAGTATTCTGAACTTAAAATGTATAAATATCAAAATGATTATTTGAATCTGATGAGTTCAACTTTGAAATGCGCCTGTTTCAAAGCATGATTCTGACGAACAAATGTACAAAATCATTCTGTTTTTTTTTTTCTGAAAGAACAGAATGACTATGGAATATTTTTTCAAATCTTAGTTTTCTGATAATTTACATACACTTTTCTGTCCTTTTTTCCCACTTGACAAACCTTCCATTTTTCAATTTTTTTGCAAATTATGCTTCGATAAGTTGTGGAAACCAGAAGTTGTTGTTTCTTGTAGCTTAGCTGAACAACTTCGTAACTTTCATTCAAAATTTCGATAGATTTGCAGATATGCTGAAAAAATGCCAAGCATGAAGAACAGTCAGTATAGATGACAGCTTCTTACCATGTAAAAATCTATTTCTGTTGAAACTATACACCCATTTTTATCCCCAGAAAAAAGGTTCATACCATTTTTTGACCACTCTATGGCACTAATAGGGGCTTTGTGAAGTTCCATCACAGTATACCTTTCAACTTGTTTGTTTTTAGGTCTCAGACTTTCTGGTATAGATTCAGAATGAGATTTAGGAATTTGGAATATACTGATATTTCCTGACTTGTTGCCACAAGCCACCATATAATCTACTGTTGATAATATTTTCAAGGCAGTTATTGGAATGTTGTGCTATAAAATTAAATGAAACTGATTCTCATGGACTACAATATTTATCTCTTCAGATTTGATCTGCTAGAAAAACAGATTGAAAATACATTAGTCTCTCTTCAATATACTTATCGACCATTTAAAAAAGATGAAATCAGTTTCAATCTGCTTTTCAAAGCGATGGAACTTTTCATATGTAACAATAGTCTATTACTAACGGATTGGACAAAAGGAAAGCACAATCACTGAACATGAGGAACTTCACTCAACATTGATTGACTATGATAGTCACTAATGGAAAGCACCTTCATTATATGAAAGAATATACCTAAAGACTTCTTTCTATAGACGCCTATCCATTTGTAGCAAATGACCGGTAACACTGAATACGTTACCTCCAGTGCAGACAGAGCACAGCTGTATGTTATCCATAACAACTTTGACAAAAGTAATGGTTACAAGCCAAACCACATTTGTCAATGTTTTGTCATTGCATCATAGGATATATTTGCTTGTTGAGTGTAGCTTTGTATTGTAACCTGGTTGGGTTATGTTACGGAATAATTGATATGGCCAAAACTTCTGGAGATTACCATTTCTCCCAGCAATGAGCCAAACATACTCTGTGTTATGTTACAGAACATAGGCTCAAATGGATATGCAAGCAAGTTGTTTACATTTTTGAATTTATATAAGACATTTATGTGCTCAAAATCTGAAGATGAAAATATTGGTCAGTGTTTTAGTAGTCGAAATGAAAAATACTTTTTGGAATAAAAAGTAACATACTTCACACCGCAGCCTCTGTAAATCCTTTTTTCTCCTATCATACCAGTAAACAATTCCTACATTTGTGCCTAGTGCTATGTATTCTGGCAAAATATCCACACATGAAAGTTTGACTTCTTGAAAAAATATACCATTCTGGATTTTTAATGGCAATTTGTTGAGTAATTCTGTAAGAGGAGCCCATTCTCTCAGAATAGGAACTGGTTCATTTTGGGATATTGCCATTGTCTTTAACTTCTTCCTGTTGAAAATAAAAAATGAACTGACATATTCTTAAAATGTTGATATATCTTTCAGGACAGTATCAACACACAGGTGATTGGATAAAACAACCCCATTTGTTACATATTTTCATTATATTGAATATTGGAATTAAAACACTAATGAACAAACATTTTTTTGAGTAGTCAAGTAGTTTCTTTTTCAATTTTTTTAACTCTATGGTTTTTGCGAATCCCTCATTTACTAAAACGTTAATAACCGGCAACACTACATCACAGAAGAGAAGAAGACGAGTGCTTAAATGAATTCATCAATGAGTCCACCATTGCATTCAAAATATTTACGTATTGGTACTTTGGTACATCAGAAACCTCAGAGTAAACTTACATTGAAGGCAGCATAACTTTGTTTGTTTACGGAAAGTACGTTGGACCATAAAACAGTGGCGGTTGGTTTAGTTGATAACCGGAGGGATATTATATATTTATAAAATACATCATTTCAGGTGAAAATGTATTCTGTTCAAATAGTTCCTACAGGAAATCTGATTTATTATTAATGATTATGGAAATGGGGCCAGTTTTTCTACCACCTAGTGGACTCTTATTTATGTATGACTTTATAATGAAGCGCGTGGTTTACTGTAGGTTAAAATTAAATTATTTCAAATGAAACTAATTCATAACAATGATAAATGTTGATTTTAAAACTAATGAACTTTGCTTCATATAATCAGATGAAGAAATTTGTGATTCATTCTCAGATTTGGTAAACAAGCGGTACGGTTTGTGAGGTCCGATATAAAGAATTTTCGATTAGAAATCATGAATATTTATAATTACGATTGAAGTTTGATATTATTATGTGATTTCATTCAAAATTGGTATCTAGGGTTCTTTGTGGACCGCCATTATGAAAGGGGATATTTTTGATGTTTGTAATGATTGTTTTTTTGATATTATTCTTATGAATGAAGTTTTTATTTCATTATTTGACATATCCCAACCAAAAAGAGGTTGAAAAAATGACAACCGTCATTTCTTATTGAATATTGTCTGTATGCAACTCGAAAGCCTCGTGCAAAGAAAGAAAAACCAAAACGGAGATCATATTCTTTGTGTGATATGATTGGTATAGGCACCGTACAGGCATGGCAACTCTATGTCTTATTATCACTCTGAGACAGAAACGTTAGGCGTTTTCTGGTGCTCATGTACTCAAAACGTATTCGTCTGTGATTCATATACATTCTCTCAGTGCGTTCCACTAAGCACTCACAACGACCACGGTTCTTGCCGTTCCACTTGGTTCTGGGCGTCATTAACTCAAGTGGAATGGATTTTAGAGCGTTTTGAGCGTTCATTTAAATAATACACATGGCGCGTTTAAAAAAACAAAACAAAAAGTTGATGAGGTTATGTTACAATCTGTAAGTGGTATCAATAAGTTCTATTAATTGTTGGTTAACATGATTTATTAAACAAAAGTTATGTATATACTTTAATTTTAGAGTACTTAACTAATTTATGTTAGTATATAATAAAAATGCCTTTTACGGCGGCAGTTGGAAATTTGTTGGTGCGTCGAAATAATGCTCCACAAAGTACTAGTTCGTCCAGCTCAGATGAAGAATGGAATACAATTTTACAAAAATATAATCGTGAAAAACGAAAACTTAGACCACGTATTATTGATTACGATAATGTAATTACTCGATATTCAGATGAAGAATTTAAAAGTCATTTCAGGTAAATTATTTTTTATCACTTAATACACTATAGATTTTGAAAATTTTACTCATGGAATTCTTTATTGATCTCTTTAGACTTTCAAGATGTACATTAAATTATTTACATGAGCTGATACAAGAAGATTTAGTCCGACGTGTTCCCGGATGCCCTACAATTCCTTCCCGTCATCAATTGATGATAGGTCTTTGGAAAATGGCCACAACAGATTCTTATAGGTTAATTTTTTTTAAATTAACCATTTTAGTATTATAAACCATAATTCGCACAAGTATAAAATTAAACCCTTTTTTTATTAAACGCACGTTCAGCATCTGCAGGAGAAAGTTTGAGATCCACAACAGTATTTCGTTCGGCACAATAGAACGATATTGTTGTTGTCGCCATGTTTGCTGCTTTTAGTTTTAAAAATTGTGCTCATTTTCTCAAAACGCTCACATCGACCCACCTCTTGAGATGGGTCGTCGTGAGGTAGGCGTGAGCATAAGTAATGACGTCTTCACCGCGACCACAACGATCGCGGTCGCCATGTGGAACGCCTGAATGAGTATTTTAGGCGTTGTGAACGCTTAGTGGAACGCACAGTCTTTCTGGCGTTGAAACGATAACGTCACATCAACTATGATTTGAAACGTATTCATGATAATTCTAGCGTGAGATTGGTTTTGAAACGAAATTTGACGTTACGTTACGTCAGTTGTCAGTTTCTGTTTTATTTTGATCGTTATAGTTTATAAAGTGCTGAAAACTTTTTATAAAATACGTTGTGAGGATGTACAATATACAGCTGTGAAATTATTGTATGCACAAACCCAATTCTAATTGAGGTTGGAGAAAATCGAAAAGTTTGTTTTTATTATTGAATTTGACATCTGACACAAATTGAATCATTTCATTTTGCCGAATCTTATAATTAATGACCTCACTACGGATCGTTTTTGAATACACTCTCGAATACGATTAAACGCCAGAAAACTCCTGTTATTGCGCTTTTATTGATTGAAACAATGCATTCAAAAAATTTCTGTTGAAATCAATGACGTAATAATAAATATAGACGGGCCATTGAAGAGAGAACTTTAATTCCAACACCTAAAAAAAAGATAAAAAGATTCAAATCTTGGAATTTATGTCTCTCGTATACATCGTTACGATATTTTCATGTTGTATATTTCCATGTGAAAATTTTGGGATTCGATTTGTCATATGATGTTGTGACGCAGTGGCCAGGACGTCTGATCTGCAGGTGGAATATATTTAAAAGTGGCTTCATGCCCAGTCCACATTATCATATCTGTGGTTGAAGTAAGGAACTTTCCTAAAAGTAAACAATCAGGGTACTCACCTCAGAGTAATAAGACTCTGAAGTAGTCACACTTGGGTTGACGCCATCGTGTTCACCAAACAGAGTGAACTTGAAATGAAGTAAAGGAAAGTTCCACACTTTTTGATCAGGTAAACTAATATAAAATTTAGTGAAAAAATTACAATATTCGAAATGTATAGTCTATTGAAAGAGTTCTTAAATTCACTGATGAGTCCACCGTTCGACGGATTTAACTATTTGTCCATCATTGACATTGAATAGTAAATGGAACGCTAATTTGTATGAATATTTTTAGGCCTAATTGAACTTCGTGCATACTATTCATGGGCGTGCATAGTAAACATTCATCTGAAATAGTAAGTGACAGGCTCCATGTATATGAAAAATATATTTGAGAACTTTCTCACTACTTTTCTGGGTTTCAACCTCCCGCAATCAAGAAAATGCATGAAGCTGAATCAATAGAGAATCTGCTGACGTGTAATAAAGAGTACATTGATATGTTCACATCGAAAAGTTAGTGCGTATTATAAACCACTGCAAAGTCCATTTTTCAGTAACAGAATAATAAATTGGAAAAGAAGGAATTTATATATTTCCTTTCTTTAAATGTTTCATTACGTTTCGAAAAGTAGTTGAACCCTTTACCTCCGCAAAACAAAAACAAACACTTTTGAAAAACGTCTCAATTGAAAACAGGTAGGTATATTTCTTTCAACAGACGTTGAAGAAAATGTAACTCTTTCCGTGAATTACTCCACAAATTATTCAATTCTGAAAAATAATCAAAAGCAGGTACATTTCCGATAGAAGTGTTTTTCCGAAAATAATTTTTAGGGTTTTGAGAACGGAAAGAAACAAACCGTCTGAAGAAAGCTTATTGTATAAATTTATTTTTTTACCATTGAATATTTTATTCGTATGCAAAATTCATGAATACAAGTTTACTGAGTAATTAGACTCTTCACTGGTTTATATAAATCAGTAACTTTTCGGGGTGAACTTTATATACTTCAGCATATTCTCTATTGGTTGAGCTTGATTCGTTTTTTGAGATTGTGGGAGATTAAGAACCCAGAAAAGCAGCGAGAATCACTGATACCTCCAAATGTCTTTCAAAGAGTGAATGGATTGCATTTTGTTCAAGGAAAGAAGCATAGAAACCCTGGTGTTTTGTCATTTTCGCTTTTATTTTGTTCAAAACTCGACGTGAGAAAGATTAACCCAAATTTGTGCACATGTTGTTAAATGATGGAGCAAGAATGCTTGTATTTTATTCAAATCTTTGATTTTTGGACCATAAGGTCCATAAGGTCCCACAAGAGTTAGGTCGAATATACAAAGTTGAGAGTTTGACAATTGACAAAATATTTCACATGGGCAAAAGGTCCAAGTAATTCATGAATATTTCATGCGTCTTGGTTCAAGCTATGCTGAATCCATAATTTTACAGGATATTATTCATCGCATGATCTTGTAATTGCATTGAACAAAGATGCAAAGAAACCCGGGCGATTTTACTGATTCGTTTAATTTAGTGAAAATCTCTCAACGCGAGAAATAAAGCCGGAATTATATTATTGTGTCGTGGTGTGTGGTGATGCGCCACAAGTATATCGTATCCATACATTTACTATGTTTAGAATTATATTACTAAAGTGCAGTGTGTCGGGACGCGATCTGTCGTGACGGATCGATTACCGATCGGCGTCAGAACAATGGTGGGGTTATGACGCGTCAGAACACTCCACATTAGTATGTTTCTAATATGACTCGTTAACTAGCTAGAGAAGAGTCGTTTGCATTTATTTGTTCACAAGATGTCGGACGAACTTATTGAACTTGTTCTACCATACTCTACTCAAATTGATTTTTTGCCATCCTAGTAAATGATATTGGCTTCGACTACCTCTCAGATCATTTACTGGATGAACTCAATATTTTCTCTTTTCTTTTTAAGTAAACTTTACATTAGCAGACACGCAAGGTTTTCTTCAATATCACTATTCGAATCGGGGGAAAGCATTGTAGATGCTCGCATGCGTTTACTCCAAAGGCCACCACTGTATTGACTCGAAATAACATCAGAACGCTCCCCGACACGACAGAACCCGAGAATACCTACCACAGAGAAGCGACAAAGACGGTCATTTTGTGTCCCTTTTTCGTAAACAAATGCGTCGACTTGGTTGTCTCCACGTCATTCTCGGGCTTGGTTGTCTCCATTAGTCTGTGAGCACTGAGCAAACATAATGAGGTAGTTAGTTAGTTACAAAAAATACCTACAGCTCTGTACACATTAAAATTATGCTATTTAAGCAAGAGTTTTCAGGAGATAATTAGTTTTGAAGAATCCATCGTGAGAGAAACAGTAGTTGTGTGTTTTTGAATCGACACTAGTGACGATCTTCGAGTGAAATTCTACGAGTTGAGCTAATATCAACGTAAAACTAGATTTTGTGTGTATTTATGAGAAGTGCAAATCGAAATGCCTGGTTACTATTGTGTTTTCCGCGGTTGTTCAGCTAGAACCGGTGAAGGAACGAGTATTTTCAGATTTCCCCAAGACTGTGAAAGGTAAATATTTTTATACATCTTGGGAAATATGTTTGGGAAATGTATATCTAAACTGATAGTAATGAGAAATAATTAAATTTGCTATATTTTGAAAGTAAATTACTGATTATTTTCAAAGTTCGATTTTCGAAATATGTGACGATGAATGGGAATCTTGAATATACTTTCAATCAAATAATTAAAATTCAATAGATCTGTTTATAAAAGAAAAATACAAAAGAACAACTTCAAAACTGATAAATTATTTCTTCCTACAGGGCAAAAGTTTGGTTGGAAGCTTGCAGTAGGCAAGATTTACTAACAAAAATCGATTCACTTCACAAAAACTACAGAATTTGTGAGCATCAATTTGAAAGTAGGTACATATCAAAGGGTACTGTGACAAATACATTACTACCTGAAGCAATACCGACAATACTTCCACCCATTTTAAAAACCGGGAAAGACCAATCTCAAGTACCTGAAAGAAAAGTGATCATTCTGCCAAGAATGTAACGTAGGTACTTAGATTTATTATGGAAATTGAGACTTGATCCTTTTTTCAGATATCACAATTGTTCCACAAGTGTTCTTTTGTGAAAAACGCAAATGATGAAATGCCTTTTCATTCTCTTTGACCGTAGGTGGTAAGTTTATTTTTAATTTTAGTAAGTGGTTACACCATTTGAATTTAATATTTTTAGATATTATGTAAATTACACCTTGTAATGAGCACTCTCTTATTCAGGTTTCTTTCCTGACCAAAAATTCGATTTTTCTGAGTAGATTTAGCAGATTCATTTTTTTTTGTTCAAGGTCCAAGTACTTCTCGAGAAGTTGGTTTGCAGAATGTTTCAACCTACAGTGTAAATGTGGAATGCGAAGAAAGAATTTCACCACCTCTACTTTCGCCATCTACTTTTTCTCAAACTGAGTTTAAATTAAGCAGCAATACTCCACGAAAACGAAGATTGCGAAGTATATTGAAAATTTTACGGAGGGAGAAAATCAAAAAGGGATCTAAGGCGACAACCGGTTTATCAGTTTTTAAAAGGGTGTGATGCGTTTCTTGAGAATCCTTTACCGGAAGTGATAAAATCGCATGTTGTACAAAAGAACAAGAAACCTATATCTCGCAGATATTCTTCAGAAGCGAAGCAGTTTGCTTTGATCAACTACTTTTCAAGTTCTAGGAATTATAGGCATCTTAAAGTTATTGACTCTTCCAACAAAACGATATTTGCAAAGGATGACCCAAAAAATATCATGTAGGCCGGGCTTGGAAAATTCAGCAATATTCAAAACACTTGAAATTAAAATTAAAACAATGCTCGAACAGGACAGCGATGTGTGATATCTATAGATGAGATGGCTTTAAAATCCAATCTTTTTTTTGATACAGGATGTGATGAAATAATTGGTTTCGAAGATATTGGAGAGGCAAATAAGAGGAATTCCATGTGTAGAAATGTTCTCATTATTATGGCTAGAGGACTTTATTCTCCCTGGAAACAACCGATTGCTTTTTTTTTCATTGAATCACAGCTACCAGCAAAAAATCTCATGATATTTTGGATAAATGCAATTCTAAATTATCCAATATATGTCTGCATGTTGATGGCATCGTGAGTGACATGGGCTCTAACTTTTATGAATTGTCAAAGTTATTATTAGGGGTCACTTTAGAAGAATCTGAATTTGAGCTCGGTGGTAAAAAACTTGTTTATATTTTTGATCCAAGTCATTTGATAAAAGACACTAGAAACAATTTTTTAAAACATTCATTTCATGTTGAAGGCAAAAGTACATCTTGGTCTTTTGTGCGCTCTTTTTATGAGCAAGATAGGGCAATTTTATAGATTCGCACCAAATCTTACCAAATCACATATAAATCCAAACAAATCTTACCAAATCACATATAAATCCAAACAATTTCGAAAAAATCAAAGTGAGTCTAGCAACACAAGTTCTAAGCCGTACAGTTGCCAGTGGAATGAATGCATTCGTGGCAATGAACTTACTTCCTGCGTTTTTGAAAAATCTTGAAATTTTCAATTCAGAGGACAAAAATGTCACAAATCGAATCAAATTTAGAAAATGCTGGATTATTTCCATGAATAGTGTAATTAAAATATGGGATAAGCTTTCCAAATTAAATTATAAATATTTAAAAACGAGGCGACTCAATTCAGATTGTCTTGAAAATTTTTTTGATGCTGTAAGACAACAATGTGGAAATAATGTTAATCCGACCCCCATACAATTTCAAAGGGCATTCCGGAAGTTATTTTGCCAAAATTATTTTCATTCCAATCATATGAATTGTAAGAATGATTTAGATGATTTAATATTCTGTATACAATCCAGAAACGTAAATGATATATTTATATCAGATGAGAATCACTTTTCTCGAGCCCTTGCCCTTCCGGATTATGATTATAAAAATGAAGATGTTTGTACTCAGAATTCATTCAGTTACGTTTGTGGATACATTTTAAAAAAAAGCTCTTCAAGTTCATACATGTTATGTATGTCACTCTTTCAGCACGAAGTGCAGGACTTTGGATGTAAATCGTCTGTTAAGCTATTTTAAAGCTTATACTACGGAAAAAAACATATTTGGAAATTTGCGCTCACCACCAGATGAACTCATAATTTTATATATCAGCTGGAATATTTATTTAACAATCGATTTACAGAAATTTCTACTTGGGGAGCAGTTTCGAATATATTATTCAACCTAATGAAGGATGTAGATTTTCTTCATCCTTGTGAAAATTTTCCAAAAATATATATAAGCTATTCATAAGAACGAAAATTTTTATAGTATCAAATATACTAATAGATAATTATTGTGAATACAACATACAAATGGATACTAATAATAGAAATATCAATAATATCAAAGTTAAAACTGTAAAAAGGAAACTTAAGATTCTGTCACATTTTTAAATTAAGAGGTTATGTAAAATATCTTGTTTCATTATTTTTTCATTTGAAACCTTACTTAATTAGAACCCTCAGATTGTATAGATGTTGTTAATAAAAGTTCAAGTTAAGATTACATAAAATAACAAAAGTCACTTCTATTCATTTCATCCTCAGTGGACTTACCTATTTATTTCAGAGGATATAAAATGATTATATAATATAAGCATTATTATATTATTGTAACTTTATTTTAATTTTCTATCTAATGAATTGGATTTACAAAATAAAGTAATTTNATAAATCAATGTAACGAACGAATAATATACAAATTATGAGCCGCTTCACATATTTCTTGTCAAAAAATGTTACAGAATACAGACTGGAATAATGCTATTTTTGTCGTTGGAATCCTGAGGTAGATCCTACTCCCGACTGAGAGAAAAAAGTTCTTTTTCGATAAACGTCTTTTCACAAACAATTTTATTTCGAGAGGAACTTTCACAAATTGAATTTATACGTTCACTGTTACAAGATGAAAGCTGTAAAAGTCGCTCTACAACTACTTTAATTTTTTCTAAGCTCATTCAATTAGAATTAATCGATAGAGGGATTCTATTGAATTCAGTCCTATAACTTGTGCAAGGAATGTTGGGTTTATATAATAAAAATAATGATGCAATAAAAACCACTGCTAACGAAATCAATACATATTTTTGTTCCACAGGCAAAGATAAATCGGGAAATATCTTGCCACAGAAAGATCATACTTCCCTTATGAGAAATATAACTCCATTAAACTCCTTTTTTGTATCACCTATCAACTCAGAGGGAGTAGGTATCAGATATTTTGATAAACAAAAAGAACAGAAAATATGGTTGGTACAATGCCTCTGCAAAAGTTCTACACCTTTTAGCGAATATACTGGTTATCTAAATAGAGGCTTTGAACGAATCCAAAGGTTGCAGTCATTAAACGAATATCCAAATGAGGTGATTGTGAATTGGCATCAAATCTCAAATCGATTTCTCTCGTCAACCGGGCGAAACTGGTAGACAAATAAAGGATGGCTGCTTTTCTTAGTAGTAACGTTTGCTCAGCACATACCAGTTTTTTTTTTTTTCAAAAACTACAAATGATATCATATTTGTATTACTAAACAGATATAATTTCAATCCATTTATTCGACCAGATAATACTTTAAGGTAATAACAGTGTGAGTATACATTCAGTAATGTTTTTTGAAACAAAAAAAGAAAAACACTATCAGCATGTAACCAGAAATTTGGACAAAATTGGTATATGCGAAACAACTTCTTCATTTTCATTATCACTCTCCGAATCTGTTGCCGAGTAGTTCAAGTCTGAGCTATCCAAACTGTTATCCCAGTCATCAGAGCTGGAATCTGAATCATGTCCAAACATATCCAAAATATCATTTTCCAATCCTGTTATTATTACATTGGTAAAAACCTATGAAATAAGATCAGATTTCAATTCTCAGTATTATGATTCCCAGCATTACATCTATACTCTTTTTCAAGGGTAAATTTTATCCATAACATACATATGGAAAAATTAAAATACATAATCTATTTGAACAGTAATTGGGTATTTATTGCCTACTAAATAAATACATACTCTGGATTTCTCTCACCTTATTATCTTCAAGTTGTAAGGGATTGTTCCGTAAATTGATTTTAGTATGAGGCATTGCAAATATTGTTTTTTCTGGTAAGGAAAAGAATTCGTTATTTTGTAAATGAAGGTACCTCAGATTCTTTATTCTGGATATTCTATGGGGTAAACAGTTCAAATTGTTATTATTTAAATTCAGATGCTTTAACAATTTTAAATTATCAACTTCTTTTGGAAGAGTACACAACTTATTATCTTCTAGAGTCAGCCATCTGAAAAATCATATGAGAGGTCAATCGAAGGATTATCCATACAGCAATTTTTAGATCACGAATATTAAGTAACAAAATTAGTAGGAAGTTGAATTATTCAATAGGAACATTTGAACAAATGCAAGTTTTCACTTATAACAAATATTATTCAACATTAACTTGTAAGACTCAAAACAACAGTGTCCATCCGATCTGACAGATCTTGTATAACTGCTGAAATAGTTCAACATGACCAATTTTCACCTACCCACCTACCTTAAATTCAATAAACAACAAATCTCATCTGGTAATTTACTTAATCTGTTATGTCTTGCTCCTAATGTGTCCGGTTTAGTTAGGTTTCCTATTTCTTTTGGAAATCTTGTCAAACAGCAGCTATTACACCATAATATTTCCAAAGATGAAAAACATCTTATGTCTTTGGTTAAATCTTTGATGGGATTATGACTAATGTTGAGAGATACCAGTTGCGGTATGCCCATCAAGGCTTCAGGAAATTCACTCAAATTATTATATTCTAGAGACAGGTGTTGAAGATTTTTCAACTGAGTTATACTGGTTGGTAATTCTTTTATGAAATTATGGCCAAGTTTCAAAGAATATAAACTATGACAAAATAACAAATCATCAGGAAAGCACTTCAAATCAAAATCATCCAAAGCTAAGGTTCGAGCCTCAGAGTTTTGGGCTTTTTCGATTAGAGAGAGAACTCTATTTCTCTGTATGAAGTCATATACAGGATTCACAACATTCATGTTGAAAACTTATTTCCAAATTCCTTTTTCTGTTATTCATTTGCATTACAGTTTACACTTTACATCATGATATCAAAAAAAAAGATCCGAATTTCTGGCTCAACAGAATGAAATTCGAATAAAGTTCCAAATTCCTTCTGGAATCTATTTCGCGTTCATTCTAAAAATCGTAGTATTGTTACTTCTTACGGTCTACTCAAAAAAAAGCGAAGATATTCTAGGCGAATGTGGGTTAGCAGGTCCAACGATTCTAGGACAGTTCAAAATAGTTACATAGCTGATTACAAAGACAATATGCTGATTATTGAAACTGAAATCACGCAAAAGTTTCCAAAGCTCAACTCTGCGATTGATTTTGACTTTGACAGTTCGAGGACTGTTCACAAGAGAACCTGAATGCGGAAAATGTAGCGAATATGGTAACCTTCAGGATTTTCATGAAATTTTGACAGATGGTTAAAAACTCACCAAAAACGATAAAAATCGTGAAATTTTTCTGCGGAAATGCCGGGAAGATAGTTTTTTTTGAAAAAATGCTCAACGGTGGTCGGTGGAAATACACAAATACAAGCAATTCATCTGCACTATTTCACTGCTTTTAGACCTGCAACATATGCCAGAACACACAAAATAGTAATTTAGAGCCATACAAAAAGTGATTTGCTCACAAATATACAAAGAATAATTAAAATTATGGCTTATTTCAATGATTTAAAATTCAACAATGTGACATTTACAAAAGCGTCATCGTTTGGGCAAGTTTGATGAACAATTTTCATCATCATTCTCATTGCCATACACATTCTTTAGAAAAAAAATTGGTGGCCCTGAAAAGGGCCATTTTTGTAAAATAGAAAAATTATTAGCCGGTTTCTGAATCCGAATATTCCTCTTCATCAGCCACATGAGCGTCATTCGACTCTTTAGCGGAATTTTTGGCGTCGTAAAGTTTTCCTGCCAATCTGAAAAATTCTTCTGTTCTGTTCAAATTGAGTTGGGCACATCTTTTATGAAACATGAAGGGGGCAAGAATTCCAGGAATGTGTGCTTTTCTACGACCATTCGAAACTGTTATCGTCTTTGTGTGCCTCCAAGATGATTCAATGGCATTGGTGTGTACACCAGTTTCAGGGTCCTTGAAAGTTATTAAATGATTTACTTTCAAGTGGTTATAGCCTTCACGAGAAAGCCAATCATATGCTTTCCAGCAATCCGAATGGATTATTGATCCTTTCTCAATCCAGTTGTCGATTAAAGGTAAAAGGCTATCTGTGCCTCGTCTTTCGACTGCTACCATGAATACTCTTCCCGTACCACGCTCAAACCACCGAAAACCCATTGTCCTTCAATTCTATGGCCTCGATTTTCACATTGATACCGGGACTTCCTAGTTTTTCTGGTTTGGTGAAAAATGCATCGAAAACCACCATCCTACAAAAACTTGCCCAATCTACAGCAGCAGATTTAGAAATTTCCAATTGCTTTATTATTAATGTCAAATTTGCATTCGACACCCAAAGATTCCCAATATTTGAAAAATAGATAATTTGGATTTGGAAAAAAATGTTCCATGTGGAAATTCTCTTGCATAAGAACATTTCCGTTTTTTTTGTTTTCGAACAGATATCGTATTTGTGCACACCCATCTCCAACCGTCACCCTGAAAAATAAAAAAAGTGTAGTTTTTCGAAGCTTACTGACCTGACTAGACCTAACCTGATCTGACCTAAACTAACCTAACCAGACCTGTCTTGCTCTAACCTGAGCTAATCTTACCTGACCTAACCTAACCTGACATAACCCAACCCGACCTGATCTAACCTTACCTAACCTAACCTAATCCGACCTAACCCAACCAGACCTAACCTAACATAACCTAACCTAACCAGACCTAACCTAACAGAACCTAACGTAACCTAACAGAACCTAACCTAACCTGACCTAACTTAACCTAACGTAACCTGACCTAACCCAACCAGACCAAATCTATCCTGAACTGATCTGACCTAACCTAACCTAACCCAAACAGACCTAATCTATCCTGACCTCTCCTGACCTAACCTAACTTAATACGATTCAACCTAACCTAACACGACTTTACCTATCCTAACCCAACCTAACATGACCTAACCCAACCAGACCTTCTTTTCTTTCCTTAGCCGCCTCCTGTGCTAGTCCCTGGTACCGTCGTTAGACATTGCTTCAGGGATAGCAGGCATATGGCTCGGAGGGGAAACCTTAATAGCGCCGTGCGAAGTTCCTCCCTCGCACAACAGTCCGGGGACTCCAGGTTGGTGTGTGCAAGTCCTGTATACCCCGGCAAAACCCCTCCTTCTTCTTTGGCCCTCAATGAAGTATATTAGTTTTTTTCCTTCTTTGCTCTATTTGGTCTTTCTTCCTTTTCTTTGTTCTCGATTATGTGACGGATAGTTTAGTATGCATGTTTCCACCTTTTTTCGCTTGATACTAAATTTGTCATCATATTACTGGCAGTGAAAGGTCTTTCTGTTTTCATTTGAAATATGTCCCGTGAACTTTGCCATCTTGAGCATACAAAAAGTTCTTTGTTTACATGCTCAGCGAACGTTAGTTTCGTGTCCAACCAGACCCCCAAATACTTCACTGCTTTCTTTGGAAGCACTCTGATGTCTTGCACATCGAATTGTATAGGCTTTATTTTCCTTCTAGTCGTGAGAAGTGCTGCTTCAGTTTTTTCTGGTGCCAGTTTGAGCCTATTAAGGTGGAGCCAATTTATTATGCGCTGAATCACAGTATTGTCTGAATTCATCAGTATTTGCTCGTTCTGAACAGCTACTACCACGGCTATGTCGTCGGCAAAACCAATCAGTGTGACATCTTTTGGCATTTCAAGTCTTAGCAAACCGTTGTACATGACATTCCACAAGGTTGGACTAAGGACGGATCCTTGAGGCACTCCGCTGTTGATCCTTCTCACTTTGGACTCATTTTCAGCCTCTATTATTATTTCTCTATTGGAGAGGTAGGTCTGAATGCACTTGGATCATCCATCGGCCTATCTCCTTTTCTCAGCAGCAGAAGTTTTGCTCGTTTCCACTGGGACGGGAATTCAGCATGTCTTGCTAGGTTGTTGTATACTGCTAGTACATATTCCTCGTTGTTTGTTGCAAGAAATTTGAGTATTTCCGATGGAATATTTTCAGGTCCGGGTGCCTTGTTCGTTTTTAGTTTCGAGTGGGCATATCGTAGCTCATCCGGGCTAAAGTGTGTGAAGACTGCATTTTGATCGCACCTGAAGTTTACTTCGTCATGTATTGGGAATAGATGATTGACAACCCTTTCTACGGTGGGTAGCCTATCAAATTCTTCATTACGATCAAGGCTTCTCATATAGTCTCGCCTTTTTCTTATACAGTTCTTACGTTTACAACCAGACCTAGTCCATTCTGACCTAACCTAACTCGACTCAACCTAACCCGACCCAACCTATCCCGTCCTAACCTAATCCGACCTAACCTAACCTAACTTGACCTAACCTAACCTAACCTAACCCAACCTAACCTAACCTAACCTGTTCTAACCTAAAATAACATGACCCCACCTAATCCAACCTTGGTAAATAAATGGCTGAAAAAAAAAAGAGGAAATTCATCTGAAATCATCTGTAAAATTCGCCTAATCACTGTGCGAGTGGTGAAGTTTGACAACTTTGACATTTGTTTATGTACCGTTGGGTTTATAATGAAAATATATGTGTTTTTACGAAGTATCCAATGTTATTTGCAAAAAAACAGCAGTAAATAGGTGAATAAAGGTGCAGTTGGTGTGTTGGCTACAAAAAAAAGTTTATAGTGTTGTACCGATTGCTAAAGTGGCATTTCTCAAAACCCCATTTTTTTAACTAAAAAAGAGCATATCTCCCAAAGTTATATTTTCCGCATGAAAATTTCGCTTTCTACAGTGTTTTTTTCATGTTTTTAATCATCTGTGCATGTTTCATGAAGATCCTGAAGGTTACCATATTCGCTACCTTTATCCTGAATGCTGCTTCTGCACTAAGATTGGAATTGTTTCTCGTTCTGAACGAATCGAGTTAGACCAAACTGTGGTTCTCTCATTTGCTATCCTAACTCCGAATTTTGTTTTTTTTTTGTATATACATATAAATGTAACATAAATTTTTGAATATGTATTTTCATTTCCAATAAGAAATTGATAATAAAAAATAACAATTAAACATCCTCTATGTTCACAGACAAAATGTTTATCATTCCAAAAAGAACATTTTTCCACTCATTTCACTATTTCTCGTTGAAATGTAAAGAAGTTTTTTTATACCTCGTCCGCTACACAGAATATTTGAATTTTTTTTTTCATTTATTTGTATGCAACATTCTCATTCTAAGAATTTTTTCCGAATATTGACGAAGGTGTATGTACGGAAGCGCAGAATAGCTACATATTATTATTTAGAAATTACGAATTTCAACTCGAATTCGAGTTTATTCTCGTAATTCCGAGTTTAACGGCGAGATTGAAGTCGAAATTTCGAGTAATAAAGTCGTAATTTTCAAAAAACGAACAACAAAAATATATGGCCCTTCTGCGCCTTCGTATGTATGTCGCAAGTTTTTTCGATTGTTTCTTGCGAAAGAACTGCATTTTTCTTATTGAATTCTTCAAATAACCTTTCCAGTTTATATTTTCCATAATTTGACTGATGTGACTAAAAATTGTGAAGTAAAGAAGCTGTAATAAAATTCATTTTCAAGTTCATTTTACTACATTTCTCAACGTATTATTCCTCGTTGTCTGCGATGAAAGCTCTTGCGTAATTTGTGTCTGGAATTCTGCAATAACCTAGAAGGTAGTTTGTGAATCCTGATTCACTCTTCGAACTGCCATTTTTTGTTTAGTAGATAGGCAATGGTGGTTCTGAACCAACTTCCAGTGGTCAGAACCAGATGTATCAGTGATAAAATTACCTGAAAATCGTCAAAAATTCCTTGTATGCCATTCTCTTTTATATTATTGTGTTTATGTCAAACTCTTTTATCTGAACATCATTTTATGAACTAAACCAATAAGCGTCAGTTTTTCTTTCATTTTGAGAATTTTTCATATCGTATAGACAATATGATTTTATCAAATCACCTGATTATCATTTATGAAACCAAAAAGAGTAGTGATGGATAAGCCGTATGACACCTACAAAGAAAATATCCATTCTGCCGACATTGCAAATGGAACATGACAATTTGGATTTGGTGGACCAGGGTGAGTGATATGCGAGTATGTTGAGAAATTCATTTGTACAAGAATCTTGATGGATTGGGCGATAGTGAAACTTCAATTATGTTTCCTTGCTACGAATAAAAACGATTCAATTAGAAAAAAGTATTGAAATCGCGATTGAATATTTTTATGAACGAAATAGCACTGTAATAACAATACAGGTTCTACTTCAGTAAAAGGAAAACCAACGATCAATACTTCCAAATAACTGAGAAATCATCCACCAACCCTCAGACCGAACTAAGAAACTATAGCTAAATCACCTGATTATCATTTATGAAACCAAAAAGAGTAATGATGGATAAGCCGTATGACACCTACAAAGAAAATATCCATTCTGCCGACATTGCATATGGAACATGACAATTTGGATTCAAATAACACCCAATATAAATGTAATATTCCAAACTGATAGTAAAAATGGATACATACTGTATGATGATAAATCTTATGTAGAATTTTTTTAACACGTTTTTCATCCGGTCTGCCATAGCGGACGTTACAAAATGAAGCTTTACTATTAGTAAAGACACGCCTGAAGAAGCTATAATATAGCGAAACATGTGTTGCGTTTTTGTAAAACTGTTTCTTGAATAATAATCCAAGATATTTGACGATCTGGTAAAGGATGGGACGACCATGTAGATGAGGATCTGAATCAACACTGGCTGCTGTGGAAAAAAGATTCAAACAATGAATTGATGGATGTAGCCGTTACTGTGTGGTAAGAGATCATCATTAAAAATAAAAATAAAACTTCCTTTGTTCCCAAATCTAAACGATACAGAAATTTTGCACTTTACAGATAAGGGTTGAAAACCCAATTATTTGAAATCTTTGGAAATTCATACCTACTAAATGACCAAATAGAACTGTTTTTCTAGCCGGTTTTCAAATTAGCGTATTCACATTGTCACAGGTAAACAAAATTCATGTAATAAAGTGATTTAGGATCGTTGGTTTTTACCTATAGTAGTAAAGTGGTATAAAACCATAGACAGTTTCACTTCTTATTTTTTATAATTCAATCAATATTGAAAAAATATTCCAATTTCACGTTACTACTCTTTGATTATCCCTGAAGCCCAGAAGTTGGAGCTTCACAATGCCTGCATAAACGGTTTCGCTACTGATGCCGCCTACGCCTACTGAGAACATAGTATGGAGATAACTCTTATTAGCTCGTGCTCGTGGTTCGAGGCTGGAACCCCAAGGTGATGTGATGGGAAGTCGCTCATCAAAATTATCATAGATAGCAATCATAGACATTCGAATTGATCAAATTTACATGTGGACGGACTCGAGTTGAGTTATTTTATTTTTTGATCAAGAAAACTTGAACAATTTGAATATCATTGGCGTTGGATCTTCTCTAAGCTGAACGCCGCGGACATTCCAAATAAGACCTATACGATACCAATGAGACAACTGACTGAGAAACATGAACGACAAAAATTGAGAATTCTGGCAAAAAAATACGAAGAAGACATGACGGTCAAGGATCACAATGAAAATATATTATCAGTTCACATTGCAATACAAGAAATAGTGCTACTAGATATTGATAGATTTTCATAATTAACCCGAATATCACGAACAACTGCTTGGATTTACTTTGAATATGATTTCAAGAATAAGAAAGTCAAATGAAATATATCCTTCATTTCAGGCAGTACTCGAATTAAAAAATGCCAGATTGACAGTTTCCCTGATAAACTACAGTGTCTTATGAAAAATAAGCCATTAAGGAGTCAACGTATTCTAAATGATCTGTCTCCAGTGTTGGACGAGCGAGAAACTTCAATAAGAACGAACCATGCACCAGAAATGGTGCAGGCTACAGTTATTAAAGCTGTTTAGGAACTGCGAAAACTTATTCAGATAAAGATTCAACCACAATGGACTAACACAACACAAAACAGACCCAAGTTGACAAGAGGGCATTCGCGTACCTTCCCACGGCTACCACGGAACCCCTTCTACTTCGTTTGATTACTCTTCTATGCGTGGATTCTAGGTCAGTTCTGGTTCTCTACCCGTACTGTCCCTGACAGTCTGAAAACAGTCTCTCAACTGAATACTGAGCATGTTGTCGCGTAAAAACTTCAGTCCACACCTGACTCACTGATTTCGGACGATTCGGAACAGTACCACAATAAACCTGTGATCACAGATCAATTTTTAACACAGCATTAAGAGTTTTATGCTTTCATTTCCTGTTCCCAGTTTCCGTTTCCTGTCTTTTAATATCCCGTCACCCTTCACGTCGTGGCTAGAAAGCGGCAGACGCCATTTTATTTCGCAGGCGGATTTTGCGTTTGCAGGTGTGGTGGTGCAGATAGTTTTCAAATTGTATTTTTGAACTATCAACTATTACCAATTTTCGTCAATAATTCCATATTAAACCTTTCACATTTTTCAAAATTCAAAGTGCTTCCGCCAGTTTCTGGAGATGTAAGTATCTTTTGAACATGTATTTGATTTATAATTTTTGGAAATCTGGATTTTATTTGCCTTATTGCATGCTCAAAAGACGTTCATCTATCGAAGATGAAATATATATAGTGATATCAGTAAACTGATTTCACTCGCGACCATTCCGAATTCAAACCAGGACAATCGGCCATTGAATCTAATGGCGTTAGAAATTTGATGGCAAGAATTCTAAATAGCAATTGGCAGTATTTATATTTTATTATATGAGTAGTCCATTTGTAATACTCACTATGCTGTTGAATTGCATATTTTTAGAAATTGCAAAGTTGATATTTATCATTTTCAAGAAAGTTTAATTTTTAATTGTTTTTTCAATGCTAGTACTACCAGGAGTATTTACGGTGTCTACATAAAATCAGTACTGATTATTTAGTTTGTTAGTTGAATCGGCTTCAAATGGCTTTGAAAGAATAATTTTTGCACAGCTGGTTTTGCAACTGTTGAGCAATGTCAAACCTTGAACTGCTCTCAACCATATTGTGTTGTTGTATTTCACACCTTGAGTACTTTTTCGACTGTTGATTTTCAATCATAAAAATTGTAATCTTGACTCCGAGTGTTTTTAAATATTTTATAATATTTCTGGGGATCCATAGTTACCTATGTGATCAGAGGTAAAAAGAAATTTTTACTGTATGAAATATAATAGTAATTTTTGTAATGTGTGGTTATGTATAAAATCACAGCATAAAGCATGCCGAAATTGTCCAATTGCCTGCCCACTCTGCTACAGCCAGGATTTTAATATGGCAACTTTTCCAAACCACCATAAGGAATATATTGATTATATTTGTTATGAAATTGCAGCAATTTCAATGTTTCTATTCTGCCCTCCACATTGATCACTATACATGATCACATTTTTGGTGGCTACAAAATGTTTGAAAAATTCAGCAGACAAGATTCTGGTGACCCACGAGATGCTAATCTTTCATCCCGTGTACACATGTATCTATGCTTGATTGGTTGTCTAATTATGAATGCTCAAGCCATATGTCCATAACTGACGTTTATATTAAACAATACATATAACTAGATTTGGTGTGGGTAATGTTTTCATGGGGTCAGAGGATAATATTGTACAGAATCAACTTTTCTCAAATGAAATTCCTTCTGAAATGCGACTTGAGTCTTTTATATGTATGTATCATGCCATAACTTAACATTGAACGCATCACATTTTTTAAATATTCAATAGTTTTTGAAAATGTAAATTATTCCCTCAGTAAATACTTTACTAAATGTAAAACTTCATACTGCATTATTTTCCATTTATTCCTTGTAAAGACATTACATTTAAGCAATACATACGTCATAAAAATATTTGGGCATTAGGACTATTTGTTTTTCTGTAAGGATTTATATAACTAGAAATTATTCACTGATCTTCTTGTAACATGGTTATTTTCCTCTTTTATTCAATTGAGCTGTAGTCTCAGTTGAATTCTTACCTGCAGTTTTTATCTAACTACTCAAAAAATTCTACTGTCCAAGATTCCTAAACTTGAAAAAAAAATGTTTGCAAACATTAACATCCACACCAGCTCTTGGTAGTAAGTGTATGCAAGTATTCTGTATTGGTAAATCGTTTAGCGCTATTTTCTATAGGCTCATAAGTTGTACTTTTAGCGGAGGACGAGGGGGCTCCTTTCGTGGAAGAGATAATTATTCCAACTCTGACAGAAATTCTTTTGGAGGTGGTGGTAGAGGAGGAGGAGGTTTTAGAGGTGGAAATGAGGGATCTAGTTACAGGGGTGGAAATGATAGTGGCGGATACAGGGGTGGAAATGATGGGGGCGGATATAGAGGTGGGAGGGATGGATTTCGTAGCGGCGGTGGGGGGAGAGGAGCTGGTTTCAGGAATGGTGACTCTGGGAGCCGTTTCGGAGGTCGAGGAGGAGGTAGAGGCGTTCAAGGGGGCCAGTTATATAAACCACAATGGGATAATATTCAGCTGCATCCAATAAAGAAAGATTTTTATGTGCCGCACCCTGCTGTGGCAAATCGTTCACCTTATGAAGTTGAACAGTATCGAAGAGCTAAAGAAATTACAGTTGATGGAAGTGCTCCAAACCCAATTCAAAATTTCAATGAAGCTTGTTTTCCTGATTATGTAATGAAAGAGATTAAGAATCAAGGATATGATGCTCCAACTGCTATCCAAGCCCAGGGCTGGCCCATAGCTTTGAGTGGCATGGACATGGTTGGAATTGCAAAAACTGGGTCAGGAAAAACATTGGCATATATCCTTCCAGCAATTGTACATATCAATAATCAACCACCAATTTCTCGTGGTGAAGGACCAATTGCTTTGGTGCTGGCGCCTACTAGAGAATTGGCTCAACAGATCCAACAAGTTGCTAGTGAATTTGGTAGTTCTTCATATGTTCGTAATACCTGTATTTTTGGAGGTGCACCTAAAGGTCCACAGGCAAGAGACTTGGAGAGAGGTGTAGAAATATGCATTGCTACACCTGGGCGTCTCATTGATTTTCTAGAAAAAGGGACAACCAATCTAGAACGCTGCACGTACTTGGTTTTGGATGAAGCTGATAGAATGTTGGATATGGGTTTTGAACCACAAATTAGAAAAATCCTTGAACAAATCAGACCAGATAGACAAACTCTCATGTGGTCTGCAACATGGCCCAAAGAAGTGAAAAAACTCGCCGGAGATTTTTTGAAAGATTATGTACAAATAAATATTGGTTCATTGCAACTCTCGGCTAATCACAATATTCTCCAAATTGTTGACGTTTGCCAGGAACATGAAAAAGAATATAAGTAAGTGAGACAACTTGGGTGCTTGTATGTATGACATACCATTGTAAATACATATATTTGAGATTGAAACTGGTTTGACAAATCGTACTTCAGCTCACAACTTTCTATATACCATTTGTGTTTCAGACTCAATCAATTGTTGCAAGAGATAGGCAACCATACAGAACCGGGTTCTAAAATTCTGATATTTGTTGAAACAAAAAAAAAGGTAGAGGCAATCACCAGAGCTATAAGACGTTTTGGATGGCAGGCAGTTTGCATGCACGGGGACAAGAGTCAACAGGAACGAGATTATGTTCTTAGCGAATTTAGAAACGGAAAATCTACCATATTAGTAGCCACTGACGTTGCTGCTAGAGGCCTAGGTAAATATAAGCCGGTTGAAATTTGATTTGATATTTTTTAAATTTAAGGAATCGAACCATGTTTAGTTTAAATGTTTATATTGAGTGATGCTCTTTTCGAATACTAAACATTTTCAGTATTTTTAGTCTATAGTAGCATTTTCCGGATTTCCAGACTGGTTGGATTTCACAGCTTTACTTTAGGATATTACCTTTTGTTATGAATAAGATAAGAAAAATAGGTCTAGATTTGTTTTTCTAATTTATTCCTTAAATAATTGTGGTACTTAAAAATATCTATTGAAAAAAAAGATAATCTATCAAGACTTGAAAAAGTCTTCATTTCTGTTTGGTGACAAAAATATTTCAAATTTTTTTTCATGTCCTTTTCCGAATCAGGTTTCAAAAACGTTTTTTGTTTAAATTATATTTCAAGGCCTACATTTTTTGACTTATATCCATTTCTGTTCAAAATCTGTTTTTCCATTAACCAGCTGTCGCACCCCTGCGAATGACAACCCTCAGAAGTCGAAACTTGTGCGAGCTTAGGATTAACGAGGTCTTACCTTTTAACGTGTGATTTCTAACACGAAGAAATTTGACAAGAGTGTTTAGGAATTTATTTGCAAATAAAATTGATTAACCCCATGCATATTACTTAGAAAACCACTCCATACTTGCATTCACGCTTTTTTTAATCTTCTCACATCTATTTTTAGTATTGCTAACAATATTTATTGCCCATTTTTTTTTCTAATTTGGCAGGTAATAGGTCAGTTACAAATAATTACACAGTGGAACTACAATGTGCATACTTCATTCTTATTGATATCATTATTCTTAGTTACATTAGTTGTTGAGTTAATAATCAGTCTGGGTTATCCTTTTTTTGTTTCAGAGGCACATGCAGGATGAGCGTACATAGCATACAAGTGAAATAAAAAAAGAAACATTGCTTATGATACGCCTTAGTTGTGTTCTTACAAAAGGATGCAATTCTGTGTCTTGCGGTGCCTCTGGCTGTCTGCCGTGAGACGGTAGAAGACCGATGGAAGATTTGATGTTTGGCCGCATCAAAAATGGCACACGTTTGACACACAGAAAATAACTTCGAGGGGGGCACAGACAATGGGCCATTCCCATAGAATTTGATGACATCATTTATACAATTTTGCAAAGAGTTCTAGCTTGCACAATTCTTTGTTATATTAGAATGAATCTTTTGAAGTCTTAACATTTCTTGAAAGTAGAGGAATGTAACTATAAATTCACTCTAAACACCGGTACCCATTTGAATATCTCACTAATTTGAAGTATTATGATAAGAAAGGTCATCAGTAGAATAATCCACATCGAATTTCATATTTGTTTTCCTTCAATATCACTACTTTGAAAAGTATTAATCCATTGGAATTTTAATATCAATAAAGGCACACTGAGATTGAGATCCTTTTCTTCATTTTGTAAAAAAGGTTGGATAAAAAGAAAACAGTTTCCCCGTATGATCTGTATGTAATTAACTATAATTATCTAACTCTTTAGTTTCAACTGGAAAATTCTTAAATATTATGCGAAGGGAATGGCCTGTTTTTACCACTATTATTTTTTTTTTCAAATTTTAATCAAAATATTTAATAATATTTCAATTGATTCATGAAGCATTTTGAATTGTGCCCCCTATTATATGGAGCCGCAGCAGCCACTTAACTCTGTATATTCGTGGTAATGTCAGCGGCCCCTTTTCCCAAACGTAAAGTAGCTCGGCTGTCGATCATCGAGGGACTTTCAAAGATTGTTGCCGAGCTGCAAAACAAGATGTCATTCAAATGATAATTTGTCTTCCTGTCGGTCCTGCAATTTTACTCATTATTTTGGCATTGATGCGTACACAAATAATTGAAATGTGGTGTAGTATTGAACAAGAAAGTACGCATTGCCACTGCAGCAGCCAAAATACATTGCTACTATAGCTGTTACACTAAGAATTGTTTAAAATCTTCAGAGCGACATGGATAACACTCATTTTCATGGTTAGTATTCTTATTTTTTTATTCAAATTTTGATTATTCTCCATTTTTCAATAATGGTTTTGGTTATTGAACAGTTTCTAGACGTTTTACTATTTAAAATTGTTTTTCAAATCCAAAACTAAGCTTACACTCAATGGAAAATAATCAAGAGTGCTAGTGCTGTATAGTTACATCACTTGAATTCAAAACAAGTTCTTCTTGATCAAAATAATGAAACTTTCAAGTAGTAATTGAATATTATTCAGAAGGTGAGACTAGAAACTATTATAAAAGCATTTACATTTGCTTCCATAAATTAACACTCTCCTGAAAATTCTATACAAACTTTCCTTAGAAATTTTCTTTGGTGTTCAATTCACAACTGTATAACCAAGTTGATTTAATTTGAAACATTCAATGAGCATTTTATAATCGATAATTGGCATTTAAATATGTTTCAAATGGACCAGTGAGTGAATTCACTCCTGAATGCACATTCGACATTGCTGAATGAAATTATTCACTTTAAATGTAAGTATATTATAGTATACATTGCAAAAACAATTAACATTGGTATATATAGAATTTTGACTAGGGTTGTTGATATTCAACTAATTAATTGGAAGACAATGCAGAATTGCCCATGTGTACATGTTCGAAACTCCAGACGCGGTTCAACCCAAACTCAAAGACAACATATATACATACATATCAAACATTTTTGCAGTAATTGATAATGGACTACTTGCTTAAAGTTACAAAACTTAGTTTTATCCTTCTATTCGAAAGTTAAGTGATGTAACTATTAACTTGAAATAATGTTTAAATTAACGGCATTACCTAGATGTGGATGGGATCAAGTACGTAATAAATTACGACTATCCAAATTCTTCGGAGGATTACATCCATAGGATAGGCAGAACTGGGAGGTCCGAGTGTACTGGTACTTCTTATGCCTTCTTCACACCCAGCAATTCAAGGCAAGCAAGGGACCTTCTGGGAGTTCTCAAAGAAGCAAATCAGGTAAAGTTGAATGGACGCCCTATTTTTGTAGATGTGTCCAAGATAATGGAGAGCCAGCTTAAGAAAATTGAAACTGATAGCCACAAAGACGGTTAGATTAGAAAACATATGCGCCTAATTGTGAGCTTATTTAAATGACGTTTTAAACTTAAAATTTTGGAGGTATTGAAAAAAAAAGAAAATTTGCCAATTTACATTAATTTTTTATTCGTTATTTTAAAATGAATTAACTAACAAAAACACTTTCTCATGGCTACTTTTCAAGATTTCCAAGATGGCTTTTATAGATTTTTAATCTGAAGTTTCATCTCCAAGAAACCCATCACCATTTTAATAAGTATAAGATGTGGCTATAACTCATTTGATTAATTTTGAAACTCATTCACATACGCTCTAAAAATAATAAATAAAATATCAAAAAGAAAAATTCAAGTCGACTTGTAATCAAAATTTTCTCCTTGAAATTATTGTCAATGCCAGTCCCAAAGGAAGATAAACAATTTCAATAGATATCATTATTACTAGTTCCTAGTATTGTTTTCTTTTCCAAGCTGAACTTTGCTCATAATGAATTTCACAGAGTTACAATGCACATATTAGAGCCAAGTTGATGAATTATTATCAACTAGGTGTCGAAATGTGCAAAATAATAGTGGGACACTGATTTTAACTTCGAATTACATTTGATATAATGTATTTCGTAAAATTAAATCCTGACATTTTTTTTAGCATACAATCTTTTTATATTTGTATGAAAAACTCTATGAAACTGAATTTAACAATGATTGCCTTTATTTTTTTTGTAACAAGTCAATTTTTGAAGGTTATAAATCCAAAACTGGCAGAGATAGCTAACCGTTCATCAAGTTTTGGCAAAGGTGGCTTTAGCCGCTACAGTGATGGTAGTGGAAGAGGGAATAGGGGTGGTAGTAGAGGAGGTGGAGGTAGAGGCGGAGGCCGTGGAGGTAGTAGCTATGGGCGAGGCGGTGGAGATTTCAGATCTCGAGAAAGTTCAGGAAGGCCATCTAGGTTCAGCGGAGGCCCTACTAGTGGTAACAGTGCAGGAAATAGGCCATCAAATGGTTATGGAAATAGAGGAGGTGAGCATTTGTTTGTTATTCTGACACTGATTACTGTCGTAGATCTCATTTGAATTTCATAAACCAGAAACTGAAACTCTTTTTGTTGCAGGTTATTGAATGCAGCAGAAGTGACGTGGTCTCAGTATTTTCTTCTGATGCATTCCTTGCATCATGGCACTTTGATACTGCATCATTTTTGTTTCTAAATTATTCTAGAAAATCGTTCAACATGATTTGCATGTTTGTAAATGAATTTAAGAATTAGAGAATTTCCATTATTAATTTTTAACATATTTTTAGTTACAAATTAGAAATTATATTCAAAATTTATCTGAAAACTAATTTTATCTCTTAGGGACACTATATTTTTGACCTACTTCTTTATCACAAACATTTTCAAAAAGAAAATTAACATCAATGAAATCTCTCAACAAAGATATGTAAAAAGAAATATATCTGAAACAACCACTAATTGAGAACTGTATCTTACAGAAATGCTATACAACATAACAAAGATTATTGATATAAAATTTCACTAGTATATAGCAATGGAACTCACGATCGTCGAGCAGATCAAATATCTTCTATTAATTAATGGATAACTTAACATATTTAAAAGAAAAAATATGCTAACCCATTAATTCAATACAAATTATTAAATCTTTTTCTATTTCTGATATATTTGGTGGTGTAAGTAAGATAAAAATTGGTGGTAGGACATTGGAAACTGCAGCTGTATATAATCACGAAGACAATCTCATGAGAATTACGGTACAAGCAAAAAAACTGAATTTCAAGTGAACATTTTGAATTTCCCTGCTAAAAGGGTAATTCTAGCACAAAAATATCAATGAGTTACTTATCTCTTTTCATAAAGCTCACCTCACGATTTGAGCTCCACAAAGTTTATTTGAAAAATATATCAAGACGTTTCTCCACAAACTATTTGAAAAATGTATCACATGTTTTGTTAACACAGTAGCTTCTTCAATAGTGATTTAAAATCACTGTTGAAGAAGCTACTGTGTTAGCGAAATATGTGATATATTTTTCAAATAAAGTTTGTGGAGATCAAATTGTTAGGTGTAGTTAATGAAATTACAATCATCTTCATTAAGTAACGGCCGAGTCAATCAGGAAAAAAATGTATGCGTTATTCTTTACATCTAGAGAATGCAATCTCTTAAGAAATTAACCGATATTTTTAACAACGTAGTCAAAATACATGATTATTGAAACAAAATTATAGGATTTGAATACTCACTATTTTGAAAGCAGTTCCCAAAAACAAAGTATTTGTATTGTCTGCTTAGCAACTTCCGACCTGCATACTCTATAATCAGCAAAAGAAAATGTTCGTTTGACTTCCATGTTTGTAGGAATCATAGTCAAAAAAGCTTTTAATCCACCTGATTTAATATAGTTCATTTCCGTTCTTATCAAAATCTAAACATTTTTATATCCGAATGTAGGTCGGGTATTCAAGTTCGTCTTGAAATAATGCTTTTGCAGCTAGTAGAGCTCCAAAGAAGTTTATATGAAAGATCCTATCTTTTTTTTAATGAGGAATCACTTCCTTAAATGTTTTACACTTATTCAGTTACATCCTGTATAAGAGAAACGATCTAGACCAGCGGTCTTCACACTTTTCTGGCCAAGGGCCACACAAGACGATGTGGGTATCGGCGATGGGCCCCGGATTATATGACTCCTTGACATTAGGTCGTTTGCGTAGGATTTGATATCGAAAAAAGTACTTGTACATATTGTTCATTAGAATATTTATTTTTATTGGGAAAAGATAACCGTAATTATAAATACCTATTTATAATTACAAATTATTTCTTGTATATCAGCATCTTTTGGACTATCTGCTATTTTCATTGTATCGTCTAAACGATTGCGGTATATATTTTTCAAGAAGCTCATTTGCGAAAATGTGTTGAAGAAAATATGGTTAAAAGTAATTGTGCGCAGCCTTGTAAACATTTACACTTGCCAGGTGCATTTTTCCAAAATTCAATGTATTCCTGGTTTTCACGGTGTTATGAAATTATCTTTCAGCTTTATGTATTGCTTAGGTTCAATGATTTCATGTGTTTTAGAAAATACAAACAGGCAGAATTTTTTCATATCTTCATTTTCAATATGCCAAGGGTTTTCCACAAGTATAAAACAGTTCTTAATTTTTCTCATATCGTAAAATCTATTTTGTATTTCCAACAGATATTCTTTCAAAAAGGATATCATATCTTGAGTAGAAACTTCGGAATGCAGAGCAGCAACAGTTGGAAAATTTGAAAAATCTCCTGCTTCGAGTTCATTTATGTATAATTGTAGTTTGTCTTAAAATAAACACTTTGTCATTTATCCAATTATCTTCTTAGGTCTTTGCATCCCTTAATTAAGGATATTGAATTTCATAGTAATATCGGGATCAAAAACCACAAGTGTCCACCATTCATTTTGCTGAAGTTTGGGGAATTATTTGCCATTTTGTTGTAAAAAAAACTATTATTTCGTGTTTTAAATGAAATAACTGTTTCAATACTTTTCTTTTGCTTAACCATCTGACGGCCGTATGAAGATGTCATCGCCATAATTAGATTGTAATTTTTCAAGAAAGCTTTTGAATTTTCGATGATTACGTTCGCGCGAGTACCCGACGACAGCATCCCGGCATAATAAAAAAATAGCATTGTAGCAATGTCCATTTATAAAACAAAGTTTTCCCTCCCATTTTTCTTAAAAATTCCTGAAATGTGTTAATGACAACTTGATTGAAATTATTTACTTTGTCGCGGGCCGCACAATACCGGTCACGGCAGAAAAATATTACATATAATCAGATTCTGTTAATAATAATGTGTTTTGTGGAGCAAGTTGATCACATGGACTTTATGTAGATCATAAACTCACATGGGAAATTCGTATTAACAATCTGGTAACTAAATTGAACAGTGTTTGCTTAGTAATTCGACAATTGCATGGCACTGTCTCTTTGGATATTCTCAAATTAGGATGCCATGGATATCCTAATTTCTTATTAGTTATGGGCTGATATTCTGGGGCAATTTTGCTCATGTTCATGAATTATTCTCTTACAGAAAAAAATTATAAGATGCACGATCAAAGCTCATCATCAGGACATCTGTAGACCAATATTTAAGAGATCATCCATTCTGAACTTGCCTTGTATGTATATCTATCATTTTTCCGAGTAGGCCTGGGACAAAATTCATAAAAGACAAAAATCCGTATAAAACTAGATATGGTAGAGCAGTCACTTAATCAGACAGACTCATGTATTGCAATACGTTATTTAGAGTCAAGTATTTAAAAAAAAACGTTGGTTTCTTGTATTTTCACCAAAGGAAGGGGGATGTGATAATAGTTGTGTTCAAAACCCATTGAATAAATCTGTTTAAAATCTGTTTTCCCATTAACCAGCTGTCGTACCCCTACCAACAACAACCTTCAGAAATAGAAACTTGTGGGAGCTAAGAACTAACGAGATCTTACCTTTTAACGTGTGATTCCTAACCCATCTGTTCGAAAGTCTCTCTCACCTTTTTTTAAATAACATGATTTTATGATACAACAAGAAATAAAATCATTTCCAACAATTCGTGTAGGAATGAAAACCTTTACACTCATTTCAGATTATCATTTACATAGTAAATACTTGGAATCCAGTGTAGTTGTTTCATTAGGCATTTTGTTAATTCCTTCTTGAAGAGAAGACAGAAGTAGTTGATTTGGTAATTTGTCACAATGACTTGAGCATTAAATTAAAGCCTTGACAACAACCATTACACAAAAAAATATTTCTTGTCTTCGACATCGTTTTTCGGTTAAAATTGGAGAACTGCAAAAAACCACGCTCGATTTCTTACAGATGCTTCTTTTCATTTCATCTCAAACAATAGAATACAAGAAATAGAGCAGACTATCAAAATGCTAATCAAATTTTGTTAATACTATCCATGCCATTTTCGGCGTTTTTTTGTAAAAAAAAAAATTCTGGTTATTCCACTGATATCCGTTAGACAATTAGCTCAATTCAACAAGACAAACCATTTAAAAAATAATCAGAACTGAGAATGGACAATATTACATATCTAACTGAGTAATGCTTTGCTTTTTTGATCATATTTCATTTATGTGGATTCAGTTTTTTCATGAATAGGTTGTCATTTTTCAGGAAGGAAAGTTGAAAAAATTTCATTTGTGGGAACTTTCTACTGCAAGGGAAGGTGTGGTTTTAATAATGATTATTCTTTCAAGTCTTGAGTATTTACATAAAAGACATTAATTAGTCATAAAAAAAAAACTGAATATTTTTAGAAAGTAGAGATGAAGTGATTTTTAAGGGAAATTCATGCATACGTTTTTAATGATTAGTAAAAAATTGCAAGTCACAAGAAACTACTATTTTTGCAGAATTGTCATATCTTGCAGTCAACTTAGTGAATTCAATCTTGTGACACTTGCAATATTTCCATTGAAAATCTATGATCAAAATTCATGACTAGCTTCTTGCAAGTAACTAGAAAAACATTCTTCTGTCTGAATTTGAATTTTTTTTTCCAATTTGTAAATTGAATATATGTATAGTCACTGGTTTGTTAGGCAACATCTGGTGCTGCATGGTAACACATCAGAAAATTTTTAGTCACTTTTCTAAATCTTGTTGAAACTTAGAACAGTACATGTATATGGCTAATGAATGGCTACAGCTTGGAGTAAATCATGGCTAAGCTTTATCATCAATCGTCAGTGACAAAGAGCATTCATTCAGAACTAGGTACACCTATTTATCATATAGTGTATGTATAATTACATCTCTCGTATTACCAACAATTTATCGGAAAAATATAGTTTACTGCAAAACTGAACATATCAAAGGAATTTTGAAACTTCAAAAAATCTACTATCATATTGATCCTTACTTACTTCTCATGAAGAAATACATTACGATTCATTTGAAAACAATTTATCGTACCACAAATATTTCTATGCTATACCTTCTGAAACTATAAACACAAATTCCTTCAACAGTAAGCAAAAAACTTTTTAACATATATATCAGTACAAAATATCAAAACAATATTTGTTGTCCCTAAAACTAACATAAACAATAAAATACTATTTTGTTTGAGTGTACAAAATACTTTAAAGCTTAATTAAAACCATTTGACTTTCATTTGTACAACACAAAAAACCAACATAACTTTATGTACACAAATCTCCAATTTTTTAGACCAAGTAATTATCACAAGGAATGTTTAAAAAAATACATAAATAAATTACGAGATCAAAATTAAAACAGTAAAGACTAGGAATATAGAGACTAGGGAATGATTAAATCACCTTACCCAAAACAGTAGGTTCATCTTTCAGAAAGGTATTTGATCTGTGCATTGTCGGTGGCGCTACTGGAACTGATTTCGCAGACCGATCACCTTTCACTACCCTTCTTGGAGATTTACTTGTATCTTTGAGTGGTGAAGGACTTCTGATATTGGCTTTAGAAAAAAAAATCTGTTTACTTTATGATCCTTTTTAAAATAACTTCATATGCTAAAATGCATAGTGTAGTGTAAATGCATGTGCATGATAATTTTGTATATATTTATTTTATTTTGATCTATGCATCTTTGTGAATATGTATTTTAATTTTAATACTAAGGAAATAACGACGTTGTAATGTTTCATTTACAATAAATACATTGATTGATTGATTGATTGAAGTAAAATGATTAAACACAATTCAACGAAATCATATTCGGTTCATGGCCACTGTATAGACGAGTTAGACTCGAAGGGCACTTTCTAAAAATATAGAGTTTTATAAATATATACCTAGCGGTTTGATAGTTGAAACATAAACAGCGTCAAAAATATATTTTTTTCAACATTAAACTTCTTCAATATAAACTTGAATCAAAATTTATGGGTGATATAAATTCGAGTCAGATTAATAGATGTTCAGATTTCAATAATGTTTTGTTCAGGAGTCTTGATAACGTAGATTGGTACTGAACACAAAACATTATTGAATCTCGTAGGGAAATAATCAATAGGAGAGCTTATCATTATTTTCGAAATTTTTCTTCTGAGATGAACATTGTCGATAAAATTATGATAGTAATATTGAAAGATTTTGATGTTGTGTTATAATATTATAACTATCAAATTGCTCAATTTTATATATTTTCAGAAAGTGTTCTTAATGGTGTTCCATTTGAAAAAAATGTTTTCGATTTTTGATTCACCTATTATGAAAAAAAGTTTGGTCAATTCATCATTTTATAACGAAAAAAACTAAATTTTCGATACATATTCATATCAAAACGAATTTTTCACGTGAGTTTTCATTGAAAATAGTTTCCATTGATTATACCAGCATTTTGGTTTCGAATCTATTTTGAAAACACTTTTTCCACAACATACTCAATCAACGAATTTTTTTAATGGTGATCTTGATGTTACTGAATGGAATTTGATTATCTTTAGTTGAATAATTTTACCTTAATTTATTTATAGAGTTCTATACTTTTGTCTTGTTTGATTTATTTCAACTGTAATTTGTATGTTACTTCAAATGTATTTTTCTATTAAAATACAATCTTGACGTGTGTAAAATCTTCGATAAGAAACATAAATAAATATCTATCTATCTATCTATTATGAACTTACCTTTAATTGGAGAAGTCACTCTGCTGTCCAACTTTTTGGGTGAACTCGTTCGACTATCTACCTTCAGCGGAGAACTGGCCCTGCTATCTGTTTTTTTCGAAACAACAGTTAACGGAGCTTCCTTCTTACCTTTGCTAGGATTTCTAGAAATGGTTACAGGAGGCTTTCTGGATGGAATGGGCTTTGATACCGTGGTTTGAACAGGAGGTTTGACATTAATTGGTTTTGGCGGAGCCCTCACTTGGGTCTTGGTCGTGGTTTTGGACGCAGCAGACTTTGCCGTACTGGCAGCAGTAGGTTGTGTTAAGGTACTTCGGCGGTGTGTGGATGGACTTGGAGGCACCTGGGGTGCCTTGGCAGCGAGCAAGAGACTTCGCCGAAGAGATGGGCTGGCGGTTGAAGTGTGTAAACGACCTTGTTGATTGATACCTGGACTGGAGTTTCTGGATGAATCAGAAGAACTTAGTAGAGGACTGTGGATGTTGAGTTTAGACGTTGAGGAGGGTTTTCTAGCTGAAGGAGTAGCACGAGGTAGACGACTCGAAGGTTCCATGCTGGGAGTTAGTTCCTTGATTCGTGTTCTGAAAGAAAAATATGAATGGCGATAAAATATTCGAAAGTCGCAAGTGAAAAGTTATTATTTGCACGCCCGTGAGCTATGAAGCAATGATCTAAACATGCCTTTACTTTCTCGAAGTTTATGGTAATCATATGACAGCTAAAAGTGAAGTTGAAGTAAATCCCCACGCCCATTTCAACTCTACTAAATCTTTTGAGTTTACGCAAAAGAGTACTTGTATTGCGATAAGACTGATTGTTTGTTAGATAAATGGAAATTATCAGAAATATTCTTGAAGAGACAGAGGTGAGGTTCCTTTGCATGGAAGCAAATCACCCATTTTTCAGTAATTATTGCCGACAAATTATTTTGGTAAAAATAATACTTTGTATTATTCTCCCAAAATATGATGTTTGTATGTAAAATGAACTGCTGAATCTAAAAATGTATAAATATTCTGTATTTTCCATTTGAAATTTTAATGTTGGAGTAATTTTCTATAATACTGGTAATGCTACAAAAATATTTTTAATCCAATCAACCCATATTGTGATACCGATTGAACAACCAAAATTCTACATCGATATCAGGAGAGACAAAAAAAAGTTAAAGGGGCGATACATATATAGACAGGATAGTGACATTATATTATAGGAAACACATATTTGATGCCAATGTCACATTTGCAATAATTCTAAGAACCTTTCTTGTTTACTGAAAATGCTTGCTGCTCCAGAAGAATTCCCCTATAGTGTCACTCCATATTTGAGATGAGAATGAAAAAGTGAAAAGTAACTTTTTTTACAGATTCAAAATCAGAGAGATAGTCAGTAATTCTCCACTTTTAAAATTGAAAATTGTTTCATTATGATAAGTGACTCACCAGCCGATAATAAATACTATGGGAAATACTCCATCAACATGTACACATGAATTTATTTCAATTAGATCTAGATTGCAAATCTGAGAATGCATGATGAATTTTGTGGATGACTCCCAAGAACTTACCTTAATGGTGTGTCAAGTCGTAACCAGGCATTGCTTCTAATCAACCTGTCTGCTTGTCCGACAAGACACTGTTCTAAATGTATCTTAACTTTATTCAGTAAGTCTGCAAATGGTCTGCTCCAGTTTTGATCTAGCATTTTGCAACATCTACAAAACACCAATTGGAATTAGTCAAAATATCCTTGATTAAATCAGATCTTGTTCACCTAGAATAACTACGACAAGCTTGTTCTACTCCTAAATTCTTAGCTGCCATCAACATTCTCTCTTCAATCTGACAAATGCCAAATCCTAATCCTGTATCCAAATTCACAACGTATTGTGAACTCAACACTGATGCAAAATGCTGCCGGTGATAGAGGTGACAGGCGTCAGTTAGTTGCAATACTAATTGAGTCACTGGTTCTGCCCAACGCATCGTTGGAAGAGTTGCGAGAACCTGAAAAAGAAAATGTTTCAAGAAACATTCCCACTCCCACTCGGCTCATAAAAATTCATGTTTAAATGACATATTCTTACCTTGTCACAAGACAAAATAGTTTCCAATACTCTATCAGGAGTCATATGGACCACATGCTGCTGATAACACTTCTCTCTCAATTCCCTGGGAAGACTGGCAAAAGCTCTACTCGGCCAAACACGCACAAAATGTTGGGTGATCCATTGCAAGCATCTAATGTTTCCAAAAACATTTTTATTAATAACAATTACACTAAGATGGAAAAAAATATCAGTTTGTTATTTTGGATAACAATAGTTAACAATGATCTTTCAATAATATATAATGAAAATTTTGTGTTCTAACAAATTTTGATTTTTAATTTGTATTTTCATGATATTGAGTTGTTTCATTTTATTTTGTACACATCAGGATATGTTCCTGTGAATGCAACTGAAATGATATAAAAANTTTTGATTTTTAATTTGTATTTTCATGATATTGAGTTGTTTCATTTTATTTTGTACACATCAGGATATGTTCCTGTGAATGCAACTGAAATGATATAAAAAATATTATCAACGTCCCAAAAATTAATTATTAACGTAAATGTATCTGTTCAGTAGTAGTTATTACTTTAAACAAAAAAATTTCTCAATATTGGTATGGTATCATCTAAATTACAAGACATTTTTGTTACAATGAACTTATTGGATGTCTATTATTATCAAAAATGTTCCAGCAGAGTTTTCAAAATTAAAGGTGTTTGGGAACCATGGTATCAAAGCGTTGAAGGTTATTCAGTTCAGTAAAAGAAGACATTTGTGTGCAAGAATACATGTCCAAACATATTTCCTCAAGGCACTATTTATGTGCAAAAAATGTGTTATATTGAGTTTATTTTATTATAATCTTTCGTAACATAAACATAATAGCACTACTGTTACTGTTCAAAATCGATTATCGAATTTTTAGCCAAAGCTTTGGAAATGATGAATACTGTTCAAGCAGGCGCATTCAAGCATAGAAAACAGTTACACTGCAGACCAATCAGAACTATGTAGCAAAAGTGCTGACCAATCAGAAGTGGGCATTTGCACGGACACACCGCCATCGCCCCCATCACCATCCCCACCAACTCTCTGAAATTATAAATACGAGTGAACACGTATCTCGCCAGTCAGTCGTTGCTGAGACTTCGAGATTAAACCTTCGTCCTTGCAGTCGAAGCATATACCAATGATAATGTCTGCCGCGTTAGAGGACGAAACGTTTGGTACTTAAGGTTCCATTCGATCACGGCTTACCATACCGGATTTTGTTCATTATTATCGTAACTGTGGTCGTGAAAACTTACGTTATTATTTGAAAAATATATTTTAAACATTTACTATAGTGTTATCATCTACACATATTTAAACAAAATACACTGAACCTCGAAACAAGACATTTATGAAGCTGTTTGAAGGTGATTGACAATGTTTCGTGATGAATTTCACTAGTTCGGACTTCCATTGTCTACTATATAAAATGATTTGAAATCCCTGAAACAAGTAAAAAAGAATAATTAAAAAAGAATAGTTGAAAATAACAATTATATTAAGCAACAATAAACCTGAAATGAAATGATAGTGAAATAACCTACAAGTAAAAATATAATAATTGAATAAATA